CATTAATAAAATAGCATAGTAATGAATACATATATTATTTATTACTAGAAGGGTGCTCGTATAATATAGCGAGATATATCTCTATTTTAATGTTTCGTTTTATTATTTATCTGTTAATATAATACGGTTTTTAGTTATTGGATTTTAAGTAATATGCATTAATACACGTTTACTTTATGCATAAAAAATGGTTTTTAAGAGTTTTTGTCAAATGTTTTATAACATAGTATAGATAAAAATGTTTTTAGTATTTTTTTTCTAATGTATGCTGAAGTTGGAATTTTTTAGTGTTATTATTTTAAGTGTTTTTAATAGGTGTTTTAGTGGTTACATAGGAGATACCTTATACATATCCATCAACTTATCATAATTATTTTTTAATAGGATATATTCTTTATTTGATCTTATACTTTTTTATATTTTGAGTTTGATTTGAATGGATACATATTTTGTATATATGAAAACAACTAATCTATTATTTAAGGTAGATGTTAAAACTCTATATATATCATTCCTTTTATACTTTAGCTTATATTAACAAGGCTCTATTAATTTTTTTGAAGGTTCTATTATATCCGTACAAAAAATATCAATCGTCTAAAATAAATAATACATAAAATAAATATAAAATAACAAAATGAGAAGAATATCAAATAGTCTTACTTGATTTTTGGTCAACATATTATGAAGTTCTCATTTTGAAAGAAATTAGATATGTTTCATTGAGGTGAGTTCAAAAACCAAAAGGGATGGTTATTTGTACCCTCTACCTATTTAAAAAAAAAACTAAAAGATAATATTAAATAACCTAAAAGTTTGAAAAATGATATTATTTCACCTATCTTTCTCTCTCTTATCTCCCTCCTCTCTCTTGCTTTTATTTTTTTAATAAATAAATAATAATTATTATTAGTCTATAGTAATTATAATTCTTATTTGTGTTATATATTAATCAAAGTTAAAACCAAAAAATTGGAAAGACAATATATCTTGTTATTTATAAAAAAATAGTATATCATTTATTTTATAATTTTATAAATTTTAACCATACGTATATAGTCGTAATTGTTTGTCTATATAAAAATCGAACAAAAAATTTAAAAATTCATATGCTAATTCTTAATTTTCATTTTATCTATATTTTCATAATATATATCATTAATCCTTCTTATAGGAGGCATGTAATTTACCTAGAAAGGACGGTGTAAATAAACGGTTCTAATAGAGTCACTTATATATTAGATTTGTTTGGTTTAATTTATAGATTTGCTGTATACTTAAAATGCATAAAAGAGAACCGTACATAGTGAGGTGTATTGTACTGGTACTTTGGGATTTTGGCAGTCTTAGAACACAAGTAATGTGTTGCGCATGCATCCTTTTTACATATACAAATACATGTGTGTGTCCGTGTGCATGAGGGTGGGGGCTTTGGGGTCAGTGGGAATATAATCATTGCACTCGTGGCTTCTCTACCCTTTTCCAATAATTAGTTTAACCAAAGATGCCATTTCATTCCCTATTTTAACAATACATACACAGTACACAATATATATATACTATAAATGACAGTACTCATCTAAGATATGAAGGTGGGGTTGTTGATTCAAAACAAAGCTAACCAACAAGATGAGGATTTAGTATTCAAACATCATACAAATAAAAGCACACCAGACTCTGCACAAAGTATCAAAAAAAAGTAAAGGGATTATGGTTTTTTATTAAAAAAAAAGAAAAAGAAAAGAAACAAGCATCCCTTGTGCAGCTGATAAAGACTTCTGGCACCATGCATCAAAGAACATGGGCTAAGCATAAAAAGGGACATCAAGATTCTCATGGTGGACCTTCTCATTCTTTTAAGGAATATGGCCTGGTGATTGAGGCTCTTAAAGAGATCGTATTTCTTTTTCTTTTAAGGGAATAAAACTTGTATCAAGACAAGAGACTGCAATCCCGAGGATGAATGACCGACTCTTGGAATAGAAGAGAATGTGGTGAAGAACCAAAACATAACAAAATTTCATAAAGACATCACTTTTGCTTTACATCACATGGTTGATGATTTTAAAAGTGCATATGCATGGCCATGACTGAAGGTTTACTCAAGAAATCAGTCATGAATTAGAAAACAGTCAGGTAGCATACTACAGTATCAGCATTCAGAGATATGCCCAACTTCTAATTTCCTAGTATCAAGAGGGAAAAAGCATCCAACAAGTACCTTGTCCATCGGTACCCGGACTACAGCCCAGCTTCACGAGAGCTCAAGCATTCAAACTTCACCAAAGATGAGTAGTTTGCTTGGGTATTTGTCATATATAAAATATTATATACTTAACAGAAAGTTAGCTTGTCCAGCCATTATTAGTCTCCTAAATAGACGCTACTGCTGGAAACAAATAGAATCTCTGCAAGATTAAGGTAGAGGACCACAGTAATCAAAAAACACCAAATACAACGAACCGAAAGCCTAGTGCTTACTTATACTATCAACCACTTTACGTTTTCTACTTTTTTTCTCATTCAGGCAAGACAAACGGAGCCTTGAGTTATCCACCATGTCAGAATATGTGAAACCCTTATATTACTCACCAAGAGTCTTTGAGGAAAAAGAGGAGGTTCCAACATATGTGTGTGTGTGTGTAAGAGAGGAATAATCCAAGTCTAGCCGATGTGTAACCCAATAAACCAAACTATACTGAATGCATTGATTGGGAAAGACTTGAAGTTTTCTGTTTCATAAGCAAACCATGACAGAACTAATTTATAAAGCCTAGGATGGGAAGGTTCAGGTTCAGGTTCACCCAATTTGGGATGCTGAAAGGCACCAACTGGGCCTCCAGAAGCAGCTGCATACGCTCCAATTCTAACATTTCCCTCTGTGCCCACCATTCAATGCAGGTTTGCAGTAGCTGAAGGTTGCGGAAGGCTGACACAAGCTGGGAATCGCATATAATTAAGATTCTGCTGGTACATTGAATGAAGCATGACCAGTTGATGAAAAGCATATATACACAACAGGTTTGTTTAGCCATCAATTGCACATATCTAAGGGAAAGAATTGCTAAAAATGGAATGTCATTCAACTTGTTTTAGCTGTCAACTGGACAGATCTAATAACTACAAGAATTAAGTCAATTAACCAACTTTTGAAAAGGTTCAACAGAAGATCTTCAATATGCTTTTGCTTCTTGATCCTAAAACTCCAAAACCCCATCCAAGGGCCCAAACAGACTAAAGTCAGTCGAGTGCCATGATCACATTTTTTATGCTTAACAATGTTTGCCTGTGAAAAATTATCTTTCATGGGTGTTTCCAGGTCACTTACACTTGATTTTAGCTTGATTTGACTTCCACTATTTATTCACTTGATGATCAACTGTTTAGGGCATTATCCAATTTCATACCACAAGATACGTTAGAGTTAGAATTATATGAGAGGATGAAGCATGGTTTATGTAAAACAATTTTAGGGATCAAAGGAAATTTGAGAACTTAAATAAGTAGGTTACAAATAACAGAACTCACAAACCGTTCTATTTGATTCATTTCATAAAAACAAAAGATTGGGCTAAATCAAGAACCATCACATAAGCAACTTAGGATGGGGGCACTTCCTCCTTGTCATTAGGACAGATCAAGAAGCTCTAAAGATTACAGATCCTCTTGTAAAAGGCTACGATACCGCTAAGAGGCCAAAGACTAAAACACCTTGTTATGAACCAAGATATGGCTAAAACCTTCTTTTACAGCATTATAGAATCGCAAGAGTTCCCGAAACCTTGGTATGTGACACAGACGAGATATTTAGAGGTGCTTTTTGGAGTGAATTGTTCAGGCTCATGGATTCGCTACAGCTACTGGCCTTCTCTAATGCCTCTCACCCCCAGTCAGACGGCCAAACAGAAAGGGTTAGATGCTTTGAGACTTATTTCGAGGTGTGTTTTGGCCTTGTGGGTGATAGACTTCATGGAAGCGGTGGTTCAACAGGGCTAGCCACATTGTAAATAAGATGCCAACTTTGAAGCCCCGTTAGGATAATACTCCCAGGCCTTTTATCAGTTTCGGTCCTACTTGTAGCAAGGTAGCAGCAGTAAGGGCCTGTTTGTTAGCAGATATCAATGTTGCAACTTATTTAGTCGTCTATACATGATTGTTTGGTAGTGGCTTAATGATATAAAAAATTATTTATTTAGTAAGCTTCTAGGAGGAGCCTTACGTAGAAAGTCAAGTTTTTCCAAACCTACCCCACCCAATTAAAGAACACGCTCCTTCTGTTTATTAAAAAATCCTCTTAAACAAAAATCTTCCGGATCTATACACAGACAATTCTATTCATACATGACTTTATGGAAAACCATAAAAAAACCCCTAAGGAGGGGTTGGATTGGAATTCGCCCCAAATATATTTTAATCCTACAAAACAAACGGGACCTAAGAGAATTCATCAAACATTGGCAAGTGTCAAGACTCAAAGCCTCGTATCGACTAGTTTTGAACCATTATATATGTTAGATACAAGTATTTATAATATGAATCCTGGACCAGGAACAAATAATGCAAAAAGGTGAGAAAATTTATAACATATTTTTGTTCCAGTCATAGAAAATTTTAGGTATATTAGTTTGAATAAGATTTTAATTAATTCTACGATCTAACCACTTTTTCTTTAATAGGCAATTAGAAAGTTATTTAATGTCAATTTTTCTTTGACCGTTTACATTCTTGTTTAGGATAAAAATACACTCACTTGCTACCTACACAAATAATTTTAGAACAATGTAATTATTTTATTTTTTATTAATTAAATGACAATGTTATCCTTAACAATAAGAGTAATATCTAAATCTCATAATTAAGGATGAAATTATAAAAATAAAAACCTAATTTTGAAAATAAACACCTATTTTGAGACAAATAAAAATAAAAATATAAACACTAATTTTTTAAAACTAAAATAAAAGAAAGTAGAAGGCATTAAGAATATATAATTGAAGCTTATTATCATAAGTTGTCATCATATCTTTGGAACAAAATGGAAATCAAAGTCACCACAAAAATTGAATTTCATACACCAAGAAACAAGAACCACCTCCCACATCACAAGTACTGCTCTTGAATTCTTCCTCTGTTTTGCTCCCACCACATCCTCGCATTCATTTCACCAAACTTTTCTCGACTGCAAAACAAAAACATTCACCCTTTTCAAATCAACCAAACAAACCCACTAAATCCCAACCGGAGACAGGGTTCAAGGGCAGACCTACATGGAATGATACCGCTTCATAGTTCTACCTTAAGGGGAAAAATTACGTTTTTGAAAGGTGCCACCATATAGTTTTTAATGGCTGAGATGGTAAACGCTCTTGCCTTTGTACAAAAGGCCCGGGTTCGAGTCCTATTGTTGTCAAATTTGTTTGCTTTAGCTTAAATTTTGGGTTTTTTTATATACCTCTCGTGTTCTAAAAAATATATGTAAACAAGACTCCAATATGGGTCTCTTCTATCAACGGACAAGGAACAAACCAACAGATCTATACTAACATTGTGAGAAAAAATATTAGATATTTTTGTATAGTCAAAGTGTGGCACCCCTTGAAAAAAAATTCTGGGTCTGCCTTTGGTGGGGTGGGATATGCATAGACATGGCCTCTGCATAGAGCAGTTGTTTCAAATCAATCCAATTCAAGGAAAACTATTCGTAATAATTGTGTTTATACCTGAATCGAACACGCCTAAGCTCACGATTCCCGCCTGCCACTGCTCTGATGGTGATGTACACACCTGGTTCGTCTTGCTCCACCCATTCCGTTTCCATATCACTTGCATTGCTCATAGAAAGCTCTCCCGAGTGATCACCCTCTCTAGATGAACTACTCCTTGCAGAAGCCATCGATGATGTTTCAGTTTTGGCTCCACTTATGCTCGATAGTGTAGGCGTTGATGCGACTCCATTAGAGTCATGACATTCACGGGATTGCTTTGGGTAGAAATTCCGAGGTAGGGGCTCCTTGCTAAGTGGCGGTGTCACTGGGCTGTTCTCAAAAGACTCCATTTTTGAGCTCTGTGTAAGAAAAGGCAAAAAAAAGAACATATACATAGTGATCATGGAACAATTTTCATATAGAAACTGATAAGCTAGATTTTAGCTGAAAAACTAGCTAGTTGTTGGTTAATAAGCTAGCTGACAAACTAGTCATATTTGGTAAAAACTTGATGATAAGTTGGCTAACAAAGTAGTCATGTTTGGTAAAATCTAGCTGATAAGCTAGCTGACACAGTAGTCATGTTTTTGGTAAAAACTAGTCGATAAGCTAGCCGACAAAGTAGTCATGTTTGGTAAAAATTGGTTGATAAGGTAGTTGTTGGTTAATAAGCTAAGCCATGTTTGGTATACAAAAAAGCTAATCAATAAGCTAGATAATGTAAAATGACCTAAAAAGGTATTTTAAAAAATTAATTAAGAAATATAAGGGGCATAATTGGAAGAAAAAAAGTAAGCTCAATAAACTAGCTAACAAACTAGCCATGTTGGGGAAAAAACTAATTAATAAGCTAGATGATGATGTAAAACGACTTAAAATGGCTTTTTAAAAAATACAAGGGGCATAACTGGAAGAAAAAAAGTAGGCTCAGGGAGCTTATTGAAACTCATTTCAATAAGCTAACTTATGACGAACCAAACAAGGCTTTTTCAATAAACTCAAAAAATAAGCTAGCTTATGGTTGCCGATCATACAACGAACCTAAAAGTATTATTGAATGTTGCAAGTGGAGATGAAGACTGACCTCATCTTCAGATTTTGGTGGGGCCGGTAGCGGTACTCCTTGATGATTGAAACGTTGAACGTTGTATAACTCCATAACCTTATCACGGTTCTCAGCCCACCACCTTTGAGCTTGCCTTTTGTTGAACATTTCACGGCTTATGTAACAACACCCATCAAAACGTAATCGAATCAATATCTTTCTCATCAAATATTTATTGACAAGCATTCACTCTCCTTATAAATGAGTAGATTAAACTAAGAGAGTGTTTGGTTAGGGGTATTAAACAATCATTAATGGAATTGAATATAAAAGAAATTGTTTGGTTCTATATAATATAACGAGTCCATTCCCCCCAAAACGCCAAACTTCTCATTTCAGGTTGAATCATTTTCATTCCCTGCCGGAAACATACAGCCCTAAATAACGGCAATGCTAATAAATTGGCATCATATATCATCATGCTAGGCTTCATCAAACTAAAAAAATCTACTTCATTTGGCATAAATACATTTGCTTATGGATCTCGAGATGTCAAAACTTACGTAATGCTGAGTTACTTTGCCATCATTTAATGAAAAATTAAACATATGTTTCTTGCTCCTTTCTTACTTGACTTGATCTTTTTCCTCTTATACATGAACCGGTAAAACAGCTTGCCACTAACTTGAACCAAACTTAGAAATAAAAAAGGAGTTTACAATGCGGAGCTATAATAGCATATAGGGCAGTTTACCAAACACTTTCCGAGTAAGCACTTATCGGGTGTCACTTACCTTGCTGGGTGAGAATGGCAAGGACCGAAAATCTTACCCGGTAAAAGACACTTACCAACAATTCATTTTGATGGCCAAGAATGTTATCCGATAAAGTAAGTGAGGTGGTGACTCTTGACAGTAAGTGCTTACCTAGTAAGCATTTGGTAAATGGCCACTTACCATTTTACAATTCAAATGGATGGTAACAAAAAAGGTAACAACAAAAAATGACAACTTTTGGGCCTTGTCAGTTGTCATGATGTAGCTCAAGCTTTCATGTGGTGAAATGTTGCATCGCTATATAAATAGACTATAGATATAAATCATTGTGAGTATATAGGGTTTGGGGTATTTTGACTTGTGGACACTGAGCATTGGAACAACCCATGAGCTTGCCTTCTTTGCAAAAATACAATGGAATGTTGCACACAAAGACCTCTTTTTCCCAAGTGGTTGCTCCTTATGGCTCTGGGTCAAAAAAGATCTCTCTCCCTAAGGGGTCATTGGAACAATTAGTAAGGCTTCACTCTGTGATCATAACTCATAAGAACCGCTAATTTTCAAGTCATAAACAGCCTATTTTGCAAAAAATGGAGAGAAATAATACATAAAAAGAACTCCTCTATAGGATAAGACTATGGGGTTGTTTGGTTGGTTTTCCATCAACTCCTGTACGGATAAAGTTGTCTGTGTAGATTAATTTAGCTATACAGATTGGAAAGGTTTTTGTTTGGGATGATTTATTTCATAAATGGAAGGAGCGTTTTTTCTAGTGGGTGGGGAAGGTTAGGAAAAAACTTGGCTTTCTGCATAAAACTTCCCCCTAGAAGCTTACTGAATAAGTCACTTTCTATTAAGCCACTACGAAACAGTCATGTATAGCTGACAGAATAAGTTGAGTCCTATTATGCTCATCAAGCTGCTAACAAACAGGCCCATAATCTCTTCATTTGCAGTAAAAAATTAAGATGTAATTCACCAAAGGAAAAAAATTGATGATGGTATTTTAATGTTAACCCCACCCCACCCCCTTCTCCAAATACCATCTAAAAGTTTAAAATACGTGATGGTCCTATAAGTTTTCAATTACAACTGTTCACATTAGCTCTATATCATTTCTTAGTGAAAGTTAAGACAACACTAGATCAGATCTAAAATATGGAATTACCCCATTGCATTATTGTGGACCACCTAAAAACCAATTATGCTGAATTGCAGGAATGGAGGGGTCCCCTCAGTTCGTCACCAGCACAAAGAGTCACAATCGCTGACCAACAATGACCGGGTGCATAGCAGGTACACCACACACACACACACACACATATATATATACAAAAGACAATTTGGCTCTCTAACATGAACTCCATATGAATTGTGATGTCCTATTACGTATGCTTTAAAAAGGTGGTATTGGTGCACCTGAGCCATCCTGCATATTCCAATGTGGGAACACCCTTTAGGATAAAAAGGGGGTCACCATGTGATCCCAACAGCAGCAAACAAATTGTATTTGTTCTCCAATCATTATAGTATGTACCATCCGAGGACTAACTACACATCCAGATAAGATAAAATTCTAAGGGTCGGCCAACTTCAACTAGTGTTATCCCAGTCAAGGGCAACGCATGCTCGGATCTGAATCGAAGCTACGCTATAGAATACCTAGGATTAGAGCATCTCTAACAAGTGTGCTATATTTTCTCTCTCTCTCTCTCTTCTTCCAAATTTGAAGATTTCTTCATTCTCTCCCCTGTTTTTCTCTATTGTGGTTACGGATTTTCAGTTTATGGGGGTAGTATGGGATCCTTAGTCGGGGAGAAAAATTTAGAGAAGAGTTTAGCATAACTGTAGAGCAAACTTTTCCCAAATCTCCAAAAATTTATTATAGCAAAGCTGTTAGTGAGTATGCCATTTCTTGCCAACATGATGTAAAAACACAAAATAAGGAAAAATTATAATCCCCCAGTAACTCTAGGTTCCATTAATTTATCTAATTTTTCCTTATTTGTCAATATTTTTATTATGTGGATCATATCTACATTTCCCACACATCAAATAAATGGTCCCATGATCATATCTTTATTTTCCCGCCAATGACCGAGACCGAGAGGGGTTAGCAGATGTAGTCCCCCCCCCCTCCCCGGGTTCCAATGTAGTTTCTGTAGTTAACTGATAAGTTTAAAGTTTTCTCTATAAAGTAATAAATTTTCACCCCCAGAAAAAGTTTATAGTAGTTCGTACATTTCACTCCCCTTTTTACAGATTTTCTGGCTCTGATACTACTTCTCAGTTCTCACAACATATAGGCAAATAAAAGAGACTGAAATTGAAAATGTGTAAGATCCCACATTGGTCGGGGAGGGGGACAAAGCTTGCCTTACAAGGGACTTGATACCTCCTCTATTAGATAGGTTTAAAAACTGTGAGTCGAGGTGTGGACAAAGCGGATAATATCTGGTACGTTTACGACTTTTATGAACAAACCGTGTGGTCTTACAGAAGGATAACCAGACCCAAAAGACATGAGGGTTTAATCCATGTATCTTGCATCCAAAATTCAGGTTTCATTAGCAATTGACCCAGGATCACATCTTTATTTTTTCACAAGGAATATAAGCATATAAATGGAACACTTGTATGAAAATGTTAGATAGCTGAAACCAACAAAACTCTAAGGTCTAATAAAATAATGTAATGGACCCACAAGGCATGAGGGTTTATGACTGTTTCTTCCCTTTACCATGGTTAGGTATTTGTCTGCATTATAATTTAGTTTCATTTGTATGTGAAAAGAACTAAGTGGTATTGCTGATGTTAACTCACAACCCCAATTGGGGGCCACTTCCATAATTTCAGACATTATGCAACCTAGTGTCCAATACTCCAATTCACATGGGAGTTGTAATTTGACTTCAATTTGGAAGTAATTGATACCAACAACAACAAACAAGCATTACTACAACAAAAAAACAGATCAAAAAGTTTGAACTACAATTCCAGTCTGGATCAAATAAGAATACATACCTGAATCGAATACGTTTAAGATCATTGCCTCCTTGAGGTAATGAATGAAAAGTGATGAGAACCCCTGGTTCGACCTGAGCAACCCATTCTTTAAGCTCGTCTTCCTCCATGAACTTAACTGATTCAATTCGATCACTGTAGGAAGCTGGAGTGCTTCCACCACTCGAAAGCCCCTTCAATCTTGCCTCCATTTCTTTGCCCCAAACCCTAGGTGTAGAATTGCAAGTTCGTTGGTACCCGCAGTGAAATCTATCAGACCCTGAGCCTGCTTCAGAGTCCGCGTAACCTCCGTTCGTCGGGTTGTGATTTGACGATCCGGAGCAAGGCTTGCAGTTTTTGTATGCTCCAGATGCCTTTATTGCCATATCCTTGATCTAAAAAAACCAGTGATAGTACACGTATTGAGAAAAAAGTTCAATCAAACGATCAACCAACACGATTTGTTGATAAAATATCGAAAGAATGATAGAAATCGACAGTGTTACCTGAGATGTGAGAACCTTAATGGCTTGCTTGGTGCGAGGTGTAGCGGCGGTGTCATCTTCTTCCTGTTCGCGAAGAGATCCACCGTTGAGCTGCTTCGAACAGGCAATACAAGTCAACATATTCGATTTCTATTTCCTGATCTCAACTCTCGTCTTCAAAACAGATTTGGACTCAATTCAATCCAATCCAATCTGTCCTCGATTAAATCCAATTTGAACGCAGTAAACGACTTAAAATTCCAAATCGAACACAGTTTCAATTGTTTCCATCAACACAGTTCGATCAGAGAAAAACTAAACATAGATTTGAATAAACGTGATTTTCGCGTAGTAAATAAATAAACAGACCGTTATAGAAACGTTAATGGCGGAAGAGATTGATGAAGAACTAAGCAAAGAATCATGTAAAGTTGCTCAAACTCCGAATCTGTCGCCGAATAGCTAAGCAAGTAATGATGAAGAACGCTTACATTGTCCACTCCACTTCACCATTTGAGCATCTATGCACAGAAACAGAGGGATTTGGTGGTGATGGATGTGCATTAATTTCTCTCTCAAAAATGGAAGAGAGAGAAGGAGGTGGTGGTCATGTGATGTGCGCCACCTATTATATAATGTGGTACCGGAGTTCGAGGCGACGGCGGACGGTTCGAACAGCGGTGGTAGAACGTCGAGCGGCGGTGGGTGGTACTAGTAGTGTACTCCTACTACTTACTACTACTGATGGTTGCTGCTGCTGCTTATGAGAATCACTCCCTTGTACTTTCCATTTCATATATTTCTTCAAATTAATTAAATAAATAATAACTTTTTTTAAAAAACTAAAAATACATAAAATTAAAACACAATAAATAAATGGTACTTTTTTTTTTTGTTAAAGATTAACTAATTTAAATAGTTTATGCGACAAAGAAACATACAAGGGGTGTTTGAAATTGCTTATTTAAATTGCTTATTGACTTATTTCACTATGATATCGGTAATAAGCAGTTTTTAGTTTTTGGATTGAGAAAAATACAAAATGTTTATATCAATGTCAAACTAGTAATAAGGAGTTTTTGAAAAGTTACTATCTTCTAACTTATCATATTTAACTTATTAGCTTTGGAAAGCAGATTACCTTTTTAATCCTAACCAATTTCTCCTTCCTCCTTCCTCGCAAACACAATTCACGACCTTCACTTATAGAAATCAAAATCGACCTTCAATACAAGAAATTGATATCGAACACAGAAATTGACTTTCACCTACATAAATCAAAATCAACATTCAAGTACAAGAAATCGACCTTCACCTACCGAAATCAAAATCAAGTTTTGTTGTTGTTGTTTTTGACTGAATTTTCTGGTTCTAGTTGATCTTCCTTATATTTTCTAATATCCATGCTCACCCTCAAAACTTGGTGGATGGACTTTTCATACTCAAAATAAACTATACCAGGTCAAAAGGCATAGTCGATAGACAACATGTGAATATATTCGTGTGGTTTCGAAGGACATAGGAGAGGTCTACGCTCTATAATAACTGTCTGCCTAAGACTATCCTTTGGCTCTCAACAAAAATAAGATCGGTTGAACAGATAAACGAGATCCCGTTATGACCTTAATATGTCCGTCCGTTGTATTTTTATTATTGTTTTTAATAGATTTCGGTATGAAATATTTGTTATTGAAATTGTTACTACAAAGTAAAGCTTTATTTATCCTTTACAACAAAATCACATCACCTTTCAACGTTTTTTATCTAAAAAAAAAGTAAGATGACTCAGAAAAAAATGTATATCAAATAAATGTCAAAATACTATTTCTAAATCTAAATTATTTATAAATAATATATTTAATAATAATTATATATAATATTCAGGGATGAAGTGGGACGGGAACCACGTTAGCCGTCCCCGTCCCCGGTACACCAGATTCCCCAGTAGGACGGGTCTCATTCCCATGCCTACTGTTGAAGATGCTTTAATACAACAATATTGACCTCGACTTGTTAATTTACTTAGGTACCCAACTCATCAAAAAACTACATTTATATGAGTTTATTTGTCGTATATAAATATTATATACTTAAAAAAAGATCCAACTAATAAAAAATGCAGCCATAATAAAGACATAATTTATGTATTTTTCAAGTATAAAAAGGAGACATGAGAATACATAAATATAATTTAGTGATATTATTATGTATGTTTGGGGAAAATGGGTAATTATTGAGTAGAATAATAAAGAAGGGGTGGGGGAAGTACATTACATTCCCTGTTGCAATCACATGATGGTAGTAAATAAAAGCCAACCCCTTCATCAAACAATATTACACTCAACCCCCCTTTTTTTTAAATGAAATATGGTTATCATTGATTTATTATAATCGAAATATTTATGAAAATTTATATAACTTGTTTATTATGATTATTATTTTAGATTATAAAATAGTGGATATATATATATATATATACACATATTTGGGATTACGTGAGACCAGTCTATTTTTGTAAGACCCGTAAGATTATTTTTTTACACTTGAGATTTCACAACAAAACATTGTGTTGTGAAGGTTCAGTCTTTTTTATCTTCACAGCGTTTTGCTGTGAAATTTCGAATGTAAAAAATGGTCTCACGAAAACAGATTGACTCACGTGAATCCAACCATATACGGGTTCATCGGAGGCTAGAGGTAGAAGAGAGAGGGATAATGAATAGTTTGTGGTAATTGTAATATCTAATATGAGCAAATCATTTTAGATTATTAATGTTATTTACTAAAATAAAACAAATGGTATATTAGTAAATTATGTTGATTTTTCATTGTACTTTAATTAGTTTAATATTCCAATTAACTTTAATTAATTTAATCATTTTAATGTATGTGTATATATACACCCAAACACACACACACAGATACATAGGGACCAAATCCGGTGGCCTTCTCCGGCATCCACCACCACTCCGATGACCTCCTCCGATCATCTTGTCTAGCCAAGACGCCGTATCCAATGATCGACCATTAAACACCTACCTGTGACAATGGTATTACAATGGTCTCAAAGTTTTACTTAGTGTGTTTTGGGTATCACATTGTATATGTATCACATAGTGTTCGTTGAAGGCCGGAGGGAGGAGAGACTAAAAAAATACCTAAAATGCTCTTTAACTATAATCTTAAATCAAATTATCAAAAATATTAATTTTCTAATTTATCAGTTGATTTGTGGTTGAGATTGGATCTCACGGTTATCATAAATTAATCAGTTCTTTCTTGAACGGACTCTCTCTCTCTCTCTCTCTCACACACACACACACACATGTATATATATATATATGGTTAGATAAACAATTAAGATTGACTTATACGATTTGTAACATTTATTTGATTTATATCTGAAAACCCATTTATATCTCATAAATGGCGATCTAGTGGTTCTTTTCAATTATGATTGACTAAAAATAAAGAAATATCTTATTACCCTTTTCTTTATTAATTTCATTCTAACCGAAACTTAACTCTTAATTTTGATATTTTGAATTAAATTATATAAAACATAAAAATGATTTGGGCTTGTAAGTGGCCTAAAATCCATCCCATAAGATCTTAAAATGCCCAACTAAAAAGCATGCACCAACACCAACTCACAAAAGGGACATGGGTATGCGAATCTCCTATGAATATAATAACCAACGGGTCATTGATCTAAGGGTATCCAGATCTTTAACGGTAAGATCCCATATTAATTGCGAAATGAGATTAAGGTTGTCTTATAAGGGACTTGATACCTTATTTATTAAACGTGTTTTAAAACCGTAAGTCTAAATTTAAACAAAGCGGATAATATTTGATATGGTTGGTCCCAAAAAAGTTTAGACCGATAGAGATGCCCCGAATGGTATCGGAACCGAGAACCGGACTGGTGTGCTAGCAAATATGCTGGGCTCAAGGGGGTGGATTGTAAGATCTCACTTCTATTGCTAATTGGCGATGTTAACTTTAGGGACCTTAAATGTTATGAAACTAAAAAAGTTAAAGACTATTAGTTTAGACCATGGGTCTAAATAACTACTTTGTGTTAGCCCATATGGCTCCGGTCTAATTTTATAAGGTGTATGGATACTTTAATAAATAACTTGAGCAATAAATGATAATTATGTACGAGACCTATGACTTAAATAAATATAAAAATAAAACTTAAAAACTAAAACCTAAAATAGGTAAATACACGTATGAAAAACGTCATGGTCTTGTTGTAGCTCGTAAGGCTTGAAGTTTGACCTCATAGTCACGCTACGCCTCACATCATATAGGACATTGATTTAGAGGTTGTTTGTTTACCTCTTAATAGTTCTATTAAGAGGTAAACTCTGAATTGTTTAAGGTGAATTTTGTTTGACAAAAAAAATGTCACTTAATGGTTCTAAACCCCTCTGAATAATTTTGTATCATGCACTTTCCTTAACCATTCAATGTTCTAATTTCGTTGTAAATAATTACCAAACAATAAATAATTATTTTGTGGATAAATACTTAAAATAAATAATTCTTTTCAGGATAAAATATTAAAATAAATTCCCACGCCGGACCCACGATCAATCCTACTAAATCCTCCACACATTTTCTCAGCCATGTCTCCGCCGCAACCATCATCCTCCGCGGCTGCCGGACTACCAAACCGTGGTTGCGTACTCCATCGGTTTCAACACCGGAGTTCACGTTTCTTTCTCTATTTGCTGATTGAATCTACTTGAAGTAATAATGGCAACAATTCGGAGAAGGAAGCAACCGGAGGATGAAGTAGAGCAGCGTCCGGATCCGAAGCTAGACGAAGACGATGATAAGGAAGAAAAAGCATCCAAGAGGTCAGAGAAGAAGAATAAGAGCAAAAATTATTCGTGTATTGATAACTGTTGCTGGTTTGTGGGATGCGTATGCTCGGCGTGGTGGCTATTGTTGTTTCTATACAATGCGATGCCGTCGTCTTTCCCTCAATATGTGACGGAGGCGATCACTGGACCGTTGCCGGATCCTCCCGGAGTTAAATGTTTGAAGGAAGGTTTGAAGGTGAAACATCCGGTGGTGTTTGTGCCGGGGATTGTGACCGGCGGACTTGAGCTGTGGGAGGGGCATCAGTGTATGCATGGATTGTTCCGGAAGAGGCTTTGGGGAGGCACTTTTGGCGAAGTCTATAAGAGGTATTAACTACTTGATCATCGTTTTTTGTTGCTATTTGAACTCGAAGGCAATTATGTTTTGGGCTTTTGATTGATTGCAAGTCTTAGGTATACCAAAAGTGCCACTTATATTACCATGGACAATAGACAGTTTGAAACGGAAAGGAGTGTATGGTAGTTTTTCATTCAAATGATTTGATTGATTGCTGGAGACCTGATTTTTGTAACTTACAAAAATGCTCAAAAAGGCAAAGCAGAGTTAAAATTGATTTGTGATCTATGAAAATTGGGCACTTTATGATCATTTACATGTTTTGTGATCTTTGACCCCTGTGCTTGTACACCTTTTGTGGTTAACTGTGGTCCCTTTTGGGTTTTACACTGTTGAAATAAACCCCAAAGTATTAGATAGTCTTCAATTTCTTGCCCAGTTACGTGGAAAAGTTTAAGTGCCATCATGCTTTATCTTGGCTTTTGCAAGGTATATTTGAATACATAGTTGGAGTTTCCTTTTTGAAAAGTGATGTTTCATCCAGAACAAGTGTTTTGCCCAAATATAAGTACGTAGATTTCTTTCTACACTATGGGTATTGTCCTTAGATAACATAGATGGTGTTATGGCAATATCTTATTTATTGGCTTTGTTATTAGTTCCTTTTGAGCAATTTGTTTTCAACTTTCAAAGCCACTCAAGATTAAGTTTATATGTGGTGGTACATTTTGAATGCTTTTTGTACAATGTTAAAATGTAATAATCTGCTGGCACGGTGGTGAAGGTTAGTCCTAGTTGTAAGTTACGCCATCCAAATGGAGATTCTGGTGCCTTGAAACTGAAATTCCCTTCTTCTTTCCACCATTTACTCCTGTGGCAAGGTAGCTTCCATGATGGTGGTTTTTTTTCAGTTATTTGTATCATTTATTCTTTGTATTATTTGGGAGTAACCATTCTACTGCATTAATTACTAAATGGTCTATTTGTATCATTTAATATATTTTCTTGTTTTCATTTGAGAGGCAAATTGGAAGTTTGGTAAGCTAAGGTTTTTTATTAATTTGATACATGAACATGGGAACATTCTTGATACCAACAGAAAAGCTATGCTTTGATACTCGAAGATGCAAACTCCCATATTGACACTTGAACATGAACCCTAGGCATAACCAGTTCCTAATCAGTAAAATAAGTCATGGATTGACGATATTTGTGTTATGTTGTAGGTTGAGTATTGTATATACTACATTTGGCTGTCAAACATTACCATTTCATGTGCAACAAAGGCCCTATACTTGATGAATTGCTCTGCCACAGAGCACCTTGCTCAGCTTAATGATTACACTTGAACCTGCAGATGCTGTTCAAAGTTGGGTGCTTAAGCACTTTGACTTCTAAAGTTGCCATACAACATCGCTATCATGTGTTTTTCAGAATTATTATCTTGTGGATTTTTTTGTCATATATGGTCACACACACTATTTATATATTCTCTTTGTTTTCTAGTTGGAATGGTCGAATCGGGTTGCATATATGTTGCATAGGAACTTTACATGTTAATATAATTACTTGTTATATAAGTGGTTTTGGATGTCTTGCAGGCCTTCATGCTGGGTACAACATATGTCGCTAGACAACAAAACTGGGATGGATCCTCCGGGTATAAGGGTTAGACCTGTCAGTGGACTTGTAGCTGCTGACTATTTCGCTCCAGGATATTTCGTATGGGCCGTTTTGATTGCTAACTTGGCTCGTGTTGGGTATGAAGAAAAAAATATGTATATGGCTTCATATGACTGGAGACTCTCATTTCAAAACACAGAGGTATATGTTTGCTTTATGTTTAACCGTTACTTTCATTCTAATTGTTGTTGCCTCGCACATAATTTGGACATCATTTTATGTTGTGCAGGTAAGAGACCAGACATTGAGCCGGATAAAGAGCAATATAGAACTGATGGTTGCTACAAATGGTGGGAAAAAGGCGGTTGTCATTCCACATTCAATGGGTGTTATCTACTTTTTGCATTTCATGAAATGGGTGGAAGCACCAGCTCCAATGGGCGGTGGAGGTGGATCAGATTGGTGCGCTAAACACATAAAGGCAGTGATTAATATTGGTGGACCATTTTTAGGTGTCCCAAAAGCCATAGCTGGGCTTTTCTCAGCCGAAGCCAAGGATATTGCATCTGCCAGGTTTATGCTTTTAACTTCAGTATGCATGTATAGTGTGTAATTGGACATTAAGGGGCCGTTTACCTAAACACTTACCCCGTAAGTGTTTACTGGTAAAATTCAACACTATCACTTACTTAGCGGGTAAGATTTGAGTTCACTAACTGTATGTAAGTGTTTACTGGTAAAAAACGACAATGTATGTAACAATTTACCTGGTAAGCGCTAACTGTGGTAAGAGTCGTCACCATCACTTACCAGGTAAGACTCTCGGTCCTTGCCTTCGCTCTTACCGGGTAAGATTCTTGGTCCTTGCCATAGTCATCCCGTAAGGTAATGTGACTTGGTAAGCGCTTACCCAAGTAAGCATTTGGTAAACGAACCGAAGAGGCTGTTTGGTTGGTTTTCCATTAAGTCTTGCATGGATAAAGCTGTATGTGTGGATTAATTTCTCCGTATAGTTTGGGAAAGTTTTTGTTTGGGAGAGCTTTTTCATAGATGGAAGGAGCGTGTTTTTTAATTTGGAGGGGCATATTTGCTAAAAAGTTGTCTTTCTGCATAAAGCTCCCCTCTCGAAGCTTACCGAATAATCCACTATCAAACAGTCATGTATAGCTGACCGAATAAGCTATGAGTCCTATTAAGCTCATTAAGCTGCTGACAAACAGGCCCTAACATCGGTTAGAAAACCATGTAAACGAGCATATGTTTACTATTTAAACAATGTTTCTAAGTCATGCATAAGTTCCAAATGTATATAACCATGTACTTATATTAAATGAACTCCTGCTTCTCTAACCATAGTTTTCAGCTCACTGACTATTTACAAAACTTGGAACATAATTTTAAATTGCAGGGCCCTTGCACCAGGTGTCTTGGACTCGGATTTATTTCAAATCCAAACGTTGCAACACCTAATGAGAATGAGTCGCACCTGGGATTCAACAATGTCCATGATACCAAAAGGTGGGGACACTATTTGGGGTGGCATTGACTGGTCCCCTGAGGAAGGATATTCTCCGAGTAAGAGAAAGCAGGGGAAAAACGACACTAAACTGTCCATCCAAAATGAGTCAGCAAGTAAAGTGTGTGAATCAACACAGGCAAATTACGGAAGGATGGTATCATTTGGAAGAGAAGTAGCAGAGGCACCTTCATCAGATATCGAGAGGATAGAGTTCAGGGTAAGGCTTTTGATCCCCGTCACCATTTGTTTTGCCCATTTTACCCTATCCTCATTTTCATTTCGTGGGTTTCCATCTTCGAGGATAACTATAGATGGGATCCATGAAATGAAGATGAGCAAAAGAGACCGCCAACTCACATAAACAACCACTCTACTCTTTTAGGTAGAAGTCAGCTCTGCGTACATCTCACCCTCCCCAGATCCCACCTCCGGGTGGGATATAGTAGGATTGTTTGGTTTGGTTTGGTTTCAAAAGAGACCAGGGGTGGACCCACTTTAATTGATACGGTGGCACGGTCCACTGCTTCATTCCTCCTTCGTAGTGTAAAAAGTTATAGGTTCGTGAAAGGTGCTACCATCATCAAAATGGTTTTGTGCAACCGTATATATTCTACAATGATACATAAGTTTCTCTTGGTAGAGTTGGTTTACATGGCTTTTCTCCCACCCCAAACTCTTGTCCGAATCCCGTTTGTGTCATTGTCCTCGGTCTTTAGCTTTTAATTTCAGATTTATTATGTTTTGAAAAGAATTTGCAATAAAAGACCGAACACAAGACCTCACACATGAAAAGCAAAGAACTAACCAATAGACCGATGATTATTTTGTCAAAAATATCCATATCTTTGTTTCTTATAGTCAAATGGTGCCACCACTTTGAAAAAAAGTCTAGGTCCGTCTCTGAAAGAGACTGCTATCATATTGTGGTCACTGAATTATATGCACGTAACTAAAGTAATGGTTGATGTTTAGGGTGCTGTGAAAGGTAACAATGTTGCAAATAATACTTGTCGTGATGTGTGGACCGAATACCATGATATGGGATTTGGTGGTATCAAGGCTGTTTCCGAGTACAAGGTCTTTACAGCTGGAGAAATTGTGGATATGCTCGAGTTTGTTGCCCCAAAAATGATGGAAAGGGGCAGTGCTCATTTTTCTTATGGGATTGCGGAGAATTTGGATGACCCAAAATATGCACATTACAAATACTGGTCCAACCCGTTGGAGACAAAGTAAGAATCCTGCTGCTTATCTTTGTCATGTTCTTTGACATTAAAATTTGGACTAATGTGAATGTGCATAAGGCTATGTTTGGCAAACTGGCTGATAAGCTAGGCTAGCTGTTAGCTTATAAACTAGTCATGTTTAGTAAAAATGAGTTGATAAGCTAGCTGTTAGCTGATAAACTAGTCATGTTTGGTAAAAGTGAGCTGATAAGCTAGATGATAATATAAAATGGCCTAAAATGATATGTTGAAAAATATAAGAGGCTTAATTGAGAAGAAGTTTCTGGAGCTTATTGAAAGGCTACTTGAAAAGCTTTTCAAAAAGCTAGTTTTTGGCTAAAGACTTGGCTTTTCAATAAGTTCAAAAAATAAGCTAGCTTATGGCCGCCAAACATGACCCAAGTACTCCTTCCATTCCAAAATAAACTTTTTTTTCTCCTTTCTGGCAAAACTTAAATTCAGATTTACATCTTTACCCATTAGTAATTATGGGGAAGGTTATAAACCCGTGAGACCAATTAAGAAATATTTGTTTGCATGATTTTTTCTCCTAAAATGCTATAATTTAAGGTATTGTTTCACATATATTTGTTTCATAATATGATAGTTTCACATATATTTGTTTCATAATATGATAGTTTCACATATATTTGTTTCATATTGTGCAACTCTTTTACGTATATTATTCGTTTCACTGTGTGAACCAAAAAAAAGTTTCATATGGATTTTTTTCACTTATATGAGCACAATCATATGTGAAACAATAGCTAAATCATAGCTCTTGATGTAAAAAATATCTTTTATATGGGTTTTCACGGGTTTGTATCCCTTTTGTGGTTCTCATTTGAACTATCGCCCTAGTAATTATTTATCATTCTTGAGGGATAATTTTAGTTATTTGTGTAATAGCCAAACCCTTGCATTAAACTATGCGCGGAGGTAAATATTTTTTGGTTGGTTTTCCATGAAGTCCTGTATGGATAAAGCTATCTGTGGGGATTAATCTGTTCGTGTAGATTTGGAAGGTTTTTGTTTAGGAGGGTTTTTTCATAGATGAAAGGATCGTGTTTTTTAATTGGGATTTGGAAGAAAAACTTGGCTTTCTGCATAATAGTCCCTCCTAGAAGCTTACTAAATAAGTCACTTTCTATATCATTAAGCCACCACCGAACAACCATGTATAGCTGACCGAATAAGTTGTTAGTCCCGTTAAGCTCGTTATGCCCCGTTTGGTTTGGTTTAACTTATATCGGTTTCAGGTTACCAAATGCTCCCGATATGGAGATTTATTCGATGTATGGAGTCGGCATCCCGACTGAGCGAGCATACATTTATAAGCTCACTCCTGCAGCAGAATGCTACATTCCTTTCCAGATTGACACATCAGCAAAGGATCAAAACGAGGATGGCTGTTTAAAGGACGGAGTTTATACCGTGGATGGTGACGAGACCGTCCCAGCGCTAAGTGCAGGTTTCATGTGTGCAAAAGGGTGGCGTGGCAAAACCCGATTCAATCCTTCGGGTATCAAGACTTACGTTCGGGAGTATGATCACAACCCTCCATCTAACTTTCTCGAGGGCCGTGGCACGCAGAGTGGGGCCCACGTCGATATAATGGGTAACTTCCAATTGATCGAAGATGTCATACGGGTTGCAGCCGGGGCCACGGGCGAAGAGCTGGGAGGTGATCAGGTCTATACAGGCATATTCGAGTGGTCCGAAAAAATCGACTTGAAGTTATGAAACTGAAACTTAAATTAAAACAGTATACAAAAACAAGATTGTGAAAGATGTAACTTTAAATTAAATGTGATGTATATTTGTTTTGTAAGATGTTGATTCCTGAAATACTCAATGTAGAATTTGTTTGTTTTTATATAATTTGTTTAAACAAACTTGAAGGGTACAAATAGATAATTACATAGATTCAGATATTTTTCGGTTTATAAAAACAAGCAAGTTTTTAGAAGCTTTTTGGTTGGTTTTTCATTAAGGGTTGATTATTAGCAGCTTAATGGGTTTAAAGGGACTTGAACTTATTTATATGACTATTTGGTAGTAACTTAATGACATATAAAGTGGCTTATTCAATAATCGTATATGAATGAGCTTATCAGAAAGTCGGGTTTTTTTCCAAACTTGTCTCCCCTAATTAAAACACACTCATTTCATCAATGAAAAAACTCTCCAAAACAAAAATATTCTTAGTTTATACAGATAGATTAATCCACACAGACAGTTTCATTCATACAAAACTTAATGGAAAACCAACCAAACAACCCCTTAAGTCCTGTATAGATAAATTTATTTGTATGGGCTAATATGTCTGTATAAATAAGAAAGGTTTTTGTTTGAAAAAGTTTTTTCATAAATGGAAGAATCATGTTTTTTTAACTGGGAGGAGCATGTTGAGAACCTTTTCTTAAAAACTTTCTGAATAACCCACTTTTTATATCATTAAGTCGCTACAAAATAGTAATGTATAGTTCATTGAATAAGTCTCACGAAGACTTAAGTTGCTAACAAACAGGTCCTTATTGAATCTGATTTTAGACTTTAACACCACCTTATATCAATCAAAAGTGAAATAATATTTCATACTTTAACATCTCTTGAAAAATAAACAACACTTAAAGGCATCTCCAACCCAACACTAAAAACACTAAAATTGAAGTGTGTTTCATCTCCAACTGGTCTTTATAAATTAAATATTAAGTTTATATAATATTGAATTTTTATAAGTACATAGATTATTTTTTATTATTATAATATTAAAAAATGTTTTTAATATGTGGTTAAAGTTGATTTTTTTAATATTCAACGAACCTACCATTTTTTAATATTTATTTTTTGTGGTTGGGTTACAAATAAACGGCTTCTTTTGGAGTGCACAAAAGATGCATCTTTGCTTTACGTTTTAAAAACATGTACCTCTTTTGGGTACTTTTCCCTAGTATTTGGATGATGTCACCTCCTTCCTAGCTGCTTAATTAGGCATTGATTAAGATAACGTATGGAGAAACAATGTATCTTAAAACTAAACCGGTCTGATATATCTTATTATGAAGTGGGGTTCAGTGTAGATGTGATATCAGTTGAAATTCAATGAATTTTGTTGGATCTGATCTGATCAGATCATGTATTAGACGTTTTACTATCCGATGGATGATTTGATTGATATGGTTGGCTCTAGGTCATGGAATTCCAACTCCCTCCTTGAATGATGCACTAGGTGTTTCTCCCCCTTAAACTATGCTTGGATCAAACGATGTTAAGATATGCACGTGCAATAGTTCAAGGTACAAAGGCTCTGTATAGCAACAACAATAAACTTACAGCGTTTTGACCCAGCACAGTGCAGAGAATTCCATCTGATGCATTTGTGCAGAGAATTCCATCTGATGCATTTGCTCGGCAGGCACGGATCATGTATGTAGGATCAATGTATTTTACATCAGCCTCATTAGACAGATATTCAAACAACAACAGTAACTAAATAAAAGAACACGAAACATATTTTTAATTCATCATGCCTCATTAGACGTATATTCAAGCAACAACAATAACTAAATCAAAGAACACGAAAACGGGCATCACGTGCAAAATCTAATATGATTTTTTACACTAACGGTCAATGTAAAGGTGTGAAGATGACATGACCCACGACCAAAATCATGTATTATCACATATGATTTTAGTATAAAATCATACAAAACATCGTTTTCTTATTTAGTTACTGTTTGACAATGTCTCATTAACCATGAAAACTCAAATTTTGCTTTAAATTGAACAAAATATTGTTGGGTAACGATGAAATAGAGGGGTAAACGAAAACCTGACCTAAAGCTTTGGTGGGTAAATTTGGGGGAAAAATGATCACACGCTGCTATTCGCTGGATTTGGGGTCTGAGCTTTGATTTCCCTTCTATTTCTTTTCAAAAATCCACCGAGAAATCAGTCCACCAAACGGAGAATCGTTGGTTCCTTATACCCCTCATCGCCGGTGCTCTCGATCCGCCATCTCCACCGCCAAGATCCTTCTCTTGGTTGTTTATTTCAACACACTTTCTTCTTCTCATCAACTTTTTTTCCTTTTCCGCTCGCAGATCTTCCTGGTAAGCTTTTCTCCTTCTCTTCTTATCTATTTCTTTTTACTTAGATCAATGGTTTTCCCACTAGTGGATTGCGTATCAATTCATACTTTTGAATTGCGTGGATCGGCTATCTGCAACTTGAACAGTTTAGGTGCGAGGTTTTTGCGTTTTGAGACAGACCGCATGTGATGGATGTTCCTGCTCTAATTAGTTGATTAGGGCCTTTGTTTCTCGTACCTCTAATCTAGACGACTTTTGGGGATTTTAAAACCCAATAAGAAGACCTGTTGGGGTTCTAGGGTTTTCAAGCAGGGGATTAGGTTCAAGTTATTGTGCGCAAAGTTATGATACAGCTCATATGCCTTTTGAGGCAGATTTCGTAGTTGTATACAATAAGTGCCGAATAACAAGAAGCTTGCAAAAGGACGAACCATGTTTGTTCCCTTATGCTACTAAAATATCATATTAATCACTTAGTTGCTTAAGATTGAAACCCTAAGACAAAACAAAATGGAAATTGCTAGTGATTTTAAGAAATTTGGGGGATTTAGGAGTAAATTATATATTTGCAAGTAGTACTATCAAGATGCTTGTGGCACTTCAGTTTCCTAGTGTTTGGCAGTCATCATAGAAACAAAGCTGAATTGTATTTCTCCTTGTTGAAATGAGTTAGCTGAATGAGTTTGATTGAATTTGGTACGACGTTATTGCACAATGGAGGTGAGAGCTTGAAAAAACTATGTGTGCTGCACAATGAATGCCTGCTATCTTAGTTGTATATATTTGATTATTTAATCACCAACATGGTATGCAACAAAGCATTTAGGTTTTAGCGTTACACATGAAATGCCACATAGTAATTTTTCATTATGCTTCTCTTTTAAAAAAAGACGTGGAGCTTGAAAGATGGAAATTGATGTAGTCTTTTACAAAGGATTTTTATAGGTTCAATGGTAACATGCAATGTTCTAAAAAGTTGAGCATTGATCTTCCCGTGCTTAATCTCCTCAGCAGGAGGTAAGCGGATGTTAGGCACACAAGCGGTTCATTTACAAGATATGAATGTTGTTGGAGTATTAAAACATGCTAGAATTAACTTGTGATACAATTACATTTTTAAATCGTTAGTTTCATTGTTTGATTGGTGCTATTACTTATTAGAGATGATTGGAATGATTCCCTTCAAGTTGAGAAAAGTCGACTGATGAATACAAGTTGAGATTGGTTAATGCCCGCTTATTTTTTTGCACTCTTGATTTAACAAATTAAGTGGTTGGAAACACCTAGCTCCTAGGCCATTGATTAAGTAGCACTAGCTTATTAATGTGGTGGGGCATCGCTTAACGCCTAGGTGGTCATTTAAGCAGCCTTCAGTGAAATTTTTTACAACCCTTGTACAACAAGTGTTAAGTTGTTACCAATGTCTGATGTTGGTCCTTAATATAAGTAGTCCTAAGATTTTATCTTTGTCCCTTTATGTTGGAATGGTTGGTGTTTATGTAAGCATGTGCAAATCCAAGTCCTTTTGTAAAGGATAATATAATCAAACACACTTGTATGATATTGAACAAAACTGTCATGTACTAAAGATGCCCTCAAAATGCACATATAATCACCTATTATCCTTGACAATTGGAATTATGGAGGACAGATCTGGGTGAAGATAATGGTTTAGGAAAACAACCAAGGGACCTGAGTTCTGTGGATTCATACCAAATAAACATTAGAATCTCTTGATCATGCACCTGAGATAGTGAAAGGCATCTCAGGTAAGAGTGATTATTTCACACAATCAAGGAAACACACTCAAACATTTCCAGTCATTTAATAAGTTTATTGATTACATTTATATGTATATAGTAAAACTTAACAAAGAATAAATCATAAAAATATTCGGCACTAACAATTTCTAGTACAATCAGATAAGTATTAGTGATTATGCTAATATCTAGTTTCCACACAATTTCATCATACTTTGATGCTACGATCCTCGTCATTCTGCCATCCATTCAGAAAATTCGGCCTCAAACTCTGAAGTGCTGCAGAAATAAAGACAAGTTTTGAGGCAGTCTTGTACTCATGTATGCTTGATGTTGTATATATAGTTTCCTGGATAGAGGAGGGACAAAAAGGCCAATCTTGTGTTTGCATGTTCAAGCATATATCTTGGAATAAGAACTCACCATGCTTAATGTTCTTAGAAACATAATCAACCACATCATTTTCTTCCTTACAATCTTGTATTTGACTTCTGTTGAAGCTTCAGTTAACGTTTTCATTTGGTTGAGTTGAGTTTCCTTTGAGATATATCATTTGGCTAGTTTTTTTTCCCCTTTTTTCCGTGGTGGTTTGACTTTGTTTATCCGCTCTAATGATATGGAAGAGAGAAAGTATTAGGAAAGCAACTAAAGAACTATGTTTCTAGAACTTCACACTAAATAAACCGCACGATCTCCACCCTTAGAAGGACAGTCATTACGGACATAAACATCTGCAAATTTATATTTTATGGTTTGTACACATCGTCTGCTTTGTTGATATTATATCAGAAGTCCTGCAAGCTGGATGTCCTTCATGCCTAATGAAAGCAACTGCTTCAACATTCATGGTTTGATCTGGTTGATTGCCCTTGATCTTTTGATCTCCTAAGACTATACTCGGATATGATGTTACATATTTCAATGCTTTATCGTACACGTATTGGGAATTTTTTGTGGCTATTGGTTAGTTACTTGAATGCTTTACTTTTGCAGTACCTTATTAGTGTAGATTAGAATTTCTGTTCAAGAATGAACCCGCAACAAGTTGCACAGTCCAGATCTTCTGCAAATGGATTTACTCGTAGAAGAGGTGAAAAGGAAATGGGGACTAGAGTGGAAAATAAATCTCAGCCTGGAAAATCAAATTTCAATAGAATGATGACTGCAGGTAGAACTTTCTTGCCTAATTGTCTTGTGACTTCCATGCTCATCATTTTAACTTCAGCTTCCTCAGGTTTACAAACTGGAAACAAAGTGGGAGTTGAAAGCCCATCACGTGAGCGACTGGTTTATATGACAACATGCCTCATTGGGCATCAGGTGGAAGTCCAGGTCACTGATGGATCTGTGTTTTCTGGAATATTTCATGCAACAAATGCCGAGAAAGATTTTGGTACCTTTTACAACATTTGTGTTGTTGTTGAGATAATGCATGGTTGATACATCTGTACCCTTTGTGTAATTGATCATATGTCTTCTAAAGATATACTTGATTGCTATTTTGCAGGAATAATCTTGAAAATGGCTCGTGTAACAAAGGCTGGTTCATCTCGAGGGCAGAAAAACATTTTGGATTCTGTTCAAAGGCCCCCTTCTAAAACGTTAATAATACCTGCGAAAGACCTCGTGCAGATTGTAGCTAAGGTTTGGTTAATATTATTAGTGTGCTTTTAATATTCACCATCTTACTTATTCGTATCTAGTGGCAGTCCATGTTGTATACTTGTATTCATGTGGAATATTTTATTTCTCTTGAGGGATTCAGCGATAACCTCAAGTGAAGTATAATGTTGTTTTGTAGGCTGTAGCTGGTATCAGAACAGTAGTTGAAAGTTTATAGGTGTTAGGACTGTTGTTGTAGGTTCGCTTATATGTACTAATGAAGTGTTTTTATTGGCCAGAGTGTATCCGTAACTAGGGATGGGTTGATGAATGAGCTTCAGCATGAAAAACTGCATGACATTATGATAGACTCCTCCATTTCTCAATCTCGGCATGTTGAGTTGGAGCGAGAGTTAGAACCTTGGATCCCTGATGATGATAATCCAGAATGTCCTGAATTAGACAATACATTTGATCGTCACTGGAACAGGTTCTACATCTTTATCTTGTACCATGTACTGTTATGGTTCTATTGACCTGTCTAATTTTATCAGGTGAATCCCAAAATGCATATATGTTTTCTGTTGTGGGTTGATGACTTTTTGATGTTGAAACAATTGTTTGGACTTCTTAAAAGCAAACTAGCCGTTTTTTGAACCTATTTCATGTCTTACAGTTACCATATATAAAAACCTTGGGTATGGCCAGGTGGTTAACAAGATTCCATGTTAAGGCATGATCTTAGGTTTGAGTATACCATTTGTTTGTATTTTAGTGGAACTTCTATTGAACGAGACTAGGCTACTCTTAACGTTGTTTCATTCATATGCATCTTTATTAACAGTCTGCTTGTCTATGGGATAGTCTTGTATTCTACCAGATTTCGCAATTACATCTGCACAGATCTGCTGAATCGAGAATAACTAATGTCCTATAGACAAGGAAGATGTTGAATTAAGCTCTCTGTTTTATTTTTATTAGTGGCTTTTGACATAGAAATGCCCTTCTCCTTTGGTTCCAATGTAGAAGCATGTTAAGTGAAACAATGTGCTATTTTTCTTGGGATGAAAGCTGGCAGTGCATATCTTCTTCGGTGATGACATATCCTTGATGCACCTGCATAATATCTATTGCAAGTAGGGTTGCGGAAGCGTATTAGAAACCATTTTAATTATTATGTCCTGATAGTAGCAACTTCTCTCTCTGTAATTTCATCATTCACATGATTAGTGTCGGATTATGTACATACTTCTGTTTAACCTAAATTCGGTTTATAGTAGGGAGGAGAAGGGAAAAAGTTTTTATTAGGGCTTAATGGATGTCTATTACCTTCTTGTACAAAATATCTATAGTCTGATGCATAAGAACCTTTCAGACATGTTAAGCGGCCACTCCTATATGCTATGTTCACATGTCAAAGGTACTCTGCCATTGTCAGCTTCTTTCTTATTTGACCTTTATCTATGGTCTTGTATTTTCTCATTCTTCATACCTGGACTGCTCTCTGTATACCCCTTTTCTTTGTCGTTAGTTGATGACTTGATGCTAATCTGACTTATTGCCAATTAGCTCGATAGAAATCAACTCTCCTGTGGCAATATCAAATCAAGCGATAATATCAGCATTTGATGATGAAATTGTAATTACCAGCAATATCATAAAACATGCATTGGATTTGCTCTTGACAGGCAAGAGGTACAAAGTTTCATGTAAAGAATCCCTTGTACAGGGGGCAGTACAAAGTATTTGAAGGGAACCAATTTGGCAATTGGAAAACAGTAGCAACTATGCTAGATAATATTCTATGTTAGTGAATGTCTATAAAATCTTTATCTCCTTCAATTTACTGATATAGCTCACAATTACTTAGGGGCTGGGATCAATTTGAAGCAAATGCAACATTATTTGGCGTAAAAAGTACCTTTAACGAGGAGCTCTATACAACAAAGCTTGATAGAGGTCCTCAAATGAGAGAGTTAGAAAGAGAAGCATTAAGAATAGCTAGGGAGATTGAGGGTGAGGATACCCAAGATCTTCACTTAGCCGAGGTAAGGGTTTCACTTCTTCAATTCAGTTCCTATGTAACTTACTATTTGTTTATAAATTACTTCTGCGAATTCTTACAGCTCATTACTTTCTCTTTTCATTAGGAAAGAGGCATTCACTTTCATGACAAGTTTGATCTCGATGAGGAAACCAAATATTCATCTGTTTTCCGCGGGGTTGATGATAGTGGTTATGATGAAAATGAGGACGTCTTGGATTCACAAAATAGTGAAACCTTCGGAGATGTTTCTGATTCTGTCATCAACAAGTCATCCAGTGACTTGGCAAGTGGGAAAAGTAACAATGGATCTCAAATACCATTAAATTTCTCGACATTGGTATTTGTCAACTTCTCAACTTTTGTCCTAGAGTTCTTTTAAGATTTGCAATGATAGGAGTAGTCTTTATCAAGGTTTTAAAAGGCGGAACCGGGCCTCGAGGCGTTTTCCCTCAACGAGGTGAGGCGTAAGCCTCGAGGCAGTCTGAGGTGTTACCCCGAGGTGGAAATATATATATATATATATATATATATGTATATGCCAAAATATGTATACACACACAAAATACAATATATATATAATACTAAATTACTAAGGGGGTTGGTTCAATGGTTCTTGACAGAGGAAAGGGTGAAACCGTGAGATAGGCTGAGAGGGAGTGGAAAAATTGGTTGCTTGGAGGAAGAGGAAAGGTCAAACCACACTTTTTGATCGAGAGGAAAAAAGAATTAGTTTTTTGGGTTTTAAAGTATTGAAAGTACACATAGGGGTCATTGGGCTTTGACTTTTAGTTTTTTAAAATAAAAAAGACACTTATACTATAAAGAGAAGTACCACTACTGCCATAAAACTTGTAAAAAAGCCAAAAAAACCACTACTAAAGAAGATCATCTGAGGCGTATGTCTTGACACCGCTTCAAGCCTCACTGGACCAAGGCGTAAGCCTCGTCCAGGGTCCAAAAGGCGCCGCCTCAGGTGCGGTTCTGGGCTGCCTCTCCTCGAGGCGAATGTCTCAAACGATTTTTAGAACCATGGTCTTTTTTGGGTCAACTAAGCCTGTATCTGAAAATAAAGCAAGGGGTTGTCATGATTCAGTATTCGACCTTCTGGGTAAATGAGTTTGTTTTTACTGAATTAACAATAAAGGCACTAAATAACTTTAACACAGTTTTCCGTCTTTTTTTTTTCTGGGTAGGGGAGGGGTAGTTCTGTTGCTGTCCATAATACTATATCATTTGGTACATGCATGCATTGTTTATGCTTATTGTGTTCGAGTATAACAATTGCCAAACACTAATTTTAGTGCTACATGATTTGTTATTATTCCATGTTATGCAGGCTGACATTCAAGCTTCTCATTTGAGTACTAGCAATGATCACCACCTATCTGGTTCTTTGGATGGTGAGAGGAGGTATGTATATTGGCTTAATATGTTCTGAATGTGTCATTTTATGTATAATGCACTTATAACATCTGTTCTGTCCTGAAATCTGACTATCCTCTTCCCTCCTTTCCTATGTATCTCACTGAGTCTTCGTTATTTCAGGATTCAAGACAATCAGACTAATCAACAGCGTGCCAGAAGTGATATAGCCAAAGAGGATACAGATAAGCACATGGTAGATTTCGTTTTTCACTACTTGCCACTTAGGCTACTTTTTTGACATCCACCATGACGCTATTAGCTTCTGTTTTCTTGTATTAGCTCCTGACTGCTTCTTTTCTATTTAACTAATGCAGCTGTATGAGCAAAGCCAGGCTCCAAAATCTGAGGGTTAGTATCTTATACTTTTGTTAATAACATGTGAAAACACTTCATTATCTAGTAGTCATTTACAGCATATCCAAAATTTATCATGTTTCATGAACATTGATACGATGGATATAATGTCGACTTTGGTTTGTCAAGAGTTTGTGTACATAAAATTTCCCCCCCCCCCGGATGAAAATTGAAACGATTTCCATTTTGAGGCGTGCCATGAAAATTACAGTGCTTTCTTTCTTGGCAATTCTTCCAAGAGCAGCACCTAGTTGTTACAAATTCTTGATAATTGATTTTGGGGCACAAGGTTCTTTTTTAATTTGCCAATTCAGAAAAGGGTATTTTAGACAAAATTTCAAAGTCAAATGCCTTGTTAAAACTACATACCGAGTCAAACATTGCAATTTTTGTTGGTGGAGAGAATCCCTGATACTTTATAGTCTATGTTGCAATTTTTATAAAGCACAATTAATACACTTGTATTGTAACATGATGGAAAGCTCTAAGAGGAAGATTTTAAATCCTTTTACATCTATAAGATGGAGTGGTAAAGTCCTTCCTAGAGAGCCACAAGTCATCCATGTACTTTGCCACAAGCATCCTGCTAAAGCTCTGTTCAACCCACTCACATCTAGGCTGATTTGTTTTTGGTCAATAGGAAGAATTAGAAGATTCCCGCATAGCTTCACTTCATATTGTCTTCAGTAAAAGAATATTAGACTGGCTGATCAATCCATCTTACATAGAGTAAATAGTAGGCAAAATTTTGTGGATATAAATATTAGTAACAATACAACGATGGAGGTAGGTTCATACGAGAATGGTACCTATTTAAGAAAATAAGAAAATGACCAAATTACATACAATCACATGTGATTTTACGTTAACGGCCGAAAAAGTGTGTGGGCGACCCTATGGCCGTGTGGCAAGGTCGCACGAATAACATGTGATTTTGTACGTGATGTTAGTGTAATATCACATGTGATTCGGCCATTTTCTTATTTTCTTAAATAGGTACCATTCTCGTATGAACCCGACTCTACAACGATGAGGTTATAAGAAGACCGGTCAAGAAAAGGAAGTTCAAGAAACATTGGAAAATAAGAGATAGGTGAAAATATAGGCAAGTGACTGGAAAAAGACCATCTCAATGAAATTCGCGGCCGGAAAAGAATTTAGGAAGATTGGTTTTAAGAGCAATCTAACGAGTATCTCATTTATTGAAAAGATCCCTGCTTAAGGTAGGCATTTAACGTCCCCTTATTCCCCAATTAGTTGAGGCCGCTTAATCTGCCACCTTATGATTTCTTAATCCATGTTTAGGCAATTGAGCACTAGAAGGTTATTTAGCCGCCAACCTTCGTTCAATACTTTTTAGAACATTGCTTTTATTTATCACAAGGCACTTAAGGTGAGGACTGAAAACAGTAAGAAAACACTTCACAGCCTAATCAATGATCACTGCTCACAGAAGAACGCAAAATCGGAAAAGGGATCAACTCCTTTGATGCTTTGAAGTCCTTCATCTTGGTTTGATGTGCTACCTTTGATAACTTGACACTCACTTGCATAATTTCCACCAATAATTTAAGTGGGTATAATGTTACCTTGAATACTTTTCTGTTTTTTTCATGTCCAGAGTTGCCTTTTCTAATAACTATTTTACTGCTATAGAGTCGTCACTGCAGCCAAATAAAGAAAGCGCTGATAAAGGACTTTCAGCGACTGCGACTGCATATGCACCATCAGTTGCCTCGTCTAAAGCTCAGGAAAAGACAAGTTCTAGTGAAGTATCAGAAGGTGCAGCCACTGTGAAGATACATGGGGCTACACAACCTGCAGTCTCTCGTGCACGGCCTGGTAGTTCTGCATCATCCACTTCAGAATGTGGAAATGCTGCCCCTGCTGCTGCAAGTGGACCTGGATTATCACCAAGCTCATCAATGGGTTCTCTGACTTCGGAAAAATCAACATTGAACCCTCATGCAAAGGTTAAGAATATATGGTTCTCATAGTTCTGTATGGGTGTGTTTGGTATCCGGACAGGATAGAATATGACATGATAGAACAGGACAGAACTACTGTTCAACGATTGGTAAGACAGAATTGGACAAGACATAACACATAAAATGACCAATTTACCCCTAATGAGTTGTTTAATTTATGTAATTTATTAAATTATAATAAAATAAATATTTTTTATAACAAAATATATCATTAGACAAGACGATTAAATTAAATGACACAATAAAAAGATTACGTAGTTTCCAATTTTTATTTTATACATTTTAATATTATTTTTTTATTATTAACATTTATTAAATTACATGAAGTAATCAAAATATAGAAAACATGTAAAAATAATATTTTGAGGACGATAAAGTGAAATTTTGAAAAACATAAAATACAATAATTCTTTTTGAAGAATGAATAATATGTAAAGAGGGAGATGTATTCGATGTTTTTAGAAGAGAATTATGTTTATTTTGAGGTTATATTGGTAAAATACAGGTTTGTTCCACCTTGTTTCATGGGGTGGGGGTGGAACACGCCTGTTACTCTTCATTCCACTCTGTCTGTACACATAAAAGTTCTACCAAAAGTGGAACAGTGATCCTTGTTCTGTTATGTAATATCCAATGTACCAAACTCACCCTAGAAGCTACAGGACTAAGACTTCCCATACCTTCTAAATAAGAATAATAATACTGATACCAACACTGGTGCGATAGTATTAATGATAAAACTGATTATGTTGGTAATAACTTGTCACAGTTGCTAACAAATATAACTCTTGTTCTAAATAAAATAGTTAGCTGCTTTGAAACATGCTATTCCTTTAATTGACGTTCTTTTTATGTCTATGTTTGTAGGAATTTAGACTCAACCCAAATGCCAAGAGTTTTGTTCCATCACCAGCACCTATAAGGGCTGCATCGCCAGTATCGGATGGCTCCTTCTATTACCCAGCTAATGTTGCTCCAGTCCCACATATGCATGGCATGCCCGTTGGCATTGGAGTAAGTTCTTATTGATGATTATGATTATTTGTTCCTTGTACTCCATGGCTTTGATCATATGGAGTGATGTGAAATTATATTTATAGGTTTTTACAAATTGGTTGAATCAGATATTTGTTCTGTTTCTATTATCTGCATGTGAATATCTCTATAAAGTATATAGAGCTCAGATACGGAAGGAGGGGGGATACATCCCAAGTACAGTTCAGATAACAATTGAGAACAGAAATATGCGTCAGTGGAGGTTATTCTTATGTGTCTTAGAATAATCCGAGTTATTTTTGTGAAATCCTATACTGCATTAACCCAATTGACATAGATGCCATCCCTAAGGAAGGGGATGTTTGGTTGGTTTTCCATTAAGTCCTGTATGGATAAAGATGTCTGTGTGCATTAATCTGTTTGTATAAGTTGAGAAGGTTTTTGTCTGGGAGGGTTTTTTCATAGATGGAATGAGCATTTTTTTTAATTGGGAGGGGCAGGTTTGGAAAAAACTTGGCTTTCTGCATAAAGCTCCCCTCTAGAAGCTTTCTGAATAAGCCACTTTCTAGATCATTAAGCCGCTACCAAACAGTCATGTATAGCTGACCAAATAAGCTGAGTCCCATTAAGCTTATTAAGCTGCTAACAAACAGGCCATAACACCATTTACCCTATATTAATTTACTTGAATAAAAGGTTGCTAAAATGTAAGAAGTAATGTCTGCCTTTAAAGTTGAGGTAAATCGAACTTGTTTGTTGGTTATATTTTTTCCTTTTGGCCTTTGTAAAGTTTGAATGGTGTGTTGATAACATTATTTCTGGAAAGATTTGAGTATGAAGAATGGGAAATGCCTGTTAATTTCTCTCTAGACTAGGCTGCTATCGAAGCTCCATCTACAAATGGATAAGACTTTAATTCAAGCGTTCGCTTTTTAATTGGTTTTTGTGTAAATTACATTTGTAGATGGGACCGTCGTTTCCTCCCCACCAGCCTGTTATATTCGGTCCACAAGGAACACCTTTGCAATCCCCCCAGACATATTTTCACTCAAATGGTCCGCAGGTATGTTGGTAACTTTTATTTACTTAACGCTGTGTTTTCAAATTTTAGAAGAAAAGAAAAGAGAAGGAAGTGATGGAAAAGATGGGAAAAGAAAAGAAAGGAAATGAAAGATCTTTTTTTTGTATAGAGGGAATCATGTTCTTCAGCAGGAGAGAAAGGAAAGGAAAGATGTTGTTTTTACAAATATACCCTTAATTATTTCCAGCAGGTTGTAATTGATGGCTAGATATGTAGTTTTATAAATATTCATAGTTATTATTGTTTCTTTTCTTCCCTTTCCTCCCACATTTGGGAGGAAAATCAAACATTATTTCTTCCTTCTCCTTTCCCTCAAAAAAACTTGAGAACACAGACATTTTTTTCTTTCCCCCTACTTTTCTTTCCCTCCCTTTCCTTCATGAAAAAAGACTCGAGAACACAGCATAAGTGATTTTCCTTCGAGTTTACTCTAATATAGTCGTGATGTTAAATGTATCGCAGTATGGACAGCAGATGCTTCTGAGTCAACCACGACAGGTGGTATACATGCCAACTTATCCTCCGGTAAGAAACTTGACTGTACCTTCTTCGTGTTTTTACAGTCTTGCACACCTGGTAACATAAAATGCATCCTTATCGTCACTCTTGGCTAACAATATATTCATTCTGTATTTGGGATAATACTCCCTCTGTCCTAGAATAAATGTTCACAAATGAAAATGACACAATTTTAGAAATGTGCAAGTATTTCACCTTTTTAATGGCCAAAAGACACTTCTGCTCTCGATAATAGAGAGAGAGAAACTTTCTTCATCTCATAATTAAGGGTAGAATGGTCAAGTGGGAATTTACTTTTGAAAGTGGACACTTATCTTAGGACAAACTAAAATAGAAATGTGAACAATTAATTTGGGACGGATGGAGTATAAACTAGCAAGTAGAGGATACAGATTTTAGTATTATATTCGATCAGAATATTAAGGGGCAGTTTACTGAACAATTACACGGGAAACACTTACCGGGAAAATTTAACACTATCAGTTACTTACCGGGTAAGCTTTTAATCCACCCAAACGGCATCGTATGCAACAATTTACCCGGTAATCGCTAACCGTGGTAAGAGTCGTCGCCCTCACTTATCGGGTAAGGCTCTTGGTCCTTGTCTCGCTCTTACCGGGTAAGACTTGGTCCTTACCATATTCATCCGGTAAGGTAATGTGACTTAGTAAGCGCTTACGTGGGTAAGCGTTTGGTAAACGTCCCCTGAATTGAGCCTCAAAATCTGTCAATGAGTTTTTTGGTATTTGAGGGTAATAGTCGTTATAATCAGTTCGTTCCCTAGCATGTTAAACGTGGGATATATATACATATACATATACACATATATGTACACACATACACACATATATACATATATGTACACATACACATATATATGTACACACACATATATACATATATGTACACATACACACACATATATATACACATATGTATACATACATATATATACACATGTATATATATGGGCTTAATCATTTGAGAATTCCAAAATTTGTGATATCCGTGAGGACTTCAACCTTTGAGGTTTTGTTTCACATTATTTTGTTTCATCTAACTATATTGTTTAATATATTGATTAACATACATTTGTTTCATAAGTATTCGTTTCACAATATGATACTCTTTTACATGCATTTTTTGTTTCACAAATACACCAAAAACGTTTATATTGTGAACCGAGTAGATGTGAAACAAATATATGTTAATCGATGTTCTAAATTCTAGTTTTTGATGAAAAGAAATCATATGCAAAAACACATGATGCCTAGTTCTCAAGGTTATCACAAATTAATGGGTTCCCAAAAGAAGGTCCCCCCTCTATATACATACATATATATAGAGAGAGCTGTGTTATCTCTTTTTATAGTGTAATCAATAGCTTTGAGTGCAACATGGCTTTCAAAAAGATTGGAACGTACATGATTATAATATGGGTTTGAAACATGGGTTGTGTTTAACTTGCTTAACGACTCTTGTTCAACCGTTGTAATGTATAAAAAAGAGCGTACAAGTTAAATGAGAGTTAGAATATAGAAAATGTATTATTATATAGAGAATGATAACTATTTAAGTAAATACAAAACAGTCAAATCGCATGTGATTTTGTACGTGATGTTAGTGTAAAATCACATGTGATTTTTATAGGTGATGGTGGTGTAAAATCACGTGTGATTCAATCATTGTCTTATTCTTTTAAATAGGTACCGTTGTTTCAACACTACTCAATATAAGCATGCATATATGATTGTAGGGAGAGTGAGGTAACATGTGTGTTTTATGACACAGGAAATGCCAACATATAAAGGAAGAGAGTTTTAGGTGGTTGATGATGAGGCGTTGCGGGCGGTTATGAAATGAGATGAATAATACAAACAAAAGCAACAGGCTGATCCAACAACAAAGAGGAGGGAAGGAAAAAAAGAAAGCATATAAGGAAGCGTGTGAGACTAACCGACATTGTGCTTTTTTCTTCTATTATTGTTATTGTTATTGTTATTAATATTTAGATTGATTGTGTTAATTGAAGCACATCTAAAATTGAAAAAAGAAAGTAGCCACTCCACTCCACTCCACTCCATTCCACTTTCATTGCTCAAGTTTGAATGGTTTTGCATTGACTTTGGTTACAAATTGCTTGCTTTCTTTCTTTAACCACACCACATATCCATCTAAAACATGACTTCCTAATGATGGGTATTGACCTCTTAAAAGCCTGAGCTTTACTGGCTGATCAAACGCACTTTGGTTCTTGTCTGCATCCCTACGCTATTGGCCTTCTGTTGCATGCCCATCATTGGTGGTTTGAAGCTCAACAAGTAATATTCTTGAAAAAGCTTTTCAGAAGCCTTCAAAAATCAGTATCCATTAAAGAAATGAAAAACTCATGAATACTTTAGTAACCATTCATTTGTACAGTGCGTACAAGTAACTGAAAATATTCATGATTTCTAATGCAAGTGTGCATACCAGACAAATTACTTATAATATATAGATACTTTACAGATAAATGATTATTAGGGTTTCTTTTTTAATACAGAAGTGGGTTTTTTCTGGTTCGAGAATTGACAATTTTTGTGATGGGTAATTGCATGCATATTTGATGTCATTTTCTGCATATCTTAATCTTGCTTCCATCCTCATAACAGCTAAAAAACAAGCCCCAAAAAAAGCAGACAACAAAAATCACATCATCACCCAATTCCAATTCAAATTCCAAATCCAATACCAACAAAATCTTAACTGTCATCTCACTGATACCCACACTACAAATATCTTATATTAATTATAAATTAAAAAAAATAATAAAATAATAAAAAATAAACAAATTTAAAGCCCACGATGATCACTTGGGCCTGGGCCTGGCCCAAGATTGGACATTCTGAGCCCTTGATTTTGGTTGAAAGAATTAATCTTCTCAAGTTTTAACCCGGCCCGAAACCTTGCAATGAAACTATCCGCTTTCGTATCCACATCTGGGCTAGGGCAGAACAGCGGCGACGCTACGGCGGACAACGGCGACTGAGCTTCATCGCCGTCAGGAGACACACTGCCGGAGCTCAGGGTGCTCTGAACTCTAACATAGTTCCCTTCCACCGCAAACTTCCAATCCGGCATCTTAAACGGCGGCATCGGCGGTGGCGGAGGAATTCTACCCATTGGCGACTCGCCGCCGCTTGAGCTATCATCAATGGTGTTAATGAAGCTCATATTTAATGGAACTCGAGGTTTTTCCGTTACGAATGGCGGTACTCTGGTTATTGTAGGTTTTGGAGCACGCGCCGCTGGCGGTGGTGGTGGTGGAGGTGGAGGCGGAGGGAGGGTTGTTGAGGAGGGTTTCTTTCGTCTTTCTTTTTTAGATGTAAACAGATTGTTGAGGACTGAAGGTGGAGGAGGCGGAGGCGGTGGTGGTGGTGGGGGCGGCGATGGCGGTGGGAGCTGAAATTTCACCGGCGGTTGAGGATGATGAAGAAAAGTATCCAAATTGTCAACACTTCTTTGCCTTTGTCTCTTTTTCTTCTTCTTTTGGTAAAAAGATGTAAAAAATTCTTTAGTTGCATTAGCACCAGTCCTTTTTCGTTCAACTCCGCCGGTTTTTTGATCGGAATCTTGAATTATCGGCAAGATCGGCGGCGGAGAAGATGGCTCCGGCGTCACCATTTTCCTTGGTTCTGAGCTTCTTGCCCTTCTCCTTTCTCCTTTACCTCTTTTTCTGATATTAGTTTCTCCCTTTCGGTCGGAATCTTGAAACGGCGGTAGAGACCGAACAGTCACCGGGGGCGGCGGAGGAGCTGTTTCCGGCGAGAAAACTTCACTGAACTCCGAACTCCTACTTTTTTCTCCGGCGTATTCAGCAGCATTGTGATATGTTCTGCTTAAATTCTTTCTTCCCATTGCCGGTGGCTGCGGCTGCGGCGGCAGAGACGGCGGAGATGGCAGTTGTTGGGGTGGAGAATACGATTCATCTTTAGAAGCTGGCGGCGGCGGCGACGGTGGTGGTGGTGGAGCATATGAATCTTCTTTAGGAAGATCCACAACCGAATCAACATGAATAACATCCTTAGTATCAGGATCTTGTTCTCGCCGGAAATAATACCGATCGGAGTCCAAACTCCGGTGACTATTCAAATGGGTATCATCGGAAAACCGCCATGAACCTGCACCTTGGTGGTTCCACGGCGGCGATAGCTCCCGGAGATCAGGGTAAGAACTAGTACTCCTATGCCTTCTTAACCCACCAATGGGTTGTTCAGGGAAATCATACCATTGATGTTGGATTATCGGCGGCGGAGTTGAAACCGTAGGTGCGGTTGAAAAATCCGATGAACTCCGATCAAATCCATTATCAAATCTCGATTTCTGATCATTATTAATGTTTCTACCAAGAAACCCAAATGCTAAAGCAAATAAAACCAACACCAAATTGATTGAATCCCAACTCTTTTTCACTAAATTTGGTCTAAAAATTTGAGATGAGAACGAAATAAGTGATGGGATTATATACACCATTGATATAATTGCAAATAAAAGTAGGAGGATGATGAGGACGCCGGAGTTGAAGAAGAGAGACGATGCACGGCGGCGGTAGAGTTCACCACGGCGGAGATTGGTGGTGCTTTGTATCCAAAACGGAGTTCTTGGTGTTTCTTCACCATCTTCTTCCATCATCTTGAACTTGAAGTGGGTGAGAAAGAAAAGGAAAGAAAGGGTTTTGAGGGGGAGCTTTTTGCTTTAAGCTTTTGTTAAAGTCACTTGTGTTGTGCCTAATCTTATAAAGTGTCTTCTATATATATATATATATATACACAAATTTTTTAAATAATAAATATTGATATTTTTATAAAAAATTAAAATTTTGTAAATGATGTATAATGTGAAGAAAAGACTGGCAAATAACAAATTCTCATACTTAACTTGTGACATATAATTTTATCTTTACTATAAATAAAACAACAAAATTTTATTAAAGTTGAAAGTTGGGTTCATGTGAGAGCAGTATATTTTAGTGACAGAGTTGAAAGGGTCTTTAACATAATGGTGTGCTGAGTTTTTAGTTTTTTAGGAGGTCAAATGTGTAAAACTCTCCAAAAATGAAAAGGGTATTTGAGTTTATTTATTTTATTTACTATATATAAATATTATATATTTAAAAAAAATCATGTGAATTTGACGAAGAAAGTGAAATATTAAAGGAAAGGTTGATTTGGTAATTTGGTATGATGATTAAACCAAAAAAAAGGATTAAAAAAATGGGATTGGGTCAAAATATGTCAAAAAGTAAAAGATGAGGAGCGCAAGGCGAAGGCGAAGGCGTGTGGTTTGTTAGGAATGCTATGGGAAATGACAGATCAAAACCGCGTGTCGTGATTCCTCTACAACCAATCTCACCCTTTTTATTTCTTTCACTCCAATCCTTTTCTTTTCTCATAATCATCACACAAACACATCCACCTAAAAATATATATACACAGCGGGAAGAAAAGAACACCTTAATAATCATTCATATGTATAATATACATATTTTTATATAAGTAATTAAAAATATTCCTTGGTTTATAATGCATATGTGTATATCGGACAAATTATTTGTATACACATGTATATACAATATAGATGGATGATTATGAGGGTGTTAATTAGTTTTTCATCTTTTTTTCGGGTTTTCCCTGGACCTGACCCTATATGTAGAGCACGTTTCAAATACAGTTTAATCTTATTCGTACAACCCTGAACTAAACTGGTCATTTTATTTTAGTTTTTCAGTTTTTTTAATTGATAATTTGTGACTATCTTTTCCATCTCATCAAATGTTGACCGTTAATGAATTAATTGATGGTTAAGATGAAGTTGTGTTGGTTGTATAAATGGAATAGTTTGTAAAATAAACCACCTCTATATATACAATCATTTACAAATTCACTAAATCATACAAACCATTTTTAACATATTGAAACAACATGTGAAAACACAATGTTGTTTTATAGATGAAACTTATATTATTGTTTTGTATTTTACACATGTTATTTTATATATAAGGCAACAGATAAAAATCAGTCTGTAAGTTTGTACAAATTATCGGATTTTTTTTAAAATAAAATAAAAATCTCTCTGTACATTAATTTATTTCCTTGTATAGAAAGTGTGACACTTGAAACACATTCTACATGGGAATTGTGTAATTATTAATTGCCACAAGATTATTATGTGTAGGACAAGATTTCCCCTCTCTCAAGTTTCTCAATCATCCATGTGCTCTTTCATCAATCTAAGGACAGACAGACAGCTACCAATTTCTCAAATACCCACCAACACATCACAGTTGGGTTTTCACACCTGAGTCCATTAACCCGGTTCAAACGGTCAAGATGGGTCGAACCAACCTGACCCGGGTCCTTTTCATTAGCAGCTTAACGAGACTCACAGCTTATTCAATCAACTATACATGATTGTTTGGTAATGGCTTAATAATATAGAAAGTGGTTTATTCAGTAAACTTCGAGAAGGGAGCTTTATGCAGAAAGCCAAGTTTTTTCCGAACTTGCTCCTCCAAATTAAGAAATCATGCACCTTCTATTTATAAAAAAACCCTCCCAAACAAAAATATTCTCAATCCGTACAAACACATTAATCAGATATTGCTAATGTAACACCCCAAAGCCCAAAGCAGTACACTAAACTTCAAATCAACTTAAAACTGTGGTGGAAGTTATAGCTTACTGAGCTTATAAAAACCTCACAAATCTAACTTTTTATCCATATAGAACGGGTTGTTACAGCCAATGCGATAAAAGTGCAAGTATATAATGTTAATTCCGGAAGTTTCAGTATCGCTAATGCTAAACGATTTGTGCACGAGTCATCTTACATTGTCGTTTACCTTTCGTCAACGCTCTACATTAAGTTAATATGCGGAACATCCAAAAGGATTCAAAGACTCGCCTTTGGAATTTACAACACCATTGATGTTCCCTTCTACGGCCAAGAAGATGTCACATGTGAGATTTTCTGTGAAACTAGTCACCTCAGCAAGCATCATAAGACGATAATGATTATTGTAATAAGCACCGCTACTGTAAATATCAGAGCCTGCAATAAAACCAAACTCGGTTAGTTGAGTACTAGATGGTTTCTCGGGTTTACAGACCGAAAACTCCCAAGTCCAGGAGCACCAAAGAATAACATACATAGATGAGGCGCACATTGACTAATCCTATGGGATCCTGAAGATAACAGTCAAGAAAATCCCTAGTGGCATTGAGTAGACTCGAACTGACGACCTATGGAGAGGAGCCCCAATGCCTAGACTTTGTTTTATTTACAAGACAGAGAACATCCAAAGTGCATTTGGTACACTGAACAAGACAGAACAGGGATTACATTCACTCTATCTATGAATCTACCTCCGATTAGATTTAGACCAATTAATGTTGGACTTATCATAAGATTTAGTCTAAGTGATGACCATTCCTTAGGAGTTAAGATCGGCATGCTTCGTTTGACAACCAATATGGAAATTGTTTGAATAGGGTAATTATGACGCTGGCAGTTAGGGTTCTTTGGTTGAGTTTCCATTAAGTCCTGTATAGATAAAGTTGTTTGTGTGCATTAATCTGTCTATATAGATTGGAAAAGGTTTTTGTTTGGGAGGATTTTTCAATAGATAGAAAGAGCGTGTTGTTTAATTGGGAGGGGAAAGTTTGGAAAAAAACTTGGCTTTCTGCACAAAACTCCCCTGTAGAAACTTACTGAATAAGCCACTTTCTATATCATCAAGCCACTACCAACCAGTCATGTATAACTGACTGAATGCTAGCTGAGTCCCATTAAGTCCATTAAGCTGGCTCTTAGAGTGCAAAACAGTCCACTATTTCAAATAAATGTGTAGAAAAGGAATGAAAGAAGTGGAGTGAAACACCTATATAAGACGGTTCCTTTGGATAAATGACCTTAAGTGAGTTTTCAATTAGGTGCATGACCTTCTAAACTTTTCAGCTCAATGACCTTCATCTGACCTGCCACTGGTTCAAAACAGTCTGCTCCCATAAAAACTTAGATATACACTAGAGGGCCATTTGCAAAACGAGCTTCTGCAGAAGGTCATTGAGCTAAATAGCCCTATAAATGACGCACATAGATTAGTTTTTCAAATACATACAGCTATTGCACTGGCAGCAAGTCCTGTTCGCTCCCTTGGATCCTTCCGGTAGTAGTTTCCAAAGTACAAGATTGTTGCATAATACCACATCAACGGGAGTACAAACCCAAGCAACAGACTGCAAAAGCACATATACCCACATGATGAAGTTAACATTTTGTGTATATACATAAGCCAACATAGCACATAAAGTATAACTGACCAAAACCATCCTATTCCACATCCAAAACAAGGGAGGGGATTATCAAAATATCCTAGCTGATTATCCTCTGCATCTCCAATTAGTGTGTAATTTCCATTTTCATGTTCCTTTAAGTCCGATGAAACCACTGCATGCATCAATAGAACAAACTGTTAACCAAATTAATCAATATAAGCAAACAAACAAGTAACACTCCTTCAGTTTCTAATATCAGCAAGCATTAATATATCAACAGATTGTTTACTTTGGTGGGTAAGTCAATGTCTTCAGCTTCTTTTTCCTCGAAACACCTGTTGACAGACAATAATAATATAGCTTAACTTGAGTCCAAGGTAATAGAAGAACAAATGAAAGTATTAATTCCACTGCCACTCTTATTTAAAAAAATCAGTGGTTCCTTCTTTATATTCTACTTTTTTCTTTGAAGCGGGCAACCTCACATGCGGGTATTATTTCTTTATATTTAAAATGGTAAATCTGTTTACCATACTCTTTGCTTCCTTGCACACACACTCTCTTGTAGCATGATGCATTACTTGTTTCTTTTAGTTATCATTTTGCAACCAGAGGGATTTCACAGAAATAGCCTCTCTATCCCTTGAGGTAGAGGCAAGGTCTGGGTACATCCTCCCCCCTCACCCCACCCCACCCCACCCCACCCACAAAAAAAGAACCTACCTCTGTGTGAGATTTACTGAGTTGGTTTCCTCTGTTTTGGTAAAAGCATGCCACATTTTGGGGTAGCGATTTCAATAGTGACATCTACAGAGTTTCCATTTGGAGTGGTAAGCTATTTGCATTGAAACAAACTGTAATCCTAATCCTTTCCTAACAACACCAGAAAGATTGATGGCTTAGGGGCTGTTTGGTTGGTTTTCCATTAAATTCTATATGGATAAAGCTGTTTGTGTGGATTAACTTGCCTGTATAGACTATAGATTGGAAATATTTTGTTGGGAAGGGAAGAAGAAGCATGTTTTGATTGGGAGGGGCATGTTCGTAAAAAACTTGGCTTTTTGCATAAAGCTCCCCCCTAAAACTTACTGAATAAGCCACTTTCTATTTCATTAAGTCACTACCAAACAGTCATGTGTAGCCGACCGAGTAAACTGTAAGTCTCATTGCAAACAAACAGACTCTTACTTGCTTAAAGCAAGAAAACAATTTCAAATTATCATGCCATTGTGAATCAGCAAGCAGAAAAACCCTAAACAACAGTTTTAGATAGAATGAATTAGACATAGAGAAATCAATCCCAATTCCAACTCCTAGTAGGCTCCATGCAACTAATCACATGGAACTGGAATTCCAGATTAACTAATCAATTTTGTATGTTTTTTGAAAATTATTCACGCCCAATTCCTCAGTTATTTGCTGGCATTAGGAAGTTGTTCCCAATTAGTTAATAACCAGAAACATTGATGCAAGCAGAAGATCAACAAAATTAGGTTTTTTGTAAATAACAAAACCCAAAATACATAGAATTAACGACGAAACGTTATTGATGCTAGATGAAGCAAATGCAGTGCTGATTCACTAAAACCCTTGATCAAATATGTTGAATTAAACGAAACGGAATAAGTAAATTCGATCAAAATTAGATTACGCCAACGAGCTTGCTTAACAGAAAACAGTAAAAATAGTAGTAAACACCATTGTTACAGTTGAAGGGAAGAGAGAGAGCCACCTTGGTGTCGTCGCTGTTAAGTTTGAAGTTGGTAGACTGCCACCACCACCAACTGCCTTCAGACTTCAATTTGATTCGAAAAGGTTTTTGTGGTTATCAAAGTCAAAAAGTCACAGCACCATAAATACACTTATTTAAATATTCTTTTATCCTTAATAATTTCATAAAATACATCATTTGAATCGCTAAAGTGCGAATATTGTTTGGTAAAAAAAAGTTTGTTCTTTAATGATTCTACAACTTTATGTTTTCTTAATCATTCAGTACCTTAATTTCATTGTAAACAATTATTGAATAATTACATTTCATTTTGCACTATATTATAAGAGTCTGTTAACCGTTATGACCACTTAATCATTCTACACCAAACTATTCAGCAACTGTCAAACAACGACGTTTTATTAATGTATATCTAAAAAAATTAAAAGACAACAAATTTTATTGAAAACAAAAGAGTCAATATAAATTTTCCACAAGATTCAGAAAAACCTAAACAAAAACATAGATACAACATGAGCCACTACGACACCAAAGGGTCCATTTTCTCCACACAAAATGGGGACACAACGAAGAGTGAAGATCAAGACATATGTTGCTAAGAACCAATTGAACTGAAAGTCTACCAAGTCTTTGGGACCGTTTACCAAACGTTTATCTAGATAAGTGCTTACTAAGTCACACTACCTTACCGGATGAATATGGCAAAGACCAAAAATCTTATCAGGTAAGTGAGGATGACAACTCTTACCACGGTTAACACTTACCGGTTTAAATTGTTGCATCAAATGCCGTTTTTGTGGACTAAAATCTTACTCGGTTAGAAAGTGACAGTGTTGAATTTTACAGATAAACGCTTATCAAGTAAGTGTTTGATAAACGACCATTTAGTCTCTACATAAAAATCCATATTTTCCTATAAACCAAATTGTTGTGTTTTTTGTTTCCATCGAGTGAGCTTGAGCCCTAAGAAGCTTTAGATCAACCAAAGCTTTAAGATTGTTAAACGTAAATTGACTGTCATCACCTAGAAACCGTACTGATTTGTTCTTCACAGACCCATCTGGTTGCAAATTTTATGCCAAGCATACAATCTCATCTACCTCTGCCGAAGCTCTTCCTTTTCGGTCTCGTAACCAGCCCAAACACCAAACCCGTCTCTCCTCCCTCCAAACGAACTGGTATTTAGCCAGATTTTCTTTTATATAACCGGTTTACAAATCAGTTCTTTATTACGTTTATACACGCTCTATCATGATATTTAAATATTTGAATAGTATAATTAACTGAGAGTTTTAAAAAAATAGGTTTGAATATTTTTAAAGATTTTAATTTTTGCTTCAAACATGACAAAAACCTTTTTCTTTAAACTAGGGGGTTTTGCGGTGCAGTTTGCATATGCAGTTTGAGCATTTTCCAAACCGCACCGCATAAACCTTAAAACGCACCAACCGCACCGCATCGATGCGGTTTATGCGGTTTGTACTTTTCCTACTTTAAGCCTGCAATTCAATAATTATAAGTTTAAACATACATCATAAAATCAACGATAAAGTGACCGTAGTAAAAAAAAAACAAAGAGTTCCAATATATTTGATTCTCAAATACATATTGCATGATTAAAAATAGTCTAAGAAATAAAAAACAAACTCAAACTAAATTGGACATGTGAATTGTGAACTTGTCCAACTTATTTATTAATATTATTAGTTGTCATATTGAATCAAATTCAAAGTTCAAAACATAAAGTCTAATAATATTAGATAAATAATAATTTATTATATATATATATAAATATGGTATTACGTGAGATCAACTTGTTTTTGTGAGACCATTATTTCACACTTGAAACTTTACAGTAAAACGTTATGAATGTAATCTTCACAATATTTTTACTGTAAATGTACAACTTTTTTTCCTATAAAAATTAACTTTACAACGTTTTATTACGAAGTTCCACGAAAACAAGTTCTACAGGGCGATTTACGGTGCGGCCGGTTTGAGGGTTTGGTTAACACCATTACTTTAAACCTCAAACACCTTCCACTTTGAACCTCACAGTCTGTTTCTCAACGCCGCTCGCCTCCCTTGTCTCCTCATCGCCGCTTGGCTCCCCCCGCCGTTTCTCAGCGCCTCATCTCGTCCCAGACGATCGTCACTCAGCAGGTAATATTCTCTCGATCTCCATAGCTCCTTTCTCTACATTGCTTTTCTGTTTTCCTAGTTCCTGCAGACCTTCTTGCGTCCTTGCCAATTGTTCCCATTTTTGTTCCGAATTCGTTAGATTCCATCTTCAATTTTGTGCAGATAGATATGACTAAGAAGCACAAAAAGGATATTGTCGATGTTTCAGTGGAGGAAGATGACGAACTGCAACTCCAAACAGACAAGGAGGCGGAAGGATATTCAAAGAAGAAGCATAAGAACAAGAAAATTCGCAAGAGAGAGGAGAGGATTGAGGTCAAAATTGAGACCGTCCATGGAAGTTCCGACAAATCCTTACCTTTAATCGGATATTTTCCATCTGGATATGACCCGGAGAAGCGCCAACGGGATGAAGAACCGAGGGTCAGGGTTTTAAAAAACATGAAACGTAACCATAGGTACCAACTTGTTGTGAGCCCTAACCAATCTTCTACGGTGGAGTTCGTCGGTACTAATTATTCCGGAGAAGCGGCGGCTCCTCAGATCTGTTCTTATGCTCTTGGGGTTCTCGATAAGCAGAGCCAGACGCTGAAGATTGTTCAGATCGAAGCAAACAAGGTATCTTACTTCACCATTGATGTGGTTTGAAAGCTTTAGAGACTGTTATATACATATACATAGGGTCAGGGTGCACCGAAGAAAATGAAAAACTCTTAACTATTCGTATATGGACATGTGCATACAAGTAATTTGTAAGTAAATTTTCCGGCATGCCATAGAAACCAATAAACAACTTCAGTTGCCTATACACACGTGTATAGAGATGAACCGTTACAGTGTGTTCCTCAACTTTTTATTTTATTGGGTTTTTTCTAGAACCTCCCTCTATATGTCATGTACACATGTGCTTACCGGACAAGTTGCTTATAAATTAGTTATATGCACATGTGCATACCGTCCGGATGAATAGTCCAGGACGTTCCTCTGTTTTTCATTTTTTTTTGCGGTTTTCCCCTTAAGCTAAACCCATAATGTGATCTATTTCTTGAGTGTAGATCTTCAGATTGGAGCCAAGATTTGGGGATCAAGATAATGCTGCAGATGAAGCTCCCAACGTGGCAGAAAATGAAGTGACAAAGGAAGATACTGAAGCAAAATTCAACTTCTCAACTAAGAAGTCAGAACGAGCGGTATGCAAATTTTGTTGCAAATATGTTATATCTTTCAAGATTCTGCTTTTAAGTAATAGTTTTGGTTTGAATAGTGATTGTTATGGTGATCCAAATACTTGTTTTCCTGGAAAAAGGCTGCAAGATTTAACGAATTCGTCATCAATGAAGCTCTTATGTCTTACAAATTTATCGCTTTACGAAAAGAGCATACGCGAATAAGGGTCATAGGTTATAGCATACCAACGAATTTGGTGAACTGTTAGCAGCATTAGCAGGCTATATATGACTGATTGGTTGTGGCTTAATAATATGGAAAGTGGCTTATTCAATAGGTTCTTTTCCAACCTACCCCTTCGAATTTAAAAATATTCCCCTTCCATCATGAAAAAACCATCCCAAACAAAAACCTTCCTAATCTATAGAGACAGATAAATCCACACAGTCAACTTTATTCATAAAGTACTTAATGGAAAACCAACCAATCAGCGGTTTACTAGTGTTGATTGTCTCTTACTGGGTAAGAGATGATGTTGTTTACCTACATTACCGACTACTCGAGGTGCTGACCAAGTCAGCCCTCAATTTTTATCGGTAAGACCTCCTACAAAATACTAACAACCATTTTTAGTCGGTGCTTATCCAGCCCGAACCTCTTATTATCCAAACCGCACTTTTACCTAGTTAACGCATACGTAATTTGTGTTGATATTGTCTTGTAGTCTTGTTTATTTAATATATACGAGGATGTTCATTATCTTGGCAAAATATTGGTGAATGACTATTTGCAGTTTGTTTTCTTGTATGTATATTTGGCTCAATGATGCCATAGGCCAAGAAAGAACGAGCTCTACGTGCAAACCGTGATCCAGAGGCGCAGGAAGATCTAAATAAGAAGATGGCCGATGCGAAGGTTAACACAGAAGCTCTTGAAGTTAGTGCAGCAACTACGAGTAGCGCTCGTAATATCCCACCTCATGATATATCAGCAACTATGCCTCAGCAGGCTTATCCACTAGAAAAGATCATCTTAAAGGGAGAGTGGAGATATCTTTTAGATATTGCTGAGCTTTTGCAAGAAGGGAAAGATATAACACCTGCAGCTTACCCGGTCTTTGTTTGTAACAGAGTTCACAAGATCGACGAGGTCAAGGTATGTCATTTACATTTTGGTTTTATGCCATATTTCATCTCATGCGAACACCATACGTAGACCTGAAATCTACTTTCAAAAAGTAGAGTGAATATTTCCGTGAAGACTCCCGGCTTTTGAATTGAATTACTAATGGAAACCCTGAAACCTTCCAGAATTCTTTCATCCACCTACCTTACTAAACGCACCCATTAATCATCTTGTTCTTTGTTTTCCCGTCTGTTATAGGACGAGGAGGCGAAGGAGAGCCTTGCTTGTATATTCTCGTACATCACTCATCTTATCAAGTTCAAGGATAAGAATTCCATGGATGGATTCTCGGCCGCAAAGAATCATAAACTGCCTAACATATTGACTCAGAAGTTCAACGACATGTTTGCTAATCCGGATTCAAAAAGACTTGCCGATGATAAAAGGGATCTTCTTATCAGCTACGTTTTGGTGCTTACTCTTTATGTTGATAACTTCAAAACCGAATTCTCAGATATCGCTAAAGATCTCCGAATGTCAACTGGTGCATTGAGGCGCCATTTTGAACATCTGGGATGCAAGTTTATTCGAGAAAACAGCATAATGTTGGCCACGCTTCCTGCTCCGCTGAAGTTTCCCGAAGTGAGGATGAGGCGCCGACGATGAACGTGAATTCGCTTGGTGTTCATCAAAAGACTTGATTTCTGCAAGTTTTTAGCAGTTCTTTTTTATCAGAAATTTCATGTAATCTGAATTTGGGAACTTTCAAGTTTGACAAGAAAAATGGCCTTCTGTGTTGCTATTTTTGAACCATACGGCGAGCATGTTCGGTTTTATACAATATAATCAAATTTTCATTTCCGAGTTAAACCAAAAAGAATGAAAATTCATTTTCATTTTCTATCATTATCGTCGTTTTCATTTCCCCTGAGTTCTTAATCTGACAACATAGAAGAATGTTGTATATTTGATTTGCCTTTCACACGATGCTTGGCCTGTTACGAACCTTTTTGCACGTACTTTTAAGCTGACGAACAACTAAAAGCCCGAAATGCTAAGAAATTACCCCTTGACGACGGTGATATATGTTACGATTCAAGTTAAGCACCGAAAGTAATCCATATACAATAAAGATACAAGTGATGCATGCCAATTTACACAAGCCATATGCAAATCAGCAAATCAATTCTCATACAGACGTTACGAAAACGGAGCGGCCCGAGCAGGCGCACTTTTGTTTTTTCTTTTCTTTAAATTTTACAAAAACTATATATTAAAACGATGGGTGAACATAACAACAACATATAGCAAAGTATTCAAGTTTTTGGTTTGAACTTCCTTTGAGATTTGAGGTCCACCACGATCACGGATATGTTGTCTTTGCTTCCTTTCTGTAGGGCGAGCATCGAGAGATAATCGGCTGCCGCTTGCGCTGCCGGATCGACTCCTCCAACGCCCCGTTCGAGCGCGATTCCGCCATTTTTTTTGTGCCAAATCAGAATCCGTTTTCTAGCCACTTCACAAGCTTCCTCATTCGATATCACATCCCATAATCCATCACTAGCTAAAATTAGGCACTCATCTTCTCTAGCTCGGGCGGTAAATGTCACTTCTGGTTCGGGAATTATCCAAGGTTTCAAATACCCGTCACCTGAGAAACACACCAAACCGAAAAGGCTTCAAATACCCGTAACCGTTTGTTTTTAGCAGCTCCATGAGCTTAATGGGACTCACAAATTATTCGGTCAACTACATACAACTGTTTGATAATGGGTTAATGATATAGAAAGTGACTTATTCAGTAAGCTTCAAGGGAGATCTTTATGGCAAAAACCAAGTTTTTTGTCTTTCGAAACTCTCACCTCCCAATTAAAAAACACTCTTTCCATCTATGAAAACATTGTCTTAAAAAAAAAGTTTCCCCAATCTATACAGACAGATTAATCTACACTGACAACTTTACATGTACATAATTTGATGGAAAACCAACCAAACAACCCCTAACTCGTCTTTCTGGTGTATTTTCAAGATTTTACGGGGAACAAACTGTTTTACACCAGAGACAAAGACTTCAACTCCCTAGAGGGTATATTTACGTGTATAACCTTAAATGAGATTTTAATTAAATCCATGACCTTCAAGCCATTTTTTCTTTAACACGCCAAGTTGAAGGATATTTTAGACATTTCATTAATAGTCAAACAGTTCTATTTTATGACTCACCAATAGACCTCGACATTGCAAGAACGCCAAAGACACGATGCCCGTTCCATTGTATAACTTTGCCACCCGCAGCCTCAATCCGTGCATATTCGTCTTCCCGGTTTGGCTGTTTGTATCAAATCACGCAATCAAACGAAAAAACAAATAAAGAAACATCCGTGAACAAAAACGAACTCCTATATTATATATATAAACCGGACCAAACCAAACCAAACCAAACCAAACCAAATGAGCCCAGTATATCGCACCCAAAGATGGGGTTGCGGGTGGGATGTACAAATACTTGACATCTACCCCAAAGAGTAATATCAGTTGTTTAAGTGAAGACCACGACTTATGAAAAGTGCGTAAAATTATAAACTTTTGCCCAATTTTTTTTACTGAAATAGAATAAAACGAGCACTAAATGATACGGTTATTACTTTATGATCGTTCGACAAAGCTATGGCTTCTTTGCCTCGATAAAGGACGGCTCTTGAATCACCACAATTTGCAACTATTATATGTGATGAACAGATCAACGCAACCACAGCAGTGGACCCCACGGTTTCCGGGGCTACTGGTTCAGAAGGGGCGTTAGATGGATCTACGATTCCGCTCGCTTTTCCTCCAACTTCATCATCAACCTTTTGAAAGCAATTAGTGAATGCTTTCTCCCACTGAACCTGTACAGTCTCGTTCATGGTTCCTTTAACCACTTCTTGCTTCATAACTTTGATTTCCTCCTCTAACGCAATATGGACACGATCACGACAGTAATTCGCCACCTACATCAAGAAACATAATCGGGTTTTGCGTCCCGAAGAAGTAAGGATATATAGGCCATAAATGTAATCGAAATTAATTAGAAAAATTATGTAATCCAAAAGAATTGCTAATATTTGCTACAAGTATGAGAATATGGGGAATCACAGTAGATTACTCTTCAAAATAGCTCCTGAAGAGAGAAGGGAGGTTCCAACATTTATTGAGAAGAAACTATCCAACTCCAACTGATGTGGGACTCTAACATCCCCCCCCCCCCCCTAAAAAAAAAACTCTTCCAATGGATGCTAGATGAGCGCAAATTTGTCCCCGAGTGTCGATAGGGGGCTAAACAAAGGGGGATAGACGTGAATCATATTGCCCTCAAAGTGTGGCGTCCCCACAGTGGCAGATGTTGGCTCTGATACCATGTGAGAATATGTGAAACCCCATAATTTACACTCCAAAAGAGCCCTTAAGGAGTGTCGAGTCCCTAGAGTGTTAGATCTTGGCTCTGACACCATGTGAGAATATGTGAAACCCATTATTACATTACTCTTCAAAATAGCTCTTGAAGAGAGTGGTTCCAACATATGTTGATGAGAAATTGTCCAATTCTAGTCCATGTGGGACTCTAACATGCCCCTCCCAACATATTTCAAACGAGCATAGATTGTCCCAGAGTGTCGAGAGGGGGCTAAATGTGTACAGATTGCCCTAGAGTGATTTACCTAGGTCTGGTACCATGTGAAAATATGTGAAACCCCATTAGATTACACTTCAAAAGAGCCCTATGAGAAGTCTCGAGTCACTAAACCAGTAAACCTCGACTCTGATATTATGTGAGAATATGTGGAACCCCATTAGATTACCCTAAAAAAGAACTGACATTCCAACATATATCGAGAAGAAACTGTTCAAGTCTAGCAGATATGGGACTCTAACAAATACATAGAAAAGAAATACATCTAAATGAATTCAAATCAAGAAGCTAATATTATATACAAACCATAAAAACGGAAAAAATACCTGGCTGCCACCATGACCATCATATACTCCAAAGAAATGTGCATTCAAATCATTCAAATTTGGATTCATCACATTGATTATATGATCCCCAGCCAACATCTTAACCGGAATTTTCATAAATTGAGGAACGGCCGCAACCGCATCTTCCATCTCTGGCCTTTTACCACAAACCGAATGAAAACCCCAAAGTGGTACACATTCTAATTCGAAAACGCTTCTTACACCTTTACTATTATGATTATTCTTATCAGCAAGAACCACTACCGATGCTTTTAAAGTATGCCCAATTGCGCTTCCTTTCGTTTCTTTCTCCAAACTTATCACTTCCGCAACTATTTGACCCTTTTCTGTACCCTTTATCGCAACTGCAACCGGCAAACTCATTGAACTCGAATCCACAGCTAGCAACTCACTGAGTCGATCCCCGACTGATATAATCCCATCTCCATCTTTTTTTTGAATCATTATATCATCATTCACCACCCTTTTGCTCCCAATTTCTTGGATTGTTTCCGAAAACCCAGATTTCCCCACTCCAAGAATGTTCAAATCACTCGAGGATTCGTTGCAATCGGTAGCATGATCCGACTGAAATCCGGTCAGAAGCATGATCCGGCCGAAATCTAGATGACTTCCATGATTAGGGTTCTTGGATATGGGATTAGTTAAGCTAATTGCAACAGAAACAGCAGGAGCCATCTCTTCTATCAGACCCATCTTTTTTTTTCTAACAGAGATCTCTTAAATTACTTAAAGTGCTACATTAATTCCATAATCACGATCAACAGATCTGGTGATCTGATATTGGATCTGAAGAACCCTAAAGATAAATTTCAAAAACTACAAAGACTTTTGGACATCTATCTAGAGAATACAAGATTTCTTCAAGAACCCTAACTCCTATTTTCAAAGATTTCACAAACCCTTGCCCATGAATGAAGAAAACCCACCGGAAATCACACAGAAACCCTAAAAGCAATTGAGCTTTTTTTCAAGATTTCAACATATAAAAGGTGGGTCTCATGGATCTGATGCAACCCATCTCAGATTCTCAAGATAACTTAGGTTTTCGTCTCATAACTTCAAGAATCTTAAGCTGACGACAACAATTTGTGCAAGAACTACAAACAGAAATGGGTTTTTCAAAACACCCAAATTTTGGGATTCTATCCTGTGATGGCAACTGGATCAAAAGAAGCTAAACCTTACCAATTGAAGAATGTAAAACAGAGAAGCATGGATCGATTGAGGTTGGTTTTTGTTGGGCAGTGAAAACAGGATCTTTATCTCCAATTGATATCTTTATTTGGGATGTGATGGAAGAGAAGACGAGACAGTTCCTCGGGAATTATTTTACTGCTTCGATGACACGTATATTAATATAATAATCCAACTTCAATCAGTGCATGTTCTTTATGTTGATAAGAAGAAGATGGGATTTTCTTGGATTTATTAGGGTTTAATCGCTTTAATTTATAGATTTATGTTTGGTTAGAAATATTAAGTAGTAATTAACAAAATTAGAAAAAGCATTTAATTTTTATTTATGTTATATTATTAAATTATTTGATAAAAATTCTTAAAAATAATTTTTTTTGTATAAAATATTATTTATTGATACATATTACTTGAGATCTAAGATCACAAGTAAATTATGCATTAATATAACTTATTAAAACTTTATTTTTGAATTTGTATAATTAACTACATATAAACATAATCAAATACAGGATAAACATCTTATTTTGAATATAAAAAATCTAAAAATAAAATCATTAGTTTTAACAAAATACTTAAAATGATAAATAAATTACTTCGTTACTAAATCTAAGTTAAATTATAAATAAAATACTGAATTTAAATAAATTACACAAAACCCATAACTTTAAATAGTAAATTTGATATTAATATTGATAGTTCTTTTTTCCAAATTTTTATGATATATTTAAATTATATTTCATTCAAAAATAAAAACATTATCGCTTTCTCAAAATTACTAAAAATCGTATTATATCGACATAGATAAATAATAAAACGAAACATTAAAATTGAGATATATCTTGCTATATTATATGATCACTTTTCTAGTATAATATCACGAGCCTGAAAAATTTTATCTGGATATCTGAATTTGCCATTTACATTCTCTGTCGTTTTCATTTCCATATCTGAATCAAATAACTCCTCAGTTTTGTATTTTTAAAATATTAATCTAATCTAAAAGAGGATTTGGTTATCAAGATTGTGTTTTTTAATATATGGTCGTTATAAGTATCGATTAATCCCCAAAACGATCATATATGACCAGGAGTCATCGCAGGTGAATCTCCATAGCTTCAGAGGTTTTGACAGGACCTCGATTAAAACCCATAGAAGATGCGATTTCCACTATATTTATTTGTGTAAAATGTATTTACAGTAAACTAGAATGGTAAAGAACGGTTTTTAGGTTTTCAAATAGAAATTAGTTATCAATACAGATTATGACAATTTATTTAAAAAAACTCAAAACAGAAAATGCGCAATTGTCTTCTTTAAAAAATATATTATTTCAATAACATTTTAATGAAAATTTTAAATGGTTTTTAATCATTGAGTTGACTTCCTATTGCCGCTCGCATAATGCCCGGTTATAAAGGGCATGGAGTCGTTTTTGACTTTATGTCATCTATGAAGGCGTCTGCTTTTTTCGTTTATAGGACATGAACCAATAGGGCTACAGCGTTTGAATATCTTCCCTCATTTTGGTGGTCAACACACGCGTGATCCTTCTCGAATTATATGTATTTACGTATACGTCAATCAAGTTCAATTCATGGGATCAAATCTGTATATTAAATTGAACATTCAAAATTTACTGTAACAGTTTTTAAATAAATGTTTGATATATTTAATAATAACGTAAAACTTATTATCTTAGTTTTTTTAAAATAACTGATTATCTTAACGTTGTTGTGAAACAAGCAGAAACCAAAACAAAAAACTGATTAAAGTACCTGACCCAATTTAAATCCATATATTTCTCGGTCCCCACCATAACTAACCAAGCTGGCATATGGTGTTTGACTTTTACTTGTATTTGAGATTAAATTCAAAGTAGGCATGCAAAATCCGGTTAAAACGTGATTTTGGATCCATCAGAATCGGTACTTTACATGCTACAATATTGTTATAAAAATCAACGACTTTTAGCAACTATGTCGTCAAAATGTTAAGTTTGAAACAACTGTATCAACAGTGGTGGTCGAAATTCCCTGATATACAGTTAGAACTCATATTCAATAAAATAGAACAAAAAATTGGGCTATTGTAAAGTAATGAACACAATGATTTGATTTAATATTTACACTGAATGATCAATCACACATTCAGTTAAATCATTGTCAATTACCGTGTTTTTTTTATCTGTTTTTACATTATCTTGTGTAAATTTTGAATGATTGTAGCAAAAATTGAAGGAGTAGACTAACTCCATCCCTGTATGCTATTTTAATTCATCTCATCAGTGAGGGGTGTTTGAGATTGATTATTTAAAACAATTTATGATTATCTACAAAAGTCTTCATCAATTTATTATAAGTTATAATGGTTTAACTTCTTCAAAAACTTCTTATTACCGGTTTGGCACTGGTATAAGTTGTTTATCCAAACACTCAAAAATGTTTATTACCAATGTCACACCGAAATAAGCCAATAAGTTGTTTTTATTAGCAATCTCAAACACCCCATGAGTTTGAATGAATATTATTTTATATAAATGTTTTTTTTAAAGTATATTAAAATTATAGAATATTTAAATAATGATGAAATCATTAAAAAATAGACAATTTTTTTACAGTTGAATGTAATTTATTTTAGAGATTTTAACTTTTAATTATATGTTATTAAAATTAGATAATAGAATTTGTAGGATCAATTGAGCCATCTATGCAAGCCACACAATTAGACGTTGACTATTTTCACAATAGGTCCTTTTATTTTGAGAGATGTACAAACGATCACTGTTATTCACTTTTGATGACTTATTGACCACTTAAACTCCAATAAATTTCTTAACAGAAGTGAATAATAGTGATCGACTGTACATCTCTTGAAATTAAGGGACCTATTGTGAAAATAGTCAACGTCTACTTGTGTGGCTTGCATAGATGGCTCAATTGGAACCCATTTTGTAATATAAAATGAATATAATCAAGGTTTGAGATATTCATCATGAATAATGTAACATTCATTATGAATGTTTTAAAAAATTCACGTATACTATTCATGATTAATAAGAACATGTGTCATGCTTTCAGTTGTCCACTGGTTTGTAATGGAAATCAGATTCACAAGTGAACATTTTCCATTACTCTCTGCATTCCAAACTCGTTCGATTTGTTCAATATATGGCTTCGACAATTTCCAGCACGAGAACGTTTTTTTTTCAAGTTCTTTCTGGAAACAAAAATTTTAATGGCAATTCTACACGGTCCGTTCGGACAAGAAAAACCGAAGGCATCCCCTTGGTGTATCGACAAAAAATGGGTTTTAATGCTTTAACGTACAAAACTTTTGCTGTATGACTCCGTTTTAGGCCCATAAGCATTCAAATCGAAGCTTGGAACGAGGAGCACACAAATTCAGTAAAGCTTGTGGTAATACAACATGATTTGAGTTGCTTCGATGAACTTCACGATACACGTTCGTTTGACTTGGACAACGCATGTGCAATTTCTGACACGAGAATGGTTTTTTTCAAGTTCCACCTGGTGCAAAACTTCATATTAACATTGCTGATGGACCACGAAAATTTTCATTCGACACGGTTGGTCAGGACGAGAAAAACCCAAGGGTATGTATCGGTCAAAAATGGGTGTCGCGCTTAAACATGCTTAACTTTTGCTTCTTGACTTTTTATAGGCCCATGACTGGTCAAATCGAGTTTTAGAACGAGGAGAACGTTATGGGTAGGAATTTTTGTGGCAGTACAACATAATCTGAGTGAGTTTTGACGAACTGCAAAACACGTATTCGTTTGATTTGGCCGATGCATTACAAAGATGAAGTATGATATATAATTAGAAGAAGAAAAAAGAAGTAAAGGGCAAAATTGGAATTAAAGAAAAGAGCATATTCCAAGGGTATTTAAGGCTTGACATTAAACCGGTCTACCGCCTAACCAGATGGAAAACCAGAGAACCTTCGCGTGAACCGAAACCCTTTTCTCCTTTTCCACTTTGATTTTCGAACACCGCCTCTTGCCCTTTTCTTCGAATCAAATTCTTTTGAGATCGAAACCCTACATCGTTGCCCTAATTACAACATGTCGTACCAGCCAAGATCTTCAAATCACAACGAAACCGACGACGACCGCCATAACCGTCGCCTATACAACCCTTACCAAGATCTTGGCGTGCCCGTACAAACCCTATACAAGCTTCCGACATCTCCTGAATACCTTTTTCAAGAAGAATCCGTCGCTCAACGGCGTTCATGGGGCGAAAACCTAACCTACTACACCGGAATCGGTTACCTCGGCGGCGCTGTAGTTGGGGCAGGAAAGGGTTTAGTTGAAGGTGTGAAGGCTTCTGAGGCTGGAGATACCATGAAGCTCAGGGTTAATCGGATCCTGAATGCGTCGGGTCACGCGGGTCGGAAGATCGGGAACCGGGCGGGTGTTATTGGATTGTTGTATGCAGGTATGGAGAGCGGGATGGTTGCTGTTAGGGATACGGATGATATTATTAACAGCGTGGTGGCCGGGTTAGGGACTGGAGCACTTTATAAGGCGGCGGCGGGGCCGAGGTCAGCGGCGGTGGCCGGAGCTATTGGTGGAATAGCGGTGGGATTAGCTGTGACAGGGAAGCAGGTTTTGAAGCGATACGTACCGATCTGAGCTCGATCGGTATTCATCTTAATTCAAGTTTTGATCATTTGAGACTTTTAAAAGGTGATTTGGTCTGTAGTTTTTTTTACAATATTGATGATGATTCACATATTTTGGTATGAAAAAAATGCGTAATTTTGTTTTTTGTGCACTGGATGCCCTTTATATTGTGTTCTGTATCAGTATCAGGAAGGGTTAGTCACAAATAAATTCATGGAGACATTGATATGGAAATCATATCCCAGATTTTTTTAGCTTGTTTGGTGCTTCAATATTTGTTTAGATGAATTGATTTGAACATTGGTCTGTTCTACTAACTAATTAAGGGTCTGTTTACCAAATGCTTATCGGTTAAGAGCTTTCAGGCAAAGTCACTACCCTCACATACCTTAATGGATAACATTATCGGCCATCAAAATGGATTGTTGATACTCTTACCACGTAAGAGTTTTCTACCCAGTAAACAACCTCAATTACCCATCAAGATTCTTGGTCCTTTCTATGCTTTGTACCGGGTAAGATTTTTGGTCATGGCTATGCTCACTCAATAAGGTAAGTGATGCCCAGTAAGCGTTTGATAAATGTCTCTGAATGAACTTTTTCATGTAATGCATGGTCTTAAGTAATCTGCTTGTTTGTTTGTGAATTGAAGTTCTTTGCATCACATGTTATAATTGCACTTGTCAAGGGCTTAATCAAAAGAATTTGAGCTGCATAAGGAGTTACGTGTACGACATTTTTAGGGTATTCTGTTTGTAGACAATGGCATATTGATTATTGTAGTAAGCTGGTTTGGTTGGTTTAAACTTGATATTTACCTTTTTTTGAGGTTTAGGGGTTTGCAGTTTGAATATTCATGTATTAACTTAATCTTTTGGTCATTCTCTTATATACTTATGCCTTGCATATCAAGCAAGAAGGTTCTGGTTGTTGTGATCTATAGGACCTTTAATGCTCTTCTTTTGTGTGAAGAGTTGGTACTAATAAACTTAGGAGCCATGTAAATGAAGATTTCAGCAGTCCACTTTCCATTTTGAAATTGAAGCCTCTTACGTTCAAATTGAAGATTAATAGTGATATATCTTGGTATATTTGGAGAGGAAAAATTGAATCCTACTAATATATCAAAAATCTAAAGAACATTTATTTGTATTCCCTTCTATTTGTACGTTTCGTCTTTCCGCTATTGAACAAAATGCAAAAACCACGCTGCCTCTCATTTGAAATGAGCTAATAAGCCAGAATGCAAGAAAGCTTTCTTGCAAGCAAGATTTATTTTAGTTATGCATTTATACTATTTAGCTTCTTGTAGTTATCAAACTTTTATTTGAAGGCAAAATGATATAATCTACTGGGTACTCGAGCCTGTTCGGAATTTTCTCATGATAGAGGAAGTAACATTTTTGCATCATTTAGTGAGAGGCAAACCAAGGTCAACCACTCCAAGGACTCGACACTCTTGGGTAATCTGTACTTGCTTAGCCCCTCTCAACACTCTGGGACAAGCTCCTATTGGTTATCACATATTAACATCGGCTAGACTTCGATAATTTCTTCACTATATATATTGGAACCTCCATTCTCTTCTCAAGGGCTCTTTTGGAGAGTAATATGGGTGTTCTACGCATTCTCGAAATACCAAGTAAAAAAATATATTTGTTTCTTAATTAGGAACTAGGCATTTGACAGGGAATTGTTCCTAATAAGAAAGATCAGTGTACAAGGTTGATGTCAGTATGTTTGCTAACCTGAAATTATATTTGATTTTATGGCATACAAACTAGTTGGTATTAGATCAAAGATTTAAGGGCGAATGAGAAGTTGAGGAGGGTGTTAGGCATGTCACCCGACTCTGTAAACCCCAGACGCTAATGCATTCATCCTATGTAACTGTGGGGGCCACAAGTGTAGGGGGGCAGGAATCAAACCCGGGGAAGATGGGATGCCATCCTCATCCCCGTGGGTCTCAATCAACCCGACATCACCCTTGTGGCTGGCAAACGAGGTGTGGTAGGAAATGTTGGATCCATGAGTAGTTCGCAAAACTATAGTCTTTTGTATTAGGGCATCTTTTGTTCTATACTTATATGAATCAAGTTGTTGGTCGACTTCACATGTCACAGGGACTCTCAATCCAGTAGATTTGAGTGTTCAATGGCTTAGTAAGTATGATTCTGAAGTGCATCAAAGAAAGAATATATTTCTACTAGCGGTTACCTTCTTATCTTTGCTGATTCTGTCTGGATTTGCCAACCTGTATATCTATATGTTAACTTCTCTGTTAACATGCTAGCTTAATGGGATTCTACTAGTGTTCCATCAAAATGCTATCACCATGATGGCTTTTCAATTGTGGTACATGTGTGAAATAGGCTTGTTCCATAGAGGTTGAACTAATGGAATGCATATTGCATATACAGCATTGGTCTTGAAATTTATGATTCTTGATGTTCAATCTGTAGTTCCTTATAGAAGGGAGTGAGTTTGATCATGATAAATGATCTCAAGGCTGTTTATCTGACAAGATGGCTCATGCCATTGTTATTTTGTATGGAAGAAGGGATGTTCTTTGCTTCTACGCATTATTGTTTCTTTAGGTTGCATTTGGTACGCCAACTGGATTCGACTCGGACTGAGGTAGGGGCGAGAGTGAAGGAATTGTGAAAGGTTTCTAGGGTTTTGATTTGATTAGTTTAGTGATTTACCAATCTTGTCTCATCGACCCGAGAAGAAAATGTTTTTTAGCTCTCTCTGGTCCTGTTCTGGTCCGATGTCACGTTCAGTTTATTATTTGTTTTTTAAACTGAGGATTTTTACATGTTAAATTTGTAAAATAAGTTGATTTAGTGGGATGGGATGGAGCCATGGAGGATGCCATAAGGTTTGAAAATCAAGGTGTAAATGAGCCTTAGTAATTTATTTGAGCTTGACTTGAATATTTCTTCAATGTTCAAGCTTGATGTTCGTTTGTGTTTGAGCTTGTGATCGAACTTATTTATTGGCTTGAACTTGATAGTATTGTTTTTCTGATTGTATATGCACAAGTGACCCGGTTCAACTCAAAAAATTTAATCGAGCTTTCAAACAAGCAGAGTTGTATCTCGTTAAATTAAATGAGTTCTATTATGCATTAGAGATCGCCTCAAGCTTGAAAATTATGAAACTCGCTTGTTAAAAGCTCGAATTGCTAATGCTTAAGAGCCTTCGTTGAACCAAAAGCCTTGAGCAGTACGGACGGATCCAGAAGTTCAAGACCGATTACAAACGGTTGGTCCTTATCAATTACAAAATTTTAAAGTCCAGTTAATCTGTTACAACCAATCTTTTTGAAAAAAGTCACGTGGCACTTTCCCATTAGTCCACGACTCATTGATATTAAAACATTAAGAAAACTAAGGCTGGTTATGCATTTTGAAATCGAAATCGGTTACAATGGAAATGGAAATGGAAATGGAAATGGAAATGAGCATGTCTTATTACTTTATGATCCTTTTTCTTAGAGATCGGTTATAATAGAACTGGAATTGGGCATAGCCGTAAACGATGAATACCAGGCGCTGCGCGTATCGACCCATGTAATTGTAGCTAACGCGTTAAGCATTCTACCTGAGAAATATGTTCACAAGAATGAAATGCCTTAATGGGAGTTCGATAGAATATAGAATAAAGATATACAAACAAAAACCATACTTTTATGACTGTTTTTCTTAGTACCGCATATACCAATATATAAATCATGTAATTTTTGTACCAACACCAACTAACTTAATTGACACACTAACTCATTACAGTTGGTATATATTAATACTGGTTTTACACCGACTTTGCTATCGGGTGAGAATAATTGAAACAAATTAAAACAAGAGACGAGTTTATTTAGGTTACATGCGAGTATAAGGACCGTCTACAATTGTTTCCCGTACACTAATAGAGAGAAATCTGGTAAGCAACTCTACAATACACGAGCAAAATTGAGTTCACGTTTTCATGCCTCAAAGCTCGACGGCCTCTTCTTTTTCTCTTTTTTTTTGCTTATTCTCGAACAAGAAATATGTGGATAATTGGAAAAAAGAAGCAATAGAGGAAGGAAACAAAGAAATAAAAGGAAATATTATGGTCTTCAAAGCAACATTGTCTCTGGGTTCTCGATGTAGCCTTTGAATGCTTTTAGCCATTCTGCACCGATAGCACCTAATAATATGCACACAAATTGTTACCACCTCGTAATTTAAACATTAATTATCATCTGAATATACTAAAAAATAAGCTTAATATAAATTCAATCTGAGACGAGAATCATGTGAGAATAAGAGTTATGGTTGTGAGAACAGTTCCAAGCCTTTGGATGAGTTGACTTTTTAATCTGACTTAATTTTTTTCAAATACTTTCAGTACCTTCAATTACATTTAAAGTCACTTTCACCAATACCAAAAAGACCTTTTTTTAGTTATTGAATATTTTGATAATATAATTAATGTTTAAATCTTCAAACGGATAAACTGTTGGAGATCTTAAAACTTTTGCTTCTTCGTTTTGAAGAAATTATAGAGAAGGCTTTAACAAGACATACCATCAATCACACGATGATCACAACTCAATGTGACGGGCATGAACGATGCAAACTTAAATTCCACAGCGCCTGAACCAGGTATAACCCTCCTCTCGGCTGCACAAGATTTATTCCGTAAGGATCATCATCAAGTTGGGAATTAGTGATAATGCTATCGCAAACATAACTAAAAGGGTCACTGGTCTGTTGGTGCACCCAGGTTACCGGGCCTCCCAAGAGGTCCAAGGGTTCAAACCTCACCAAAATTGAAGAGTGTGCATGAGTATTTGCGATATATATATATATATATATATAGAGAGAGAGAGAGAGAGAGAGAGGGGGGGGGGGAAGGATGATGTGAGAAGTTAATCAATTTGCGAGAAGGCGAAAAGCACGCTTAGTCATATATGATTAAAGACACCCAAAGAAGCAGCAGGTGACTTTGTGAAGCTATGTGTTGTCAAATGCAACATGTGTTTAATCATATATGATAAAACGTGCGTATCATACGTGTAATCATATATGATATCAAAACTTCTCTCCTCGCAAATTGACCACCTTCTCGTTTGAACCTGATCCAACACACACACACATATACATATATTATATACTTGCGGTTAGAATACTCACCAGACCCAACTGCTAGAATGCCTGCCTGGGGAGGATTTATGATGGCACAGAACTGCTTAATCCCGAATGGCCCTCCTAGATTTGAAACAGTGAATGTACCTCCCTGCAAATGAGAACATGAATTTCAATTTCGGTATCATCTTTTAAAAGGGTGTGAAAGCTTAACAAGGTGGGAATCATTCAGACCTCATAATCATCTGGTTTTAAGCTGTTTTCTCTAGCTTTCTGAGCTAAAATCTTAACATCCTCGGAAATTTTAGACAACCCTTTTTTATCAGCATCCTGCAAATCCAGGTCGTAAGAGAAACTATTATTAGAGTGGTCAAAAAACACGGAGATATATCAATGGCAACTAAAAGGTGCAATGACTAACCCTTACGACAGGGACATAAAGCCCATTATCCGTCTGCACTGCCACATTGATGTGTACGTCATGAAACCTATGTTATCAACCATGGGACACGTGATGATGAATGCCAAGTTACCGTGTAATTGTATTTTCTTGAAATCTAAAAATACCAAACCAAACGAGCCCAGTATGTCCCACCTGGAGGTGGGGTTTGAGGGTAAGATGTACATAGACATGGCCTCTACCCCAAAGAGTAGAAGCGGCTGTTTCCATGAAGACCCCGGTTTGATGGTAATTTTTCACAATCTGAAGAGTATTATTTCGACTCTCATACTTACTGACGAATATAGTCGTTAGTCCATGAACTGTTACACTGAGGAACTTTGCGAAGAGCCAAAGCTGCAGCCTGCAAAGATAATCATTTCAAAGTAAGTATGTTAACTTTAGTAACTTATCACATGCTTGAAAATATAAACAAAGCCAGCCTTCAAAAAAGATATTGCAAGGATAACGAGAATACCAAGATTAGAGGATTCTAAAAAATTAAGGATGAGAGTTTATATTTGTCTTTGTACACGGTATAATGTTTATGCTAATTATAGTTCATACCATATAAATATTAAAAAAAGAACTCTAATAGGGGGATGAAATCTTGGATACAATATAGGGTTGCCACAGGAATGTTGTATGACAAGAAGGTCATGTTAAAACTGAAAGGCAAAATGCTACAAGGTGGCCACCAGACCAATTATGATGTATGGGTTTGAGTGTTGTTCGTTAAAGAAGGCGGATGAGAAGAGGTTAAAAGTAGCAGAAATAAGGATGACTACATGAAGTGGTGGACCTGTGATGAGATCATGTTGGACATGATACCGAATGAGGTCTTTTGCCACACCTTGCTTCCTTTCTCTCTTGTGGGCACAATGTTTTACTTATTTTTAGCCTTCGTAATACTAATTTGTGAACATTCATCTTTCTGTTTTCTGAATAGGAAAACCAAAATTAACCCTCTTGTATTCCCCCATGTTTTTGGTCAACAATTCAGGGACACAGTCAAAGACGGACCCATACACACCTTCAAGCATCTGATAGAGTGATCTAGCAAGGGGTAGAATCCCTCACTTCATAGAACAAATGTAAAAATAGAATGTCACAGATCATCTATCTTTGTATGTATGGCATGTTTCAGGTGACAACTTCATGCCTAGTTTCTTCGTATTGTCCTTTGTTCCATGTGGATGGTGTAAGATAGCATGACTTATCATAATCTCGTTCAAACTTTCTAGTGAGATTCAAGACCAAAAGAGATGATACCTTAATCACAAGATCATTAATGGAAATCTTCTTCCCTCCTGAAGCTTCTTGTATTGAATTGAGTTCTGCACGCAATCTGCCGAGAAAACATCATCAGATCATCTTGAGAGCTTCTGATTAGTACCATACCTCTCATATGTAAGTTTGAATCAATACTCACTTTGTAAGTTTGTCGACACACGTATCTACTGTAAGATAATAATGAGGAATGGTTTGCTTCGAGAGCAACAAGCGTGAAGCAGTGATCTGTTGAGGTTATACGATCAATTAGTTTCAGATTTCTAAAAGGAGTAAACAATTCTTCTATGTCAATCCAAAAACTTAATAGATGAGGTATCATATACCTTCCTATGCCAAAATACAAAGTTAAAAGCCATTTGGATAAGGGTATAAATATACAAAGCACACAGAAAAGTCAACTGGAGATGGTAACCTTTCTTATCTGAGAATGTGGAATATCGCTGTAATTTATAGCAGAAACTGTTGCTTTATCAGCCTTTGAGGTTGCAGCTGAAGGAGCTTTCGCACCAGAAGCTACACGAAGAGGGAAGGGTGAGGCGGGGAAGTTGAAACAAAACAATAAGCAACTAAAATATTATAAACTGTTGATGCCATGTGATTCAGTAAAACTACAAGCTTAACAACATCCAGCTTCAGTCCAACAGTAGACCACAAAGAGTTGAGTTATACCGAGAAATACCTAAATATTCTTCAATGTCAGCCTTCACGATGCTTCCATCAGGACCTGTACCTTTAATACTTGAGAGAGATACCTAATTGAAGGAAACATTAGCATATAAAGGAAATAGAATACGAGTATGTCTTCAAACTTCAGTCAATTCAAGTTAAAGGGTCACCAATGAACATTAGTAGTACTGAAATAGATGAGAATTTAATACGTTGTGATCTTCAGCCAATTTTCTTGCAAGAGGACTGGCAAAAACGCGGTCCGTTTCAGGAGCTGCACTGGGTTTTGCAGCTTTTGGTTCTGGTGGGCTGATTGGCTTCTCAACCACATCTTCTTTCGCAGGAGTAGGTGCAGGGGGCGCTTCAGGAGAGGCAGCATCCGATGCCTGGGGTTTGTAATCTTTAAATTTTTCAATATCATCCTTATCTTCGACAGTTATCGCAATCACCTGCCACAATTACAACATTAGTTCATCCTACTATAATTTAACCATTCAAAATATACTTGACATCACAGTAAGTTGTGTTCATAAAATTTAGCAGGCCATCATGCAGATGGTTTATTATGCGGCATACTTTTAAGGTAATTACTTGGTACATCAATCTGCAGTATGCAATAGAATTTAACGGAAGAGAAGAAATGAGAACAGGGGTTTTGGCCCAAATATGCTCTCATTACAAGTATAATTGACTGATCCTTWAACAACAGACTAACATATAATATAAGAAATGTGGTTCTAGMATCATATCAAGATCATACCTCACCAACTTTAATTTCTTTTGCTCCATCTCCATGTATTATCTTTGCTAGATATCCTTCCTCCATACATTCCATTTCCACAGTGGCTTTATCCTGTAATAAATTGATGCACATGCTGGTAGTTAGTCTTGCAGGACCTCACAAAATTCTTCTCCAGAAAATCATGATAAGCAGCAAACCCAAAATGGAAGACAAAGAAGACATACTGTTTCAACTTCACAGAGTACTTCACCAGGTGCAACTTGATCCCCTTCTTTCTTTAACCACCGTGCTATGTTTCCCTGGATAAGGAACCAAGCAAAAAATTCAGGTAACAGAGCAATATGAAGAACCATATTGAGCTACCTGAAACTTAGAATAGCACAGACCTCTGTCATTGTAGGTGAAAGAGAAGGCATCCCGAGCTCTTGGTGTGGGGGAAGGCCTGCATGTCAAAGCATAGAAAACTGCATTAGTACAACGAATAAACCTACTGATCAAAATAAGCAACAAAATATGGTTAGAACAACATTAGGAAGAGGACAATCTAACAACAGTTGACGAGAGTAAGTTTGACAATCGAACAAAGTGGGTTGCACTATTCTACTTACAACTACAATCCCACATACAATGGAACTGATCAGTCAAGACCTTGTGAATGATGCAGATGTATAGCTATATAAGCAACCGGCACAAGAATATCCACACTAAAGAACCTAGAACGTTCATTGTATATTTGGATTTCCAGCACCAAATCATCACTAAGCAAATTTGTATTTTCATCACATATAGAAGATTCCATATGCATCAGGAGATCTTACACATTCAATCAAATCGGATCATCTCTTTATGAATTAAAAGTCAGAGCCAGGAGATACCAATGTTACACATGGAAAGTACCTGAATTTGTTGAAAATCTTCTCCCAAGTTGTGCGTTATTGCTGTTAAACATGAATCTTTTGAATCAGAACATGAATCAGATACATCGATAATTGCAAGGGTGTTAAGGATGCTTCAAAATTACCATGAAATTCCTCTACTAAACACCATGCCACTAACTGAAGTTCCTTCTGTTCTAACAGCAAGTCCATTTTGCACCTAAAACATAAAGCAACAGTAAGCTTTTGATGAATAAGCTTCTATATAACTCTATGTTCAATTTACAGGATGATGACAATGAAACCAAACCTAAGGAGGTGCAATGCTTGATGGATTTGACATACCTTTGTGGGATTCGCTGCCCTATAACTTCGAGTGAATATGGGTGTACTTGACATGAATCCACTGCAAGACTTGCATACACAAATATTCTGTCCAGGAAAATTGTTAATCTGGTGGAGCTTCGACACATCTGCAATGTGAATGTAAATCTGTCAATGACAACCATCATAAAAATTTCTGATAATACAGTCACTGACCAATTATTTATCAACATTAATGCAAGTGTGCCTAGGATAAAAAAGTATCTTTTAGTGTACCACTATCGTAAGAAACTAAGCACTATAAGAAATAACAGTTGGGAACCAAAATAACTCAGCCGCTTACTTCTAGTAGGGCTAAATAGCGCCTTTACTTTTTAAAATAACCAATATTTTAATTATTGCGAACCTAAAAGTCCTTAGTAGCGTTGGCAAAGAAGAACAACCGGTTAAATGTGCAAAGCTCAAGACATAGCTACAACTGAGGAATTGCTCTTATTAACAACATCAAATAGCTATACAATGCGTTTGATCTACATAGCTTCCTCAATGCCAATAGTTGCATAAGTTCTCGTGCGCCATAAATTTCTCATTTGTCAGTGAATGACCAAACCGTCGCTTATTTCTCTTTCTGATTCCTCTCCTGTCTAAACAATCTTAAACAGGGCCCCCAGGGTCCATGAAGTCAAATCAATCAACCTAAATAGTAATTCTTGCGCTCCATACAGAAAATCAGGAAATCTGATCCCATGCATATAGCATCTACCATTATGAAATATTACAAGAAAAGTGATAACTAAAAATGAGTAACACATCTTGTTCGTGGATGAAACTGCATGGTGTGAGGCACATAACAAATAAAACATTCAAATAATCAGTCTGACAAATCTGAAGATCATCATAGACGATCTTTATAAATTCTGAACAAAAACATCCAAGACTTGCACCAGAATGTGGTTATCCCCTATGGCACTCAATTTTCCTTCATATGAAGACTAAAATACATGTATAACGAAATGGAATTAGCCTAAGAGGATAGAGAAGGTAAAACCACAGATGAGAAGTCTTTGCAACAGTAGCTACAGCAACAAATATATGATTACAGCTATTGATGACGAGACACTAATAGTGGCAATATATAAGTACGAATGTTGTTTAATAAATCACGATGCATCTCATAAAGTTCTAATCTTTTTGGAATACAAAAAGCCGAATCTGCTATACATACACATAATTTGGGTTACATTTGAAGTTTTTATACTATACTCCATACATACATTGACAACTAAGTGTGAAAGCAATAGGCAATGGAAAATAAAGTTTATATATTTATTCCTAGATATTGTGATATGAATTTGGTTTATATCCATAAAGTAAATTATGAAACCTATTGCGAATAATACATGGAAGAGGTATGTCACACTATATGAATTATAGCAAGTAAAATAGGAAGCAGATACTTACCATCACCCTTGTTAGAGATCGAACGAGTACTATGCGAAAACCACCGAACCAGAATGGCATGATCCTGCTTTAGCAAGCCCTGAGCATTTTTCAGCTGGAATAATACAAAACCGATCAATATAATAGACAAACTTGGCAGCAAGCATACAAGCATCCAACTCATCAAATATCATGTCATCTTAAAGCATCCTGCTATTCAAGCTCAAATTAACAGAATGTTCCTCTTCTCCCTCCCCCTCCCTCGCCCTCCCCCTTCACTCCCTACCAAACATGAAGCTTAATATGACACGCAAAACCTAAATCAACAAAACCCGTCTAACAAGCATGATAACAGAAAATTCAATCTTGACATACTAATTTTTTCATTTTTTTCTTCTTGACAGCTACTGGACCATTATCGGGAGAAAGAAAGATCTCAAAATCATTTCAAAAGTGCAATCACCTAACGCATCTAACACCAATACGTTCACATCCGTCATTAATCATAAATAATGATTGTATACATACAAAACATGATATCTATAGATTGAAAACAAACAAACAAACACACACGTATTTATATAACATATCAGGTAGCAAGAATTGGTACGTATGATCGGAACCTGTTTAGAGTGACGGATGATATGAGATGCAAAAGTCATGATTGAAGAGGTGGCTTCAGTAGAGTGGTTGTTCGCCGGAGGAAATGGCGTACGCCGTCGACGTTCGGAATATTTGTATGTGTCTAGGGCTAGAAGTCAAATGGTGAAGGCACAGAAGGTCCAGATCGGTGTTCCTGATTAAAACATGGGTCTGCTGTAAAATGTTAAAAGCGTGGGGAACCTTTTTCTTTTTCTTACGGTAAAAAGCTGATAAAAAAATAACGAAATATATTATTATTATTATTTTCTTTTAAAATTTATATACGATAAATAAAATATTTTCTTCATATTTGGTGAAGTTTGAACCTCTAATTTTTTAAGAGGCCAAAGACTCACATATCTTCTACAAATATTTGTAAAACCTTAGGGGTTGTTTGACAGTTACTGAATGGTTTAATGCAGAATGATTAAACAGTGAGAATAATTGAAAGTAATGTTTTATTCATAATTAAAAGGCAATGAGTGTCAATAGATGTCTCTTAGTATTTTTTTTTTCAAAACAAAATGTTTTTAATTTACTTACCCAGAGAAAAAAATATATACTATATTATAAAGCATGAGACAAAAATTCTTAAAAATCATCCTTTATATATGAAGTACTGTTAATTGATGCATATTGCTTGAAATTCAATATTACAAGTAAAGTATGCATAAGTACAACTTATTAAGCTTTATGCATATTACTTGAAATTCAAGATTACAAGTAAAGTATGCATAAGTACAACTTATTAAGCTTTATATTTGAACTCGTGTAACTAACTATAGATAAATACAATTAAATACATAATAAAATTCTCAATTTAGATATCTAAAATATAATTATGATAATTATTGAGTTCTAACATAAACTTAGTTATTATCACTATAAAAATTATAATTATTAAACCAAAAACAAATTATTTATTTATTAAATCTAAATTAAGTTATAATAAAAAAAATAAATTAAAGAAATTACACAAAAAAAAATGATAACTTTTATATATATTTTTAATTTTTATGATATATTTAAATTTATATTTAAAAAAAACATTATTGTTTGCTCAAAACCATATAAATTCATATTATAACATCGACATAGACAAAAAAATAAAACGAAACATTAAAATTGAGATACATCTCGTTACATTGTACGTGTATCCTTCTAGTTAAATTTAAAGCATTTATATTTGTTGAGATCTATGAATCCCTTCAATATGTCTAAAACTACTTGATTATCGACTCCAACAAATTAATTTATATCAAAAGATTTTTGGCCTAACGGTATGTGAGTTTTTGGTCTTTTATGAGGTAAGGGGTTCAAAACTTCATCAAAGATGAGAATGGTGTGTACGTTTATTTATTTTATTTGTCGTATATAAATATTATATATTTCAAAAAAAACAAATTAATTTATTTTAAAGATTATAATATGTGTTTGAAATGGGCCAAATTTGAGGGTCAACCAATAACACCATTCAATATTAAGGTGAATTAAAAATCAAAACAACCATCACCTCATCTCATCAATGACCTTTTGCACTCCAAAAAAGCCAAGAGTCAAAAAGTGAAGGCCAAATTGGAATGAATCCCCAATTCACCATCATTAAATCCATTCATATTTCTTTTACAAAATATAACATCTATATATATATATAGTAAATCTGTAAGGTGAACTTTATCTGTGTATTTTTTTTTTCTTTCACGCTGTATAAAAAGAGATGGAAATCTGAATCGTGTCAAGATAGTGGGATGATGGAAACGAATGGAGGATTTCCAAAGAGCACGAAGAATCTGAGGAGTAATACGACTTCAAAGATTATCGGGGTCATGTTATATATGACAACTCCAACTGGTCTGGATCCGTCTCCAAGGAAACCAATTTGAGGGAACATTTTTTAGTTCACTCAGTTGCTAAGGCTAGCAGGGGCCTAGGTTCGAGCACTTATCGGGCAAGATTATCTGCCATCAAAATTGACTGCTAGCAGTAGCAAGGGCTTAGGTTCGATCACTTACCGAGTAAGATTCTGTTAATTCTCTACCATCAAAACTGATTGTAGATAAGCATGTTTTACCCAACAATCTCTTACTAGATAAGATTATCGGTGCTTATTATGACTCTTACCGGGTATACAGGGTACAATTTACCGGCCGTTGTCGCATCCACCCGCTAAGGTAAATGACACCCGGTAAACATTTGGTAAACGTCACTAAATTTAATGCCATTGACAATGGGTGTTGATTTGAAAACACAAGTCTGATGATGAATCAATAAAAATTCATACAATGGTTACAGAAGCGTTGAAGTTAATATCCACAGGCATAGAAAAACATATCCCGGTTCGTTTTTGTGACGGTTTCTGACCTGGAAAAACATACACACGATTCGTATCCGAGTGCTTTACTTTGAAAAACAAATTTACAAGCTATGTGGCTCGACTGAATCCTTCATTAAAAATGCAGACCCTCGATTCCCTTGAGAGTCGATTCAAAGTTCTTTATGTTTTTACTGCCAATCGAACGTTTTTGATCCGAGGATACAACCGGTGAGCTCCTTTGGCCTGTACTTGTGACTCGGCCAACTGTACCCGGGCTCGCATCTGTTGTGCGCCCATATGATGGCTCGGGCTCACCACCTGCCTCACGGCTGCTAGACACAGCAGGTCGCCGTGAAGATCCACTTGATTGCAATAGATTAGAACTCGATAACTGCATCAACACGAGTAAAAAAGATGAGAGGGTGGTTGAAACAGTTACCAAAGAGTCATTGGTCTAGCGGTATCTGGGTTAGTCATTGGTCTACCAAAGAGTGCATTTCAACTCATTTTGGGTTTTTGTTTTCTTGAAAGTGGCTCAAAGGTAAAATGCAAAACCAGTATTCGGTTTTTCTCAAGAGTACATTTCTGTAGATCACTACTACCAAACAAAAACCTTCCCAATTTATACAGACATTAATCCACACAGACAACTTTATCCATTCAGGACTCGATGGAAAATCAACCAAACAGCCCCAACGGCTACCTTACTTGTAGGCTACACAAATCATTGATTAACACAAGTCAAGATAAGATAACACCACCAGTAATAAATACCATTTACAAACTAAATACTCTCTCCGTCCCAAAATAAATGTCCACAAAGAAAAAGACATATAGTTTTAGAAATGTATAATTACTATACTTTTTAAGTAACTAAATGACAATTTTACCAGTAATAGTGAGGAAGCAATGAATTTCTCTGTCTCATAATTAAAGACAGAATTGAAAAGCAGGCACTTGCCTTTGGTTGTGGACGCTTATTTTGAGACAAACTAAAATAGAAATGTGGACACTTATTTGGGGCAGAGGGAGTAACGACTAAATACTGACATGTGGCGGACTGTGTGTGTGTGTGTTGTCCAAATTGTAACGATACATACTTCTCTACTCATGGATGGATCACTGGAAGCTGGATTTTTCTGTTTAGACAGGCTCCCAGAATTGAAAGGCATCCCAGCATTTCTAGGGCGGGAGGGATTTGCAGAGGACCAACCAGTAGGCCTACCGTCTTCACCACCTGCAGACCAACGACATTTATACGTCTCAAGGTTGTCAAACCAGATTTCAAAGCATTAGATCATCAAGAATGGCAAGATGAAACACTCCTTCCCGACCTTTCCGTCCCATGAAAGTCAACAAAAGTTCTTTTTTGGAAAGCTTTCAACTTTAAATTACCGAATTGCCCTCATCAAATTTGGACCCACAAGATGTCTCTATTATCTTATTGGCAGTGTTCTAAAACGCCATGGCTTGATATAGCGTATGACACGTCTTCGCCGTTAACATAAGGCCTATAGTGATTCTGTGAGGCGTGGCTCAAGTGTGCTTTTACAAGGCGTGATTTCAAAAAAGATTTATCTTTTTAGTTTCTATTTTTTAGCTTTTGTGTTTTTTACACTTTTCACTTTAGATTTTACACTTCTATAGATTTTACCTAATCACATCACTCACAAGTTCACAAATTCACACACGTCATAGACTCACGATTAAAAAGGGGTTGTAAAATTACCCTTCCAAGTTCTATTTTGAATATTTAATCAAAGATTATTTATATAATGCTAATATATATGATTTTTCTTCTCTAGTATGAACGTAAATTTTAAATACCATTATCTCATTGAATAATATAAAAAAAAAATTATGTATATACATATATAGAGTCAGGTTCATACAAGAACAATAACTAAATAAGAGAATAAGAAAACGGACGAATCAAATGCGATTTTACACTAAAATCACATGTGATTTATGCGACTTTGGTTGCGACCTGAGATCGCGGGCCACATCGTCTGCACACCCTTTTGTTGTCTGTTAATGTAAAATGACGTGATTTTGCACGTGATTTGGCTGTTTTCGTATTCTCTTATTTAGTTATTGTTCTCGTTTGAACTTCCCTCTCTCTCTCTCTCTATATATATATATATATGTGTGTGTGTGTGTGTATATATATAAATCTATATATGACATACAAATTTGCTGCCTTGGAAAAGCCGCGTCCTCGCCGTGGGGCGTAAGGCTTGAGGTTTGACCTCGTCGCCACGCCAGTCCACGTCTCACACCATTTAGAGCCTTGCTTATTGGTATTTTAGATATTCGGCAAATAGACAAACATTTTTACTCTGAATGAAAGATAAATAAAGACGAGCTAAATCTCACCCGACATCCTGTTAGGGTTAGAAGCCATGGGAGGGATACCAGAACTTGTTCCAACACCAGCGCCCTGACAGAAAGCATTACGTTATTCAATTGTACTGGGCTTCCTCAACAATGTTGTCACAAGTAAACAACTTACAAGAGCACGGGATGGAGGATTGGCAAGTTGTGATTGCTGATACTTCAAGATAGTCCAATCAAAGATGTAATCAAACTGAAAGCCTGAAACAGTAAAATGTAGAGCAACCATTAACTATTAGATACAATGTACCCGCCTTTGACCCAAACTAAATGCAAAGATTTCCTTTTAATGTTGTCCCAAAATAAATGCAACAATTCCTTTTTGGACGGACGATGAATCCTTTTTGGGTTTCAATACAAATTTTGGATAAAGAGAGTATTAGATAAGCAGGGGTTGTTTGGTTGGTTTTTCCATGTCCTGTATGGATAAAGTTGTCTGTGTAGATCAACTTGTCTATATAGATTGAAAAGGTTTTTGTTTGGGAGGTTTTTTTCATAGATAGAAAAAGCATGTTTTTTAATTCGGGGGGCAGGTTCGGCAAAAACTTGGCTTTCTGCATAAAGCTCCCCCTAGAAGCTTATTGAATAAGCCACTTTCTACATTCATCAAGTCACTACCAAACAGTCTGACCAAATAAGTTGTGAGGCCCATTAAGCTTATTAAGCCGCCAACATACAGGACCTAAGTCCTGTATGGATAAAGTTGTCAATGTAGATTAATCTATCTGTATAGATTAGAAAAGTTTTTGTTTGGAGGGTTTTTCCATAGATGGAAGAAAACGTGTTTTTTAATTGAGAGGGACAAGTTTGGAATTTTTTTGGCTTTCTACATAAAGCTCCCCCATAAAAGCTTACTGCATTAGCCGTTTTCTATATTATTAAGTCGCTACCAAACAGCCATGTATCGCTGACCGAATAAGCTATGAGTCTCATTAAGCAGCCAACAAACATGCTCTAAAACAAGCTTATCTACAACCACTTGCAATGCACGATAAGTAGAGTAGAGTAACCTAACCTTCACGAATAAAAAGATCACGGAATATTTTCTTCAGATAAGCATAATCTGGCTTATCCTCAAATTTTAACGAACGACAATAATGGAAGTATGATGCAAACTCTGTAGGATATCCCCGGCATAAAGACTGAAAGAGTATGCAAAAATACTTTGTGAAGTTCATGGCACATAAACGATAATTGGCAGCAACAAACATCATGGAATGGTATAGCTTACCTCAATAGAGGTAGAAACCTTCTTTTCACTAATCTTTTCGTACTTTTGTTTCTTGTTCCCGGCTTTCAGTCCCTGCCACGGAAGACTACAATGTACACAACATGTAGTCACAACTAACCATATGATGCATCAAATTTTGAAAGAAGATAACATGAACTTGGTCACGCTACAACAAATTGGCTTTATAGGACACCTATATTGTCTAAACGTCCTAATAAAATATTGCGTAAAACTTAGGTTTATAGGACCAAACTATAAAGCATCCTATCTAAAAGCATTGCAATAGGCTTATAGGATGTTTTTAGGTGTTTTAACAAGTTTTTTAGGACGCTTTTAAAGTAAAGTGCTCTGTTAGCTACTTTATAGGACACTTTTGAGAAGTATCCTATAAACCCATCTTTTTATAGAACACTTTTTCAAATAATGTCGTATAAAATAGTTAATACGACACTTTATTTTAAAGCGTCCTAGGAACTTGTTAAAACGACTAAAAACATCCTATAAACCTTGCAACGCTTTTGGATAGAACCCTTTTTAGTTTGTCTATAAAATGATTTCTAGGACGCTTCTACATTTTAGGCATCCTATAAAATCAATTTTGTTGTAGTGTGAAAAGTATCTACCTTCCTCTTAAGAAGTACATGAGAACATATCCAAGTGATTCCAGATCATCCCTCCTGCTTTGTTCTAAGAAACAGAAACACAAACATGTAACTATGATGATGTCATTCATATGCTTGAATAACTTTGAGCGCTTTCGCAATCTTACCAATTCCAAGGTGGGTATTCATGCTCGCATACCTTGCTGTTCCCGTCAAGTTCTTGTTCTCTCTGCATTTAATATGGCACGATAAAGCAAAAATGCATGACCTCTTGTGCTCATGATAAAAAAAAAGGGGAATAAAAGAAAGGTTTCATCAGAAAAAAGCTTAACTCTGGCACGATTATATTATTGTTTTCTTCCAACAGTCCGAGAATGGATAGAACACAACTTACCATAAAATGCTATGTTTTCAAAAAAGGGAACAATTGTTATTCATGTGCTCTCACTTGGTTGAGTGCATGTCTCATCTTACCCCTAGGACCTGGTGAGACCTTTGCACCCAGGGGCGGACCCACATGGAATGATACAGTGGCATGTGCCACTGCTTCATGGTTCCGTCATAAGAGGAAAAAATTATGTTTCTGGAGGGAGCCACCGTATTGTTTTGTTAGGTGCCACCATATTATTCTTCAAACTGAAATGTTAACACAAGACTTTTAATGGCTAAGATGGTAAATGCTCCTGTCTTTGTACAAATTGTTGTTTTTAGCTTAAATTTTGGTGTCTATTTACATACCTATTGTGTTTTTAAAAATATATGTAGACAGGACTCAGACATTGGTCTTCACATAGGGTCTTTTCTATGTAAGGACAAGGAACCAACCAACAGATCTATACTAATATTGTGAAGAAAAAGAATTAGATATTTTATTATAACCAAATCGTGCCACCACTTGAAAAAAAAAAACTCTGGGTCCGCCTCTGTTTGCACCTCAATTTGCCTTGCTCCTTAGACAACCCTGCTAAAAATTAAACAAACCCACTCACCTATAAGGAATGTGCCGATGAGTTGAAGAGTCCCTATATTTCTTGGCTAGCCCAAAATCAATGGCATAGACCTGCAATGTGTAGGTGTATATATATATATATATATATATATATATGTTTAAAGGCAATTTACAAAAATCAGAAATGTACAATGGAAAAAGGGAACCAATTATGGACTGAAACCTGATTAGCACGCCTTCCTAAACCCATAAGAAAGTTGTCTGGCTTAATATCCCGATGCAGAAATGATTTACAGTGAATAAACTCAACACGATTGACCTGCGACAAATATGATCACAAGAAAAGAGTGAATGAGAGAACATGCAATTATCAATGAAGAATGCACATGCAATAAAAAAAAGCATACCATCTGATCAGCAAGCATAAGAACGGTTTTCAAAGACAGCTTCCTACTACAGAAGTTAAACAAATCCTCAAGACTGGGTCCCAATAAATCCAAAACGAGAACATTGTAGTCTCCTTCGACGCCAAACCATCTCACATTTGGAATTCCAGCTAACAAATTGGAAGATAAGAGAAACAGTAAGAATAACCAAATAACCCATAAATTATTATTACAGAATGCAAAACAGAATTATGGAAGTGATCATTACTTCCTCCCTGTAGTATCTTGTACAACTTCGATTCATATAGCAATTGCGGGTGCTTTGTTTTAATATTTTCCTGAAAAAGAAGGGATGGAACAATATAGCGAGATTATAGAAAATCACAAGCCTTAACTAAAATTGTAATCAAGAAAATCCATAAATTAAAGAGGATATGCAACACCACAGAACCCCACATGGGCGCGAAGATAACCTAGACTAATGATCTCATATCGCCTTTCAAATGGCATCAAGATTAGTTTTCGACCATCTTGCATGATTAAAGTTTTCCTGGGGGAATGGAGAAACCAGCAATAAGGGTATCTATCCAAGGTGGATCATGATCAGATTAGTTTAAGTTTTTATCTTGACCATGAAGTTCTAAAAAGCAGCTAAGCGCCTTACGTCATTAAGCTATAAATAAGCTGTCAGCCTTCAACCAAATACAATAAAATGCAAACCAGCAAATTGTCAAACCAGGCATATACAGCATACAATTCCTGTATTCCCATTATTACCATAATGTGTGTATGATTATAGATCATAATGGTTAATTGATTATGCACATCCAAACAAATCTATGAAGTTTTAGTGAGAGAATCCTATCGGGTTCTAAGAGCATGTGACTTGGCAACTTTTCTTTTGAAGTATATAATATTTATATACGGCAAATAGAACAAATAAACTCATACCTCCTCACCTGTGGTGAGGTTTGAGCCCTTGACCTCCTAGGAGGTCCAGGACTCGCATACCGCTAGACCAAAGTCCCTTTGGTGTTTGTTAGCAACTTAATGATGACTCAATGCTTATTCAGTTAGCTATATATGATTGTTTGGTAGTGACTTAATAATGCATAAAATGGCTTATTCGATAAGCTTCTAAGGGAGCTTTATGCAGAAAGCCAAGTTTTTTCCAAACATGTGCTCGCAATTAAAAGAACACTCTCCTTCTATGTATGAAAAAACCATCCCAAATAAAAACGCTCTCAATCTATACAGTCAGACTAATGCACACACTCAACTTTATCCATATATAACTTAATGAAAAACCATCCACAGCCCCTAAAGCATGGTGGTTTTACAGTTACAGTTCCTATCATCAACCCATATGGATGTCAAACATATTACTGGAAACATAAAAACCACAAATTAGTCACAATTTAGTATGCAAAATCAAAAACAATTGCTAATTTTTTACTCACAAGCTTGATAGCAACTTCTTCATTCGTCTGAACATTTGTACCTATAAAAATAAACAAATGCCCAATGGTTAGCAAGCAATACAAGCTCATAAAACTAAAAGGAGTCAAAATCATCATAATAATCAGCATTAATACACGAACCCAGATAGATCTCTCCAAATGAGCCGCTGCCGATCTTGCGCCCTAGCCGAAACTTATTCCCCACACGAGGCTCCATCATATAAACAATTCAAATACTTCGTGTTTACAAAATTAAAACCCTAGTTCAAAAAATTAACGAAGGACAACAGTCGGAGTCCGATTATCGCCTCATTCAGGAACCTGCGAATCGACCAATCGAGATGAAACGGAAGTTGACGTCAGCCACCGGCAACCGCCATGAAGAGTGAAATAAAAAGGCTGAGAAAAAAGTGGGTCAAACTGAAACAGGGGTTGATGAAACAAAGAGATCAATCGAAGGTATTTGAATAATTGAATTGAGATGATTCTGATTTGGAGAAAAGGAAAAAGAATTTTTTTTTCCTGCAAAATTTCAATGGAGGTTTAGGTTGGAATGAATGATAATGGGATATGGGGAAGAGAGAGGAGGCATCGTGATAGCACCCCCTACACACATACACTCTTCGCAATCTCTTTGATTGAATCGCAGTAGCCTTTTTGACCCAACCCTGCTTCTAAGTTTGGTGTGGATCTCCGCCAAACTCCCTAGCTAAAACCAATAAAAAGGAGATAGATACATCAACATGTATGTATAGGTTTTTCGTGACAATTATAAGAAAATATCATATTTTTTAATCATTTCTAATTGAATGTCAACACTATTGAGATCTATTTTGTCAACACCATTGAGATGTAATTTGAATTAATTTTTTTGGGTGGGCAGGTTTCATGACAAGTATAAGAAAAGATCTTTTGATGTCAATTCTAATTGAATGTCAACACTAAATAGTTGCATCTCGAATCAATTTCCTTGGGTGGGCATGTGATTAAGAGCAGTGGTTCGTGCCATCATATCCAATACACTGGGTCCAACCTTGGTTCCACATATTTTCACATGATATCAGAACCAATATCTACTATTCTTTGACTTTTAACACTCTGTGCCTATCTGTACATGTTTGGCCCCTCTCAACACTCAAGGACAATTTATACCCGTCTAGCCCTTGTGTTGAGGAGGTGTATTGGAGTCTCAAATTAAATAGACTTGGATCATTTCTCCTCTATATATGTTGGAACATGTATTCTCTTCTCAAAGCCTATTTTTTGAGTATAAGGGATTCCATATGTTCTCACAACATAGAAAAAAAAAACTACAGCATAAATTAGGGTGAATAATATAAAATGAAAAATATATGTTCCTACCCTCCATCAACAATCTCATCTAGGCATAAAAAGTTCAGATCCAAGTTTTTTTAGTGCCTCCCTTTGGTTAACATCACCCTTGCATCAACAACTTGACAAAGGTTAGACACTGAAATGTCAAAATTTGAACATTTGTGTCAGTTGGAGTCTCACATCAGCTAAACTTTGAATATTTTTTCTCAATATATGTTGGAATCTCTCTTCTCTTCCCAATAGCTCTTCTAGAGGGTAAATAGATGAGGTTCCACGTTTTTTCATACGGTATCAAAGTTAATGTCTGCCAAACACCAGACAATATGTGTCCCTCTAGCCTCCGTTAGATAGGGCATGTTGGAGTCTCACATCTGCTAGACTTGAACCATTTCTCCTCCATATATGATGGAGCTTCCTTTCTGTCTTCAAAGGCTCTTTTGAAGAGTAATTCAATGAGGTTCCTCGTATTATCTCGGTACGACTATATAATGGAACAATCATTAGTTTCTAATGACCTGAGGAGAAGAGTAATCATATCGAAGAAACCAAGGCCGTTGCTAGAGCTAATTCACTTTCATCATGGCCTTCGGCTACAAAAAAGTGCAAATCTTGTACAAATCTACATACCACGACGTTATTCTCAAACATTGCTATCTCAACTGAAAATACACATACCAACAAATAGACAAGCACTTTATGTTCACAAAGAGTACAGAGTATCCCCAGTTACCATTATTGCAGCATTCCAGACTAGATATTCTCCGCTTTGTCTAAACTTGGACTCACAGTTTTAAAACATGCCTGATAAATAGTCCCTTGTAAAGCAAACTCTGTTCCCCTTCCCAACTGAGATCTCACAATTATGGTCATAAAAAAGTTGTCTTTCCGATAGCAACTCGTGATATCAGAAACCAAACCTTCAGTTCTAGCATTTGTCTTATGAGTTTTAGTAAACACAAACTTTTCAAAAGCTGGTTTTGCGCTATTAAGCCGACCATTCATATGAAAAATACTTGACTGCTACACGTCTTCCCTTGGAATCCAAAATGATAAATGTTTTTTTTATAATTAGTGAGGCATCCTGTAAGCACCCGGTCAGAAAAAGGAACGTTACTGATTTCTAGTTTTCTACTATCTGGAAAGTTGTGAAAAGGAGATGATTAGAGATTTATAAAAAAAATGAAACATTAAAATTGAAATGTATCTTACTACATTGTACGAGTAACCTTTTAGTTTATAAAAAAAACGTTTGAATAATAATACTAATAATAACCGAATTTTTTAAAAGAATATTTATTTTGTAAAATAAAAATTAAACTATCCAAAATAATACTGAATATAAAACTGCATGGAACAAGGTTAGCAAAAGTGCTGGAATAGCTCAGTTGGTTAGAGCGTGTGGCTGTTAACCACAAGGTCGGAGGTTCAAGCCCTCCTTCTAGCGGTATTTTCCCATTTTTTTTATGTTTCAACCGGTTATCTATGTATTTAAATGTTTAAAACCTTACATCTTAATGAAAGTTTTAAAAGTACGTTACTCAAAATACAAATTAAGTTAAAATACATTATTTTTTTATGTAAATTAATCTTTATTTTTTTATATAATTTAACCTTTATTTATTTTATAAGGACTTGCTCATTTATATGTGGATAGGGTCGGATACAAGGCCATGGGGTCAGGGACAGCCCCGGTATATTGGATGAAGTGGCATAGGCCACCACTACATTTTTCCGTTGTAATATAACAAATTAGCCTCTTGAAAAGTGTGACCATATCAATTTGTTGTATGCCAACATATATATTTTGAAACTACAATAAGAACACATGTTTTATTTGGTAGAGTTGGTATGCAAGACTCTTCTTCCACCTTAGACCCAAGTTCGAATTTTGTGAAAAATATTCATGTATTTGTTTCTTATAATCAAATGGTGTCATTACTTAAAAAAAAAAAATTTGAATCCGTCTCTCGTATTACAAAAAAAAAAATTAACTTCAAATTTACTAAAACACCCCTAATAACATATGAACCTTTCATTCTCACGATATTTAACCTTCTTTTAACCTATTGCTACTGCTCGTTCTTGTAGAAGTTAATATGATGTTTACCATATAGATGGTGCTAGACGGTGATTGCGTTTGTTTATGTTCAAACGGTTCATTGTGTTGGTTTAAGCATGGACAATACAAGAAAATTTGTTCGTTCAGGTTTCTTTTTCGTTTGTTCAGTTAATAATTTTAAACGAACGAAAACAATCACGACACGTTTTGTGTTGTTGGTCAAATTGAAATTAGAAATGAGACCTTCAATCAGAAATGAAGGGAAAAATGAAATTTGACCGCACATTTGGTTGGAATGGGATCTGTTAAATGAATGGTGGAATGGAATTGAATTCCTTCTCAATTGAGATGGAATGACCAAGTCCATAAATGGTGGTATGTATGGAATTCAACAGGTAAACCGAACACCTGAATGGAATTTGGTTAATGGAATTAATCATTCCAATTCATTCATATTCCAATGGAATCCTGCAAACCAAACACCCCCCGAGGAAGTGTCTGGTTAGAGAAATTAAAGAACAGTTAACGAGATTGAAAATAAAAGAAACTGTTTGAGTTTTATAATATAACAGGCTCATTCTCCTGAACCTGTTCCCATTTTCATTCCCCGTCACTGTCATTTTCATCTTCATTCCCGAACCAAATCCCCTAAAAAACACATTATTTTTCAAAAATTGAAGATGGTGAGTTAGATCTCAAGATCCCTCCCTAATAATTAGTTGCAAAGGCATCATCAAATCACTTATACAATGTCTTTGATTCTTACTCATAAAAGATGGATGATCCAAAGGTTTAAAATTCAGGATAAATTTGGAATTCCAAGTTCTAACGATAACATAATTTGCTCGAACCTGGACGGAATAACATTTCGCTTAAGCTGTGATTCTAGACCGACCCTTCGCTATCCTCCTAGCAATCACTCGTCTACCTCCCTTGGTTGCTTTACTGCATAAATTTAAAGAAAATTCCGTTAGAAACGAACATAACCACATGCAACAGCAGGTTTTCAATCAGGTGTGTGCACGTGGCGGGTGTGTTTGGTACGCGGACAGTACTGGGCTGGCGAAGGTGAAGTAGGCAAGGGTAGTTTAGTAATTTATCAATCTTGTGTCACTTCCCTTTTTCCTTTTTTCGATAAAATTGGGTATCCAACTAATCACCCGGGGAAACCACGAATGGCCTGGAGTCATCGTAGGTGAACCTTCATGGTCACAAAGGCTTTGACAGCATCTGGATTCGAACCAAAGGTAGATGAGATTTTCACTACACCCCCCATGACCTTAACCGATGCGCCACAACTTAAATAGTTCTCATTCCCCTTATTTTTGTTCCACCTATTTTGGTATTCCATGCTAGGAAATTAATTAAAATAGCCATTTTCAAGCTTTGGGTTCATCTCTATAGCCACTTTTCTACCAATATTTCAAAAATATCACTACCTGCGTGCAGTTAATGACTCCTCAACTTACAAAGGGGTCAAAGTGTAAAAAAGAAGTTTCTGAAAATGGCTTTTTATTAATTTCCCTTCCATGTTGGCGTAGTCTAATGTCGAAAGATGGGACAACAATTTTTTCAGTTTTTGGCTCTGACATGTCCCGTTCTCATCCATGTACCAAAGACACATGCAAAGTGCAACGCAAACTAGAAAATAGATGTACCGAGCCAAGTAGCCATGAGTCCTTTTACGCTTGAGAGTGCTAGGCTGGTAAGTTCTCTTGATGCACAACAATGGTTCACTCAATGATGAATCGTCTCCTGAAGCAGAAATGTAAAACATGAAGCAAATCATATGATTAACAACTATAACACATCAACCTTGAATATTGAAGTTATTATTTTGCTAATGTTCTTTTTCTGCAAATTTTGTTCCACACTATGCACAAGTCAGGGGTCTTCACTGAAACAACCACTCTACCTTTTGGGATGGAGGTCAAGTAGTGTACATTTCAACCCTCCCCAAGATAACCCCACCTTCGGGTGGGATAACCAGGATTGTTTGGTTTAACACATCAACCTTGAAAGATGGCTATTCTTCCGCTTGTAGGGTATTGAAAATCAATCGGATATTACGAGGGTAGGACATAACACTATCTGCCCAAACCATTGAGAGAGAAGCAGACCCGAAGTCCAGCACCTAAGAAACTAATCCGCACAGGCATCGCAACTTCTCCATAGCGTATTTATTCGTGTTATTTCAGTTAGTTATGATATTTCTATATTTATATTTCTGCATATTTCTATTAGATATTTTTTTAAGATAGAGATTTACAGAAAAATGTTCCATTCACATAACAAAGCCAGGGTCTTGCTAAGATTTTTTCAGAAGAATATTTAGCTAGGTTAAGAGGTAAATGAGCATGCCATGACGTTGTTAGGATCTCACCTCTATGGCCCTGGCCCGTAAATGGACCTAGCTTCTAAAATATCTTATGAAACTGTTCCAAAAGACTCCTAACTACCTACCTCCCAAAGGGGATTTCAAAGAGTAACAACATTTAAGATCAATCTATAAATTCAAATCAACTACATATCATAAAGGACTTCTGTTTGACACTTCAAATACTCTACACACATACTCTTTTCACTTGGTGCTCATTCACTAGTGAATTATGTTTACTAGGAAGTAGCTTGAAGGTATGAGGGTCTGCTTGTTAGCAGCTTAATGAGCTTAATGGGACTCGCAACTTATTCGGTCAGCTATATATGACTGTTAGGTAATGGCTTTATGATATAGAAAGTGGCTTATTCAGTAAGCTTCTCGGGGGAGTTTTAAGCAGCAGAAAACCAAGTTTTTTTTTTCCAAACCTGCTCCTCCTAATTATCAAGCTCCTTCCATCTATGAAAAACTCCGCCAAACAAAAATCTTCCAAATCTATGCCGACAGATTAATCCATGCAAGCAGCTTTATTCATCTAGGACTTAAATGAAAATAACCAACTAAACAGCCCTTAGCATTATCAGACACCCACAACCCAATAAGCATAATCTTCTTCACTATTATCAAAACATAGTTCAAGGCTTCAAGCTCTGCCTTATCAAGTTTCAGTACAATTTCATGTTAGAAATCCCCCTGTCATCGTTTGTCACAGCATCTTCCTATTTCAATGTTACATGTCGAACTACTTCTTCAATGATATCCTAATACTTTGTACACAATTAAGTATATTTGGAAGCTCTTATGATCATCAAATTCGTAACCTATACCTTCTTCAGTACATCTAATCAAATTGCAAGAGCTTTCTACAGATAATTTCCTGATTTTATTTAGCTTTCATGTTCGATTAAAACATATATTGCATAAATCAGATCGGGAAACAGTTAATTACCGTCAGGGAGGAAGAACCGGAGAGAAGGAAGCCCGCAGGGATATAAGAATCCTTCAGAAGAAACTCTTTTTAGGGCTTCTGCATCGTTTTGGATCAAATTCATCGGATTCTGTAGCTTCAAAAGAGATGGGAATGGCGGTGGGGTGGAAAGCTTCGATGTGATAGCAAAGATCTGTGGAACGAACTTATGAGACGGATCCTGATGAACAACTGGATTGATAATACGCGTCATCAGCGAAACTCCGGTGCGAATTAGGGTTTTAGACGACATTTTTCCGGCCAAAAAGAACGCTTCTGTAGATTTTGGGATGTTCTCGACGGTGATGTTAACTTTTGTAGAAATTGCGAAGTTTCAGAATAGACCCTGAAGTATAAGATGATTCACTATTTAGTCCCCGGCCAACAAGGGTTTTCCGACCATTCTTATGTTAATCATGGATGTTCATGTCAGTTTGTAGTTTGTGTGCACCTCGACTAATTTTAAAGATCCTGAGAAACAACTAGAAAAATCTTCAATGGCACTACAGGTTTTGAACCAGTGATCTCTGAGGAGAGGATCCCTAAAAACCAAAATCTTATTGTTAGTTGAGCTAACCCCACATGGGTTTTTTCAAACTCGTTTGGTGCCTTGATTGACGGTCCAGTATTCTGCTCATCCCAAGTTAGGGGCTGTTTGACAGTTGTTGAATGATTTTGTGCAGAATGATTAAGAGGCTCTAAATGATATAGTGCAAAATAAAATATAATTATTTGGAAATTGTTTACAATGAAATTAGGGCGCTGAATGGTTAAGGGAGACTCATGATACAAAATCAAAATCCAGAGGGTTTTAGAACCATTAAGAGACAAATTTTTTTTTGCCAAACAAGTTTCATCTATTAACGATTCAGAGGCTGTCTCTTAATGAAACTACTAAGAAGTAAACAAACAACCCCTTTGGTAAGGGTTTATCAACTAAGCAGGAGTGGACCTGTGGGTCCCATATTTTTGCTTAACCGATTTTCACAAGTAGCTTTTTTTGGAGCATGAAAAGTGCAGACACTAAACTTTGAGAGATGCTTAAGGATATTAGAAAATACAAGTAACAATCAACCAAAAAACCAACCAACTCCATGGAAATCAACCAAAAAACAGTCCATCAAAATCAACTAAAAAACTTTAAAAAAAAACCTTGAAACATTGAACTCGGCTAAAAATACATTTGACAACTTTGTGGGTCTTGGACCCACCTTAAAAGTGTACCCACTTGACCAAAAAACAAGGGTCCACCATTGCATGTAAGAGCCACCTTTATCACTTACCTTACCAGCCTATTAGATAAGATCCATGGTTATTAAAATAACATAATATAAGCGTCTCTTACACGGTAAAGGCTAACCATTCACAATCATAAATTTTCTCTTACCAGATAAACTTCTTGGTTAACAAACTAACGCAGTATAATTGTTGGTAAATACCCTCATCTCTAATTGGATAGAACTATAGAAGTCTCATACACAATAAAAAAACAATAAATGTTTAGTAACCCGATAACAGCTAAGAATATTTAGGGGCCGTTTACCCAAATATTTACCCGATAAACGCTTACCGGTATGAGTCAATACCATAATCTATTTTACCATATAAGATTGTAGTATATTAAAAACAGTATCGTATGCAACAATATACTCGGTAAACGTTTACCTGGGTAAGAATCATCACCGTCATTTACAGGGTAAGACTCTTTATCCTTACAGTCCTTGTCATGTTCATCAGGTAAGGAAAGTTATCTAATTAACATTTCTTAGGTAAGTATTTAGTAAACAAACCCTAATTTCATTTATGTATTGGTTCAAATTTATTTGAATTAAAAAGGGTAATTAGTTAATTATTAAAGAGAGACACTTTATGAGTAGATAGTTTTCCTTTTCCATAACTTTGACCATTTGACTAAACATAAGCAATCATTTTGAATTCTTTTTCCACACTTGGCCAAAATCATTATAAAGTTGAACAATCATCAAAAGACAAAAATAACCCAACCACCTTAACAGAATATTTTGACTCCCATGAAGGGCAATTTTGTCCATAAAATGTCACATCCCTATGGATTTATGACACTTTCCCCTACAATTTATTTTATAGTCGTTTTTCTACTCAATTGATCAAAATAGTTAAGATTTCACAAGTAACAGTTTAATAACTTGCGAAATCCATTTTCGATGAATTTAATATTCATAAAGCAACACTTTAACAAGCTGTATAAGTAGTACGTCCACCATCACATTTTGTAAATAACATTTTAACAACTTGCAAAACTTCTATTTTATATTATATACTATATTATAAAGCATTTGAGAAAAATTCTTAAAAACCATTTTTTATGCATAAAGTAATGTTTATTGATGCATATTACTTAAAATTCAAGATTACAAGTAAATTATGCATAAATACAACTTATTAAAGCTTTATGTTTGAATTTTTGTAACTAACTGCAGATAAACATAATAAAATAGAGAATAAACATTTCATTTTAAATATAAAAAATCTAAAATATAGTTAAGATAATCATTGATCTCTAACAAAATACTTAATTATTATCTTTATAAAAAAATATATTGTTAAATAAAAAATAAAAAAAGTACATTAAAAAAATACACAAAAATGAGAAATTGTAAATAGTTAGTTTGGTACTAATATCAATATTCTTTTTTTTTTTCAATTTTATATGATATCTTCATATTTAAATTTTATTCAAAAATAAAAACATTATCGTTTTCTCAAAGCCACATAAAACCATATTATAACATCGATTAAGAAAAAAAAAAAAGTGAAACAATAACATCGATATGTATTTGGTTGTATTATACAAGTACTCTTCTAGTACCCAACATAAAGTGAATTTTGCAAGTTGTTAAACAAAACTATTCGGGTTTCGACTATAAAACGAATTGTCAAAGGTCAATAACGACTATTTTGAACAATTTTCCGAGAAACATGTAGGCATTAAATACACAAGAAAACAATTTCTAAAAAAAAAAGAATCAATAACCTTAAAATATAGCATTAAATACATGAATTTTTAAACAACAAACAAACTATTTAAAGTTACAATTCCAAATCAACATTACATTTAAATAAAAAATAAAAAAATAAAAACCAAATTGGTGACAAGTTTGCCATCAATAAATAATCAAAAGGCCAAAAAGGTCCTCTTTTACAACATGTCACACAATCTTTGTGGGGAAGCATTTTCTTGCCCAATATAAATAAAAATGAAGCTTGAAAATCTACCTCAACAACACAAACTCAACAATGATGTCAATTTCTTCAAATAATTACTAAAATCTGAAAATACCCGATTTCCGTCCTCAAATGTACATAGATCGATCGCCCTCGACTATTGCACTTCAGTTATCGGATTGAAGCGCATCAGAAATCCATTTGGATGCGGCTGTTTCAATATCGGGCTCAATCACCGAAGAAACTGAGATTGGAGTAACCGAGACCTGTTTTAAAACAAAAACAAAAAAAGCATGATCATTCTTTCGCACATACAAATGGTTTTAAGGGAATTTGAGTTCTTGATAGTTAACATCAAGATTGTATTTTCAATTTTCTAGCACAAACAAATAACATTATACTTCAGAATCAATGAATATTGAAAATAGTCAAAACCATATAGCTTGGTATATCCCACTCGGAGTAGGGGTCTGGGAGGGGTAAGATGTAGGCAGACCTAACCTCTAGTTCAAGAGTAGAGCGGTTGTTTCCGTGAGAATATAAGATGTATTTAGACCTAACCTCCTCAAGCTCAAGAGTAAAGCAGTTGTTTCAGTAAGAATATTAAAAATAGTCCCCCACAAAAATCTTTGGTAGGATCTTGGAGGGATAAGATGTATGCAGATCTGACCTCTAGCTCAAGAGCAGAGCAGTGGTTTTCGTGAGGATATTAAAAATAGTGCCCCACAAAAATTCTTGGTGAGGTATGAAAAGAGTAAGATGTATGCTCAATAGTAGAACGGTTGCTTCCATGAGAATATTGAAAATAGTCCCCCCACAAAAATCTTTGGTGGGATCAGAGAAGGTAAGATGTACGCAGATTTAACCTCTGGCTCAAAAGTAGAGCGACTGTTTCCGTAAGAATATTGAAAATAGTCCCCCACAAAAATCTTCGGTGGATGTACTGTAACAGGGGTAAGATCTAAGCAGACATAACCTCTACCGCAAAATAGAGTTGTTTCAGTGAGGACATTAAAAAAATAACCCCCGAACAAATTTCTTTGGTTGGTTAAAGTAAATCATTAAAAAGCAATAGTATGCGAATATATTCGAACTCGAAGCATCCTCTTTGATTTCAATATCAAATCCATGTACTTTCCAACTTCAAGATAGCATGATAAATATATATATATATACAACAATGTTTTCAATTTTTAGCACTTCTTAACATTTCTCAAAAGCTTAACGTAGTCATATCAATTTTCAAAAGCTCAACGAGGGTATTTAAACATATTCGAGATAATATACTTACGAATCCGTTCTGTAGGGCTCTGAAATCAAGATTCTCATCTGTGTCTTCTTGGTTGGTATCTTGCAACTGCATCGCCAATTATAGATGTTTTTTAATTAAGCCAAACGACCAATTATCAAATATATAAAGACTAAATAGCTCAAAATAACCTACCTCTAGCCTGAAATACTTCACTATCCTATTAAGGTCGGCTTTCCCCGCTACCCCAACTGATTCAACAACCTCCAAACTCTTCTTCTGTGAGTTTAACCGTCGTGCTGCACCCTTATACATATAACACAACAAAGCAATTAAACAAAAGTCGCAAAAACAACCAAATCAAATGAATCTAGTATATCATAGAGGTCAGATTTGGCGGTAAGATGTACACAACCCTTGCCTCTACCCCCAACCCCAAGGGTAGAATAGCTGCTTTNGGGGGGGGGGGGGGGTTAGGAAAGCGGGCTTGGCTTACCATTCTTTAAGAAATGGGCGGACCCAGACTGACTTGTTAGAATTAATGGGCAGTCATGGGCGAGGGAAAAAAATTTGGGCAGGCCCGCCCGGCCCATTAATATTTTATATAAAATAAAATTGAAAATTCTTGATACTTATCAATTCCCACTTAATTATGACTTATGATAATACCACTCTTTAAAAAACTAAAAAGTAAAAACATAATTACCTCAGTTGATCAATTCCTTATTATCTCATTTGGTCATTTCCTTGCGAAACAATTTTTTCTAAATTATGTACATTGTTAATGTATTTGCGTCTAATTTTAAGTAGGAAAAATTGTTATGTATTTCAAATTACTTTACATAACTTGTGATTTTATATAATTTTTGTGTTCTTAAAAATATAAAAAGGTTTTTAGGCCTGTTAGCCATTGGGCAAGCTAGGCCCGTTTATAGAGCGGGGATGGGCAAGTTTTCAAGCCCGTGAAAAAGGGCTTGTATTTTCCATATTAGGCTTGTTGGACATGAAAAATAGGTTAAGCTTGGCCCAAGCCCGCAAATGATTAGCTCTAGTAGAAATACAAGATGCAAAATGATCATAATATAGAAAATTTAACATCTAAGATTATTATGAGCTACTTACTGCTGCAGATGCATCTCGACCAAGCTGTGCAAGCTGCAAACCCATGCCTGGTTGATTGGCCATAAAACGTGAAGCCGCAGGATTCCTGTTGGCTGCAATAGCTTGCCAAATTGGTTTCGACCTCCATAAACTCTGCTTCGTTAACTTGAATCCCTACAAGCAATGAACGAACACAATTCTGTAAAGAAAATAGTTGGGGTTGTAATAGAATTCGAAAGCCACATCAAAAACCATTATATTGCAATTTTCAATTCCAGAAATTGGGCTGCAAAAAGCATGTAATGTTTTCATTGAACTCTGAAAACATAATAACAAAAGATATAGAAGATGACTTTACTACGAACTAGTTGCTAAGCAAGAATCCGTATTAAATATTGTTAAAGAGGAATTATCATACTGCTGCTAAGCAATGCATTTGGTATGCAGGTCAGGACTAGACTGGCGAAATCGAGGTAAGCGGGTGAAAGAATTGTGGATGTTTTAATTTGACAGAGGTAGTTTAGTAATTTAATTCTCATGTCCTATACTGTCCCTGGTACCAAATGCACCCTTAAAGAACAAACACAGACAGACAGAAGAGACTAGAGGGCTGTTTGGTTGTTTTTTTATCAAGTCTTGTATGGATAATGCTGTTTGTGTTGATTAATCAGTCTGTATAAATTGGGAAGGTTTTTGTTTGGAGGGTTTTTTCATAGATGGGATGAGCTTGTTTTTTAATTTGGAGAGGCATGCTTGGAAAAAACTTGGCTTTCTGCGTAAAGCTCCCTCTAAAAACTAACTGAATTAGCCACTTCCTATATCATGAAGCCACTATCAAGCAATCATGTATAGATGACTGAATAAGTTGCGAGTCCCACTAAGCTCATTAAGCTGCTAACAAACATGCCCTAGCATATGCATGTCTAAAGAAGCAGTATCGTGCATGTAAAACGCAAAGCAGAGTTACCAAGAGTCTATAAACATAAAATCGTGAAGTTAACAAAAACTTTGAGACGGACCTTGTTCTCTGAAGGGGATGTAGGAACGGTTATATGCAACGAAGAACTTTTGGGGAAGCTCCCTTTCTCTAAATCTCTTATGGCTGCCTTTATTACCGGCAAGCACACAGAAACAGCATCCTTGAAATGACTTTCTTGACTTTCACCCTTTTTCCTGGAACAGATTTAACAGTTGGTTCCATCTATTAAATGTGAATAGTGCATAAAAACGAGTGACGAAAAGTAGAGAAGGAAGAACAACAAAGCACAAAAAGAGCATTATTTAGTATTTACCAGCTAAGGGATAGCGATAAAGATGCAACCCCACTAAATAAGGCCTCTCTAGCTCCAGCTACGGCACTCGAGTAAAACCTGTTTGATTGCTAATTAATGATCTTGAAAATATTCTTGAAATGTTATATAATTACTGAAAAGAGAAATGCCATTAGAGACAGAACCATAGAAGAATTACTTACATATCATGCCCACAGCTTGGACCCTTGTTAACTCCAACAATCACCTGACCATAATGCCAAAATGCAAGCAATGAGAATTGAGTCAAATTTTACTAAAGGCACGTTTGGTTTGCGGGATTTGGAATTGAATTCAATTCTAAACATGAGATATAGAAATCCCATGGGGGTAGTTGGTATTTTGCCAGCTCTCATAGGATTTTTTTGTAATAATGTTTTACTAAAATCATATGATGACACCCTACGAAAACATACCAGAAGTGGCTTTGACCAAGCAAACAATGCCCCAGATAATGCTAAAGAAACACAATCCACAGGGGTACCTACATGAAAGATTCAAAACAAAACTTAGGTTTAGAATACAAAACGAACAAATCTTCACCATCATCAGATTGAAAGAAAACTTACTTTACTGGTTATTTTGCTATTAAGACATTGAATGGCTTATGTTAAACTTACATTCAAATTGAGGAGAACAACAATATGTGTGCATTAATCAAGGATGCAAAAAAGACAAACATACCAGAAACCTCATACGCAGTGGCACCTTTGATTTCAGCTGTACTCACTGCAATAGATTCTTGGTATGAAAACGAGTGGCCAGTCAATGATTTATCCCTGCAAAACCCATATCCAAATATCAACAATTTCCCACATAAATAATCATATCTATTAGAAATTGGGGTTTGGAGATGATTTGTGGACAGGGTAATCTAGTTGGATTGCAAAAGTTCACTTTCCAAATACAATAATTAGTCCCTTATTGCCTTGGGTATCACGAATATCGTATTGGGATAATCCAAGAGAAAACTCTATTCCCGAAGGATGTGAGATCGAGTCCTTAACTCCTTATATATATAAGATTCTTGATTACATATTTATATGAGAAATTGACAGTTACAGACAAGATTCAGGAGCAGTTACATCTGTATCAGAATCAGAAGCAACGTCCAGAGTTCTGGTTCCACGGTCCAGAGCTCTGATAGTCAAATTTCTACCAATTTCAGGAACAATTTCTATCTTGGACCCCACAAGGGGTACTGCCCCTAGAACCAAAGGGGGCTTTATGGCGATCTAAGGTGATGAAGACAACATTTGTGATTGTGCACTCCGCTCCTCCTAATTCATTTATGTTTGCCAATCTCACGTAATTCACAATCACACTAAAATGATTAATGAGACTAAAATCAACAACAATATTTGTTGGAATGATGGTAGAAATCCAATAAGCCACAAACAAATGAAACAGCTTGAAAATATGCGAAGCAAACATACAGAGAAATGGAATCAAAATTACAAAACCAATAAGAAACAAAACAACAATTGAGAACACATACAATCTATCACAAATCAAATAAAATATAAAAGAGGGTAAAGAAGATTACACTTGAGGAGCGCAGACACTGACATTATAGAGACCTTGAGCAACAAGAGCTTCAACGAGACACGTAAGACCAGGCGAATCGATCCCATCGGTATTGGTAACAAAAATCACAGGCTTAGAAGGATCATAATCATCAGGAGAAGAAGAAGAAGATTGTACGGTAGCAGCAGATTCATCATCCTTTTTATCATTCGATTTATCATCATCATCTTCATTATTCCCTTTCTTCTTAAGAACATCCTGTAGATTCGAAACAAAACCCGGAGGCAAGAAGTTGTTCCTCACGCCAGGAGTCGTCATCTCTTTTGCAGAAACAAAAAGGGGAAATGGAACCCTAGAGAGAGAGAGAGAAGGGAGGGGGGAAAAGGGGGATTTGATGATGGATGGAATTGGAAGAAAGGAATGGATAGAGCGATTCAAACGGCGAGTGTATATAAAAATGGCGATGGAGAGGAGTGTTTCTTGAATGGGGTACCACTAAAAATAATGAAGGAGAGTGAGTAGGAAATAATAATGACACATTTCCCCTTCCCTTTTGGGGACTTATTTATAGTTTATTTAATGCTACCACCACTCGCGCTACCAATCGCGTACCTATCACTTCAACCACCATATTTTTCCTCAAAAATACCAAAAAGTCTCAGGTTCAAATCTAGAAATGAATAAAAATTCTCTTGTGGTCATGGATATTCAAATACGATGATTCCGGGTTATCTGCAAAGCAAGGTGGTCGTTCTAAAATTAGTCGGCTTACATAGCAGGTTAGATATCCAGGTTAATAAAAAAAAGGGATCATGCGAAGCTGGACATTTTCTTTTTTAACCTCGATATCCAACTCGTTATGTGAACCGACTAATCTCAGACGACCACCTACTTTGTAGATAGTCCGGAGTCACCGTATTTGAACTTTCCTGATCACAAGGAGGTTTTTATTTCTCCTTAGATTTTAATCTGAGACCTCCTGATACTTTTGACCTGGAACCAAGCTCATTAAAATTGGATTTGGACATTTTTTCCATTGCAGTAAGATCATGTGAGAAGCCGGTTAATCAGTAAGAAACGAAAAGTTTCAATATCATATGTGATTATAAATTAAGTGGTGAGAACTCATTATATTGTGATAACCTGAAAACTAGTTATTATATGTTATTTTATATGATTTTTTCCATTTATAGTTATAATTTGTTAGCTCTCATTTCTTTAAATGTAAAAATATGGAAAAAGTAATACTGCAAGTGTTGACAGAAGATGATCTGTCACATAAGACCACAGAGGACCAACAGCAGAAGATGCTCAAGCGTACAAGTCTCAAGTGACAAAACCTCTGTCGTGTCTCACAGAGGTTCTGGAAACTGGTCCTCTGCAAAAACAATGCTACAAGACAAAGACGACAGAACCTCTGTCGTGTCTCACAGAGGTTCTGGAAGATTTCCTCTACGTCAATGTGCTTTCAAGTTATATCCAGCAGAGCCTATGTGATGTCTCACAGAGGGTCTGCAGCTTGTCTTCTGTGTAGATCTTCTTTAGTTGTTTTACTTAGGTTTATTAGTTGYTCGTGCTTATCACGTGTTCTTGTCTGTAATCTGTTTTGATCAAACGGCTTAGATTAATTTACTTTAGGTCGTGTCAGAAAATGGTTACTTGCTTGTATAAATAGCAGCGTAGACCCTTGTATTTCAGTGTGCTTCAGTATTGTAATTGTCAATTTTCATTCTATTGAAAATCATTTGAAGCTCCCTCTTGTGTTCATCAATCTTCTTCACTGTGTTCTTATTGATTTCTACTGTGGTTGATTTTTATCATTTCCGCTGCATTAACACTGTCAAACAGATCATCCAAGTAAGTAATTTACACCAAGAAACCGAGTTAATCGATCCTACATAATTTAATGTAGTGATTAACATATATTTATTTCACAAAGTGATTGTTTCATATGTAAACCTTTTTGGCATGTTTATGAAAGAAAAAAAAAAGATACACGTAAATAGGTTTTACATTATGCATTGAATACATGTGAAACAAATACATTGTAAAACAAATATATGTTAATCAATACATTAAATATTATACTTTGATCGAATTGAAAAAAATCATGTGAAACATACTCTTAAAGTAGAAGTTCTCATAAATCTTACAAGTTTTTAAGTTCTCAAATGATTAAGCTCCTACAAAGTAAAATCTCATGTAATACAATAATGACTTGATGGAAAAGTCGTTTGCTAAAATGTTTGTATCACATGTGATTATGTATTCATATCACATGTGATTATATGGGAGGAAATAGAAGGAAAGAAATTAAAACATTTAATATAATTAATAAAATGGTAAATTGTATGAAAAAAATAATGTACTTTAACTTGATTCATATTTTGGGTAACGTACTTTCAGAACTTTTATTTTGGTACATAAGATGTAAAGTCTTAAATATCCAAGTACTCAATTGAAAACTAATTTTAGATTGAAAAAAATACTAATTTTAGATTAAAAAAAAATCATGTCACTAACCACGTCAACAAATAATATTGAGTTTGATACCATATCACTTGTCACATCAGAATGATAACTGGTTAATGCTTCAACCGGTTATCCGAATACTTAAATGTTTAAAACTTTACATCCTATGTACCAAAATAGAACTTTTGAAAGTACGTTACTCAGAATAAGTATCAAGTTGAAGTACGTTACTTTTTCATGCAATTTGTCCTTAATAAAATTACAAGATCATCCAACCTTTATTTTTAAAAGGTATATTTGTAAAGGGTATTATTGTAAAAATACTTTTTTCTTCTCTTTGAATAATAAAACTCGAAGCAATGATTACTGGAAAACAAATCCAAGATTATCAGTTGAGCTAACACAACAAGCCTTTTAAAAGGGTCGTGTACATATAAATCTCACTAGGGTCCAGAGGGAACACTTGCAACATTACCGTGGGGCTGTAGGGGGACAGATGACACCTATATTGCAAAAGGATAGAAACAGTATTAATTATTTCTTTTATAAACCAGTAGATATTTCACTCATCATTTAAATAATAGTGACAAGTCGTGAGACATCGTCCTTTTTCCCTTATAATTTCAAAATTAAAATATACCTGTATATAATTTTTCAATCTCAAAAAATATGATTATATATTCTTGTTATATATTCAAAATCTATACTGTATTATAAAATATTTGACAAAAACTTTTAAAAATCATTTTTATGTATGAAACATTGTTTATTGATGCATGTTACTTAAAATTCAATATTACAAGTAATTTTGTGTAAATATAACTTATTAAAGCTCAATTTTTAAATTCGTGTAATTAACTGCAAATAAATATAATCAAATACATGATAAATGTTTATTTTAAATATAGAAAATCAAAAATATAAATAAGATAATCATTAAGTTATAACATAATATTTAAAAAATATATTATTAAACATAAATTAAATTATAAATAAAAGTTTTGAATTAAATAAATTACACAAAACAAAAACTTTTAAATAGTTAATTTGATAGTAATATCAATATAGTTTTTTCAATTTTTATGATATTTTATTCAAAAATAAAAACATTATCACTTTATCAAAACCACATAAAATCATATTATATTGACATAGATAAAGAATAAAATGAGACATTGAAATCGAGACGTGTCTCGATGCATTGCACGAATACCCTTCTAGTTATTATAAAAACATGATTTTTTTTTATTAACCTGGATATACAACCCACTATGCGAGCCGACTAATCCCAGAGCAACCACTTGTTTTGCAGGTAATCCGGAGTCACCACATTCGAACCTCCATGACCACAAAAAGTTTTTTATTTCTTATTAAATTTGAACCTAAGATCTCCAAACACTTTTAGTCTTTGAAGTTCAAATCCAAACAGATTTAAAACCATAATTTTTCAAATGTCATGATATTGCTTTTTAGTTACAAAAGCATAAAGCGACAATAATTGAAGACAAATTTGAATGTTTTTCAAAAAGAAATTAAATATACCTCACCAACCATATTTAATTAGGTTAGGCCTCCCATACCCATGGCCCATGGCCATGTAGAAGAGGGTAACATTGTAATTTAAACCTAACAAATGCATCTTCTTCAAATATATATATATATATATATATATATATATGGTTGCGTTCACGTGAGACTAAAGGTTTTTTGTGACACCCGTAAAACCAATTTATGTTTATTGATCAACTTTATAAGCTAATGATCTAACGGTCTAAAGTTGCACGGTGGCAATTTTGTGATTATTGAAAAGTCTCGTGGCAATTTTGTGATTATGAATATTCAGATTGTAGATCTAATCCAAGGGTTGATAATTGATCTCACGAAAAACTCTTGATCTCATATGATCCCAATTATATATATATATATATATATATATATATATATACATACATATATACACACACACACACACACTCTTATACAAATCAGATAAATCATAGAAACTTATAAATTATTTTTCATGTGTTGTTTCACATGTAAAATAACATATGTAAGAATGTAGTGTTTATACGATGTTTCAAATTTGAATAAACCTCATAAATCATAGAATTTTAAAAAGCAATTTTCATATATTGTTTCACAAATAAAACAAATGCGTGAAAATGTAGTGTTTATACAATATCGTTTCATACTCCATCCGTTCCAAATTAAGTGTCCACATTTCTATTTTAGTTTGTCTCAAAATAAGTGTACACTTTCAAAAGTAAGCTTTTGTTTTTCCATTTTACTCTTAATTATGAGACTGCGAACGTTTCTCTCACTATTATCAACAGTGAAAGTGTCATTTAGTTATTAAAAAAGTGTAATAATTATATATTCCTAAGACCGTGTGAACATTTATTTTGGGATGAAAGAAGTATATGAAATGTTCAAACACTTTTTTCTTAGTGGGAAGAAATAATTTTGAACTACTGAAGCAACATTGTATAAACATTGCACTTTTCACACATCTTAACACATGAAAACTAGTTTGCATGAAATATGAATTATTGGGTTCGTAAAAGAACGAGATTCTAATCAAGTATAATACTATAAAAGTTCTTTTTTGGGTAACACATGGGTATTCGAGCCAATTTGTATACACCGCAACTAATCCCATGAGATACTGAAGATAACATTATAATAGAGGTGATCATTTGCGGGCCTAGGCCCGGGCCTAACTTGTTTTTTTGTCCAACGGGCCTAATATTGTAAACTCAAACCTTTTTTTCGGGCTTGACAACTTGTCATTGCCCGCCCTATAAACGAGTCAGGCTTGTCCACGAGCTAACGAGCCTAAAAGTGTAACTCTTATAATCTAGAAACTTGATCACTAACAATTAATTAACAAATGTGAAATCAAAAAGTAAAGGAAAAACACTGTTATAATTAAATTTTCAAGCAACTAAAGTGATCATGGATCTCAACAAGTGGAGAAAGAAACGAAAATAAAATCCAGAGTTGAACATCTTAATGAGATCATTAAGAGATGAACAAACAACCCCTTAGCCTTTTGGGTTCTCAAAAATAACCAAAGAATTTCATTCTTTAACTTTAATAATTTAATTTTTAAATATACAAGTATAATTTTAACTAATGGTAAAAAAATATTAATTATAAAATATAAACAGGCTGAACGGGTCTGTCCATATTTATTTTACATTTCCCATGAACAAACTCAGACCCGTCCATTTTCTCGATAATGGTTGTTTAATCCCGTATTTCTAACGGGCCAGATGGGCCGGGTCTAATGGGTAGTTCCGTCCATAATCATCTCTACATTATAATACCATAAAAGTTGATAATGCCACAAATTTGAATTCAATGAGGCACAATACATCTCAGGACCTTATGGGTTCAACCAAAATCAACACATAAAACACTAAGAACCTGAGGGGCGAGGGGGGAGGGGCAATTGCCACATAAAAGAAAGTAAATGTTTTCGTTGTTAGTTTTTTCTTAATCTTTTAGTTTCACTTTAAGTGCTTCGATAACTGCGGAAAAGTCGTGATCGCTTAAGCCATGAGACTTGGCCACCTTGTATAGCTCATTTGCAGCAGCTGCAATCGGTGTTGATTGAGAAACGGATTCGGCTAAACCCAAAGCAAGTCTCATATCCTACAACAGAAAACCCGCATCGTATAAGCCAACAATTATATCAAGGGTGCAATTGGTATTGCCGACGGGACTGGACGGGTGAGTGAGGTAGGTGGGTGAAAGAATTGTACAACGTTTTAGGGTTTTAATTTGAGATGGGTAATTTAGTAATTTACCAATCTTGTCTCATTTCTCTAATTTTTGTCCCAACTACTTCAAGGGGACAAACAAATGCATCTTTATCCCAACTTCGGGGAGCAGAGCAGACATCAATTTAAAGCGGGTGCAACCTTTAAGACCCCTAAAAAAATTCCATTACGTCAAGATGGTAGAGGGGGTGCATGGGGGCAACTTAGTAGGTTCACTCCTGCAACTAGTTTTTGTTTTGTCTTGTCTTGTCTTGTCTTTTTCAGTATCATGTCTTGTCGTTTACTCATTTTTGTATTTCTAATAATATCACACACATTCGATCGCATTGAATTTGTAACTCGTGGGAAGCCATACCTTCTGCTGATGCTTCAAAGGAAAAGCAGTAGGGTATCTGGATTGCACCATTGAAGGACCTTTCATTGAGAACATTGGTGCACTAATGGCACCCTGTGAGATTACCTGCAAAAAGACCACAAATCCACTTCAAATTTAAAGATGCTTGTTTAGACTTGGTCAAAAGATTGTTTATTGTAACAACTCGTTCCACATGGATAGAAAATGGGATTTGTGAGCTCCTTGTAAGTCTTAAATTGTGGGCTACCAATAACTTTCACCATGGTTTTAAGTTGGATTTGAAGTTATTAGGTCAGTCTGTGGCTTTTGGCTTTGGTCTGTTACTTAAAAAATAACATGAAAACTTGAATCTTTTTGGCATTTCAGATTATGCAGAAGCCAAAAACCAGACGAACCCAATATATCCTACATAGGGGGTAGGGTCGGATGAGACGTGAGAAAAGTGAGAGTAACATAAGGGCGTCTTCATTCTCTATAATTTCTCTAAAGTAAAGAACTGAAAGTTAAAATCTCTAAGAAGAACTACATTCAACTCCAACATATTCTCTATTTTAGAGATTTCAGCATTAATTATATTATTAAAACATTCTATAATTTTATAGTCCCAATACACTTTTTAGAAAAAACTTTATATAAAATAAGAATTTAATCTCATTGGTGGCAGAGGTGGACAAGTAATTTTTTCAATTGGTGGCAAATTTGACTATGAAAAATATCTTTTTTTCCCCACAACATCAGTATTGATACGATGGTTGGTTCCTTGTCCATATATAGAGACTCATGTTCCAGTCTGATCTACACATATTTTTAAAAACATGGGAGGTATATTAAAAAAACACCAAAATTTAAGAACAACAAATTTGTCAACGGGACTCAAACCTGGGCCTTTTGTACATAGGTGGGAGCATTTACCATCTTCGCCATTAAAGTCTTATGCTAATATTTCGGTTTCAATAACTATAAAGTGGCACCCAACAAAACAATGCGGTGGCACCCTCCAAAAACAAATTTTTTCCCCTTGCGACGGAACCATGAAGCGTGGCCCGTGCCACCGCATCATTCCATGTGGGTCCCTCCCTGATTGGTGGGAATGAACAAATGAAATCATTTCTCTCTTCTCACATCAAGTTTTGGAGAATTCTCTAAACTTGGAGTTTTCTCTCTTGTTTTCTCTATTTTAGACAACAATATAGAAAATCTGTTGAAACAAAATAGAGAACAAAATCTACATTTTCTCTATTTTAGAGAATCTGTTGGAGACGCTCTAACACGCAATAGGAACGAGGAACGTAAGATAACAGAATATGCATAAGCCAGTTTGATAAAAAAGGGCATTCCTATCCGAGCTCTCTTATTATATTGCTAATCAAAATGAGTTAATTTCGGAGTACCTCCACAACCACATTTGGATCAAGTCCAACTTTCTCACCAAGAAGCAATCCTTCAGCAAATGAAGTCATCATACTACAAATGGCATTAAATGGAAAGTTAATTAAGCATAATACACAATGAAAGAAATTACTGAGCAAGAAAAAAAATTGCACAACCTTCCCATGATCATGTTCACAACAAGTTTCATCGCGGCTCCATTTCCAACGTCTCCTAGATAAAATCTTGACTGGAGAGATAGCATAAACAGCAGTTGGTGTGGAGAGAAAAACCAGCTCAAGCTTGATGGGGGGAGGGATGGGGTTCAAATTAAGCTAAAATAAACCAAAGGGTCATTGGTCAATGGTCCAGTAGTACCCAGTAAATCCCAAACTCCCACCAAGGGGCCTTTGGCCTAGCGGTATGTGAGTCCTTGGCCTCCTAGGAGGTCAAGGGTTCAAACCTCACCAAAGGTGACGAGGATGTGTGAGTTTATTTGTTCTATTTGCCGTATATAAATATTATATACTAAAAAAAATCCCAAACTCCCAGAGGTCAAGGGTTCAAGTCTTCCCCAAGGTTTTAAAGAACGCGTTATGGTGCCATAACGTCGAGGCGTGGCCTTGCCACCACGTTAAAGCCCGTGGCGCGACTCTGAGGCGTGGCTTGCAATGGTGGGTTACAGCGTGTTATGGCAGGTTATACTCAAGGCGTGAATGGGTTTTTTTTTACTTTATTTTATATATAAATTATGGCTTATTAAATTAAATATTGATGATTCTAATTATTCACTGAGAGCGAGAATTATTAACCACAAGTTGAAGTCGAGGAAGATTTTGAATTCAATTCCGATGACAAAAGTAATCGATTTACATTGAAGGATAGTTTCTTTATAAGATACATCTAATTTAATCCAATCTAAGATGCTTTTGCAATATGATATTAGAATTTTAGATTAGAGATGTATGGATCAATTTGTTTATAGTTTTCTGAATTTAATTTGTTTATAGTTTTATATGAATTTAATTTGTTTAATCATTATTGTTCAATACACTGACACACACATACATCTGTATATATACTATATATACAGATTTTTCACCTTAAGTCATGGCTTGAAAAACGTCATGACCTCGCCGCCAGGGGCGGAACATGGTCGTTGTAGTCTACAGGGACGAAATATAATAATACAAAAATTTAGAGTCCAAATGATACGTATGTAACTTTTTTTTTCTATGATCTAATATTAAATTTTAGAGAAAATTTGTTAATGGAAGACTAAGGGTTCGTTTACCAAATGCTTATCCGATAAGTTTTTACCAAGTCATATTATCTTACCGGATGGACATGGCAAGGACCGAGAATCTTACTCGGTAAGAGCGATGGTAAGATCAAGAATCTTACCTTGTAAGTAAAGATGACGACTCCCTGTTAGCATTTACAGGGTAAATCACTGCATATGATGTCATTCGAATGGAGTACAAATCTTACCCAACAAGGTAAGTGATAGTGTTAAATTTTATTGGTAAGCGCTTTGAGCATCCGCAATGGTTAAGTCTTTAAAAGACTTGATCTATTTTCCACATCAGATTTCCAGTAAACAAGAACCATCTTCAAATACTTACTCCAATGGTCAAGTCTTTCAAAAGCTTCTTTTTGTATTTTTAATTCATTTTTAATGCACGTACATGAATCTTCAAACACTTGACATCCCCCAAGCTTTTGGATGTCAAGCCATTCTTCAAGTTATTACTCCAATGGGTAGCCTTTTCATCAAGTAGTTCTCAACCTTTTCATCAAGCCTTTATTTTTACCATTGGAGATGCTCTTACCGGGTAAGTGTTTGGGTAAACGGCCTCTAAAACTCAAAACCTTTAAACAATTAACCGGAAAATAGTAATACAAATTTATTATGTTTTTGTACTATTATGAATTAATAAAAACAAAACCTTCAGATTAGTAATATAACACTATATACCAACTTAATCATTATTTCTTTTTATATTATTTAAAAACTAATTTTTATATATAATTGATATTAATAACTTAATGTGTAATGCATGGAAGAAAAAATGATAAATTGAAAACTGCAACGTTCGGGATTTGATATTGTGACCTCAAAGATATGATAACCAAGTGAACCAATTGAGCTGCCAACTCTATGTGTCCTTCATAGTTCATGTATAGTATTTGAGTCAAAAAGCGGGGTGGCCATGGCCCCCAAAGGCCCCTATGGGGTGCCGCCATTGCTCGCCGCCTCACCATGCCTCACGCCATTTAGAACCTTGGTCTTACCAAAGGTGAGTAGTGTGTATGAATTTTGCAGTATATAAATATTATATACTTAAAAAAGCTAAAATAAGGAAATGGAGCACCTTCCCCATTATGTCCAAGTATAGAGCAACTTTGTCATATAAAGATTTGTCACCTGAAAAAAGGGATCTTTTAGATGCTTCAAATGTCGAAACTGAGGCTAAAGGGATGATTTAGGTCATCATTTTCTACCTGCTGTGAGGAATATTAGCTGTCCATCCTCTGCAGGCTTTTTAGACCCTGAAACCGGAGCCTAAAGCAATCGAACAAAACCCTTTAATATTGACCATAAATAACGAAAGGAGAAACATAATATTTACAATTTTGCTTTAAAATAAATGAAATAGAACAACACTGCCTTCTATTTTCTTTTTGTGTTGTTTTTTAATTTGCTAAACTGAAAGATAACTAGTTACCTCCAAAAACAGTGCTCCGGTTTCTTTTATTTGTTCATTTATCAACTTGGATGTGGCTCCATCGACCGTTGAGATATCGACATACCTACAAGTACCCATCCAGAGAACAAATATTGAATAAACAATCTTCAAAAAGAACTATTCCTTCGGTCATAAAACAGATGCAACAATTTCCATTTTGGTTGTCTCGAAAGAAATGCAACATTTCACTGTTGGCAAGGTTACATTCTACTATTTGTTTTTTTGCCCTTAAGTAATCATTAGCAGATATTAATGGCATTGACTTTGGTCCACAAGATATTTGACAAATAGTCAAACAATTTTTAAAACTAAGTGGTTCAAATTATATGTCTCAATTTAAATAGGGCATAAACAATATAAGTTTATGATGCTTGGTTTGCTAAACCAAACCAAATGGACCTAGTGTATCCCACCTGATGAGGTGGATCGAGGGAAGGTAAGAGGCTGTTTGGTTGGTTTTCCATTAAGTCCTGTATGAATAAAGCTGTCTATGTGGATAAATCTGTTTGTATGGATTGGAAAGGTTTTTGTTTGGAAGGATTTTTTCATAGATGGAAGGAGCGTGTTTTTAATTGAGAGGGACAGGTTTTAAAAAAACTTGGTCATCTGCATAAAGCTCCCCCCCCCCCCCCCAAACACAAGCTTACTGAATAACCCACATTCTATATCATTAAGCCACTACCAAATAGCCATGTATAGCTGACTGAATAAGTTGTGAGGACCATTACGCTCATTAAGTTGCTAACAAACAAGCCCTAAGATATACATAGATCTGACCTCTACCCCAAAGAGTAAAGTGGTTGTTTATGCTCGGCCTATGAAAAGTGTGACAGAGATAATGCACACTTCTTGAAGGCAAGCCGCTCCATCGATAAAGAAACTTTATATTTTAAGAAGAAACAACTTTTGTTATAATCAAAATTTAATTCCTGCAATTTGTAGGATACTCCATATTCACCTAAAGAACGAATTATTATATGCTTTTACTGCGAAACCATAGGAATATATACCCTTTTCCTGTACCCATCCCACTTGCAGCACCATCTTCTCCACAAGCAACAACCATCTGATTGTAAAAGCTATCACAATCAGCCACCATCCTTGAAGCATTAAAAAAGAAGAACACTGTAATGACATACTCACTGCACTTTCAGGATCAGCAAGCATGGCAAATGTGATATCACAAGATGCTGCAACTTCTGCCGGAGATGGCTTATATCTGCACATACAGAGCAGAAATTTATATAATTGATAAGAAAATTATTAGGGGAGAGGGAACTATTGGATTTCGAGCTGGATTTACTCAGTTATATATGTTTTAACTTTTAGCCCAACTATACATGTTTTAGCCCAATTATAATGTTTTATGCTGTTACTCTTTAAGCTGATTTGGCAATCTTTGATTCCGGCTTTCAAAGAATGTTAGAAGAATGATTATGTTTTAACTAAGCCAAACCAAACGATCCCAGTATATCCCGCTCAAGAGCAGGGTCTTGGGGTGGGGATGTAAGGAGACTTGACCTCTACGCGAAAGGATAGAGTTGTTGTTTATGTGAAGACCCCTGATTTGTGTAAAAGTGTGAACAAAATGGAAGAGATAGAAGTAAGGAAGAAAGAAAGGAAAAAGGAAAAACACATATTCATCTAGTAATCAACTCTGGATACACATTCATTGCATGAAGGCATGCTTGACATATTACCATGACCTGTTAATGTAACATTTTATAAAGGATGCAAATAATTAAAGCTAAATTATGTAGAGCATGATCATATATGAAACCAAATAATATTTCCATAGAGACTAGAAAACTGTGGTTATAAGTTGTGCTACAAAGCTTTTACAAGTCACTCATGAATACTTACTTCGCACCCAGATCAATGAGAGGATCACATTTGCTCTTTGTCCTATTCCAAACAGTCACATCGCATCTACAACAAACCAATCAAAATATCAGAAGATAATTATGTGATGTTGCTTTTTTGGGTCCAGAAAAATGATTAACACAATGAACATGAGAGTTAAATAGAATTGGCAAGCAAGTTTATGTAGAAAATTTGATTCCTACCCGGCTTTTAACAGATTGTGTGCCATTGGGGAACCCATAATTCCAAGACCAAGAAAGCCCAAGCGTGTGGGATTTTCATCTGCCAAACAAAATAAAACATGGGTGGAATATTCATGACATAATCCCACAAGAAAACACATCAAATCAGTTAAGCTAGTAATACCAAACGTGACTTGGGGGCTGTTTGATTGGTTTTCCATTTTATCCTGCATGGATAAGGTTGTCTAGTGGATTAATTTATCTGTATGGATTATGAAGGTTTTTGTTCGGGAGGGCTTTTCCATAGATGGAAGGAACATGTTTTTTAAAAGGAGTGACAGGTTATAAAGCTCCCCCTTAGGAGCCTTTTGGTTAGTTTTCCATACAGTATGGACAAAGTTGTCTGTGTAGATTAATTTGTCTTCATAGATTGAGAAGGTTTTTGTTTTGGAGGGTTTTTCATTGATAGGAGCGTGTTTTTCAATTGGGAATGAGGTTTGAAAAAAACTTGGTTGCATAATGTTCTCTCCTAAAAGCTTACTAAATAAGCCACTTTCTATATCATTAAGCCACTACCAAACAGTCATGTATAGCTGACCGAATAAGTGGCGAGTCTCATGAAGCTTGTTAAGCTGCTAACAAATGGGCCCTTAGAAGCTTATAGAATAAGTCACCTTCTATATTATTAAGCCACTACCAAACAGTCATATATAGCTGACCAAATAAGTTGCGAGTCCCATTAAGTCCATTAAGCTGCTAACAAACAGACCCATAGTGTAGGTAATCCCTAAGTCTGTGCATTATAATTTTCAAGATAGGGCCGAATCTGACAGTCATGTAACGTTTTCATACCAAAACAGAGATGCTAAACACATTACACATTCCATATTTTACAACTGTAGTTGAACATTTCTATCAATTCTAAATTCGAGTTCAATTTGGCAGAAGCAAAACCAGAACTCAATCAATTCATTCGGAAAACGAGATATTAACTGAAATCTAATCCATCGATCATTCTATTAGTAACTTTGATGAAAATGGGACAAAAATGAACACAATGATATGATCATATACAACTGTAGTTGAACATTTCTATCAATTCAAAATTCGAGTTCAATTTGGCAGAAACAAAACAAGAATTCAACCAATCCATTCGGAATGAGATGTATTAACTGAAACCTAATCATATTAGTTCATTTGATTAGAATTGGACAAAATGAACACAATGGTGTGATCATATACAACTGTAGTTGAACAAATTCTAAATTCGAGTTCAATTTAGCAGAAGCAAAAGCAGAATACATTCGGAACGAAATGTATTATCTGAACTCTAATCCATCATCAAAACCCTACTAATAATCATAGCTAAAGCACACACGTCGATTAAGAAATCCAAATCTACAGCCAAACGTAAACCGAATTAAAAAATGAATACATAAAGAAGTACCTGGACCTTTGGGAGCGGAGGATTGAGAAGAAAATACTTTGAAAGAGAAAGAAGTTTGGGGGAATTTGGAAATGGATACTGGTTTAAAGTGTTGGGGAAGTGAAGGGCAAAAGCTTGCTGCTGCCATGGCGGTCCAATGGTGACTGTAATTGGCCCCTCTGGCCAAGCTCACCATAGCTATGTGTTGCGCCAATGTGCTCACACATTTCAATGCATTTTCTATCTACTTGCGGATAACATTTTTGGGTGGGGGGGTCAAAAGTTAGGGGCTAAAAACGCATGTTTTTGTTAGATGGAGGACGTTTAATGGTTCTTTCTCAAAGATGAAGGGAGGTTTTGTAAAACATGCTTTAAGTTAAAGGACGTTTTTGAAAATTGTGCTTTAATCCTTTTTTCCAAAATAAATAACAAAGTACTGTTTTGAGAAGTAAAAGAATAGTATATTTCTAATTTAATATGTAATAATAAAATATTTGATAAAAATTTAAAAAAAATATTTTTAATGTATGAAGTACTGTTTATTGATGCATATTACTTAAAATTCAATATTACAAATAAATTGTACGTAAATACAACTTATTAAAGCTTTATGTTTGAATTCGTGTAATTAACTACAAATAAACATAGTCAAATACAAGATAAACATTTCATTTTAAATATAAAAAATCTAAAATATAATTAAGATAATCATTAAGTTCTAACAAAATACTTAATTATTATTCTTATAAAAAATAGTATATAATTAAATCAAAAATAAAATTACTTCGTTACTAAATCTAAATTAAATAATATTAAAAAAATTGCATTAAAAAAATTACATAAAAAACTAGAACTTTTAAATAGTTAATTTGATACTAATATTGATATATTTGTTTTCGAAATTTTATGATATCTTCAAATTTATGTTTTATTCAAAAATAAAAACATTATTTTTTTCTCAAAACCACATAAAAACCGTATCAAAATATCTAGAGACTTGGAATAAAAAAAACATCAAGATATATCTCGTTACATTATATGAATCCAATATCTAAAACTTTCTTTTTATTTGTCTTTTATTGTTCTTCAAATCCTCAACAACAACGTTTCTCAATCCATTAACCTTAATTGATCATTTATCTCAATCGATTATTACCAAATCAATCCTCACATCTCTCAATTAATGTATTTTAATAGGATGTAAATGTGTTAAACACTATTAATGACATATAAATGAATGTTAATTACATAATTTAGATGTAAATTTCATAATGATGATGAAGAAATATGTGAAATTGTATAAATTAATCTATAAATTCAACGCTATAATTTTTAATGACTAAAATAGACAATTTAAACAAATTCAGACGTTTATCGTTTTACAAAAACAAACACTTTTATTTATTCAAATTTCAGACTTCAACACCACCTCTTATAAATCGGAAGTGAAATAAGACTTCGAACCTCTAAAAAAAACAAATGTCACCTTACTGGTAAGAGTCGAACAGTCTATTTACTTTATCCGATAAGACTATAATCATCAAAACAATATCATATGCAACAATTTACCTAGTAATCACTTACCAAATAACCACCAGATAAAACTATTCATCCTTATCAATGCTCTTATCAAATAAGTTTTTTGACATTTATCATCAACAATTAGATCATAAAAAAATTGTAATTTTTGATTAAAAAACCAATATAAAAAATAAAAATATCAACATTTAAAAAACAAATATGAAAATATGATCAAACAGCCCCCAAAAAACAGTTTTGCTTTTACAGTTTGTATATGATACAATTTAACCTCAGCTTCCAAGTTCCATAAATTCACCCAAAAAATAAGAACACATTGCAATGGAAAATCCAATCTAAACTTCAAAACAACAAATTCTACATTACCACCTAATAATTTGACCCCAAATCACTTCCTATAAGGATGGAACCTACCACTACCACCACCACCGCCGCCACCACTGGTACTACTACTGCCACCACCGCCCCCGTATCCTTTGCTACCATCAAATCCATACTCATCACCAGCTGGACCTCCACCTCCTCCCCTACCAAATCCTTTGCCACCAAAACCAGAACCACCACTTCCATAACCCCTACCACCACCATAACCAGCAGGACCACCATAACCACCGTACCCACCGCCTGGATATCCACCACCATACATGGGGCCACCAAAACCAAACGCATATCCATATCCACCATAACCACCGTAAAAACCTGCAGAGCCACCACCGTAGCCTCCCCCATAACTGTCATAGCCAGGATAACCGCCCCCATAGCTGTCATATCCTCTCCCTGCTTTTCCACCATACCCACCTCCATATCCACCTGAACTCCTGCCCATGCCACCACCACCACCACCACCACCACCATACCACTTTGAACCACCGTCACCATGCTGGGACCGGCTGTCATAAGAGTAATCACCGCCAGCCCTTTTTGGTTCCGCCCTCTTTATCTCCACCTAATACAAATTAGGTACGGTCAACTCATATACTTTTAAACACAACCAAACAAAACAAAGCGATCCCAATATGTCCCACCCTAAGGTGGGGCTGGGGTGGGAGGTACGCAGACCTAACCTCTACCTCAAAGAGTAGGGCGGCTCTTTCCATGAAGACCCCCATCTATTGAGAAGTGTGTGGAATAAAAGCAACGTTTCCCCTAAGAAATGTATACTAATAAAAACAACCGAATAACCTAAATTAGCTCAAAACCATATGGGTGCGTTTGGTACATTGGATTGGACAGATTAGACAAAACAATGATCATGTTCCACGTTCCACGTTCGGCAGGACTTTTATGTGGAATTGGGGTGGAACAGGTTTTGTTCTAAAAAAATATTTATTTTATTATAAATTACATAATTAATCAAAATATATAAACAACTCATTAGAGTTAAATTGGTCATTTAATCTGTTCCGTCCAGTTCCGTTTTACCAAACGCTGAACAATTGTTTTGTGTTGTCTTGTCTGGATACTAAACGCACCCTATACTAATTTCCCCCAAAGTGGGGTCGGGTGGGATGTGCACAGACTCAACCTCTACTATCAAAGAGTACGGCGGCAAGTAGGCCCGGCTGTTTCCGTGAAGACCCCTGTGATTTGTGAGTAGTGTGTGGATAAAAGAAGAGAGTTTCCTGAAAGAAAAATACACTTCTAAATGCAACCTATTAACCTAATTTAGTTCAAAAGCATATACTTACTTGCTTTCCCCCAAGTTCATGTAGTTGACCATCAGCAAATATCTTTTCTACAGCATCTTCGCTGTCAAATGTTACAAAACCGAATCCTCTTGATCTTCCGGTGGTGCGATCCAACATAATCTGATGCTCAATAATATCACCGTAAGAAGAGAAATACTCCCTCAACTCATCTGCACGTCAAATAATGTTATCGATCTTCACAATCTTGTCCAATAAGGGTGAGTTTGAGTTTGGTATGCGGACAGGACAGGACTAGACGGACGAGAGTGAGGTAGGTGGGTGAATGAATTCCAAAAGGTTTTAGAGTTTTAATTTGACATGGATAATTTAGTAATTTACCAATCTTGTCTCATCTCCCAGATTTTTTTTGTCCCGCCTGTTTTGGTGGGATAGAAAAAATGCATTTTTGTCCCACCCAGGTCATGTCAAGTCCCAATATGATGTCGCGCCAAACATGGGATAACAAGTTTTTGTATTGTTCTGTCCTGTCCTGTCCCACGTACCGAATGCAACAACCCGGACTATACTATCAAAAAAGCACCAGAATGTTACCTTCTGTTAAAGTTAACGGTATACCACCAACAAATATTTTCTTTGTTCTTGATATTCCTCTTACCTGCATATCCTCCCTAGGAACTGTCCTCTTAACTTCCACCTGAATCAAGAACACATTAAAATATTAAAGCCGTAGAGAAAAGTTCAAATAAATATTTTGAGAACCTAGGATCCAACTATTTCATCATGAAGAATAACCATAAATATCATGCATTTTTATCATGAATATGATGTATTTTCGTCAATGAATATCTATCACAGCATTCATTGTGAATAAAACATGAATTGTTGGTTTTTTGGGTTCTCAAAATATTTACAGTTCTCAATTGAATTTGCCCTGAAAGCCATATGCATGTCCTTACCGGTCTGCCATCTATGACATGATCTTGCTGCAGGACCTTATCAGCATCTGCTGGGTCAGCAAATGTTACAAACCCAAAACCCCGTGGTCGTCCAGTAATTTTATCCATCATTATCACAGAATCCGTTAATTCTCCATAGTTGCTGAAGTAATTGCCAAAGGACTCTAAGGAAAGGGGAAAAAACACAAATCACCAAGTTAGAAAGTTTTGAGACATGTAGAAACGCATAGACTTATGCTGGTCACATGCAAATTTGATATATAACGAAAATGTTTAAAAGATGCATTCCATGGTTTGCAAAGATACTTTGCACAATTAGCTCATACACCAAGACATGCAATACTTCTGCATTTATCACTGGGAAAGAAATTTGTAAAACAAACATTGTTACATAAATACAATTGTTAATCACAACAGGCACCAAAAGTTATGGTCTGACTTAGGATGAAATCATGAATACATGCTTATAGTTGTCAACATTATCCCCACCCTATCCCCCCGAAGATATAAGCACGCATTTAGTGTTCCTTTATGCTATCGGTATTATACAAAAGAAAGAGTATGAAATATATTCAGTTGACCATAGTTAATAAGGACAATTTACTGGCGTTTCAGGAATTATAATCTCCAATGGCATGCATTTTCCCTCCTCCCACGGACCCGCCCAAACAAAACCCAAAATATTTTAATGTTTTATTGGAAATCTTAAGTTTCTCATGAAAATATGATAGTTGATAGAGGATTATTGAAAAGAGATTTCCCAAGTACATTCTTGATTTTTTCATCAATCTTTCAAATACTCAAATATATGTGTTGGGTACACACAGAAAATGACCAAGATATATGGTTGGGAAAGATATGAATAACAGTGTGCTAGACAAGATAACACGAGTTCTGGTATATTTTTTTTTGCAAACAATGAGCAGAAAAACTCCTAAAATACTAAAGCAAAGATGAATGCAAGTAGCTATCTTCTTGTTATTCCTCTTACTTTGTGGGACCCTAGCATATAGTTTTCGTATTGCTACAAAAAGTTTTAGATGTCGTAAATTTAATAGTTCCATTTGTCAGACTTCGAGAAAATGTTATGATATCATAGAATACTGATGTGATCCTTCATGAAATAAAATAAAGTCATATACGGGTTGTTTTGCGATTGAACTTGCTATCATGGTTGATAGCTTGCAAAGGTAGGTGCTACCCTCTTTGTTAACCATTCTTTTTATTCTCATTCACGTCATCATACGTAGATTAAACTTGGAATAAAAATGAATTTCTCCAACTACAAAGTGTTCCGTAGATTCACTGCCATGTCAAGCTAAGATGCCAATCCATTAAGGTCATGTAACAAAATGCCACCTAGCTATTCTTCCTATTAATATGAAATTGCGAAGAATCATACTATGGGCTTATATTATCAGGTCAGCTCTACTGCCTGCTTAAATTGTCTTCTGGGGCACTCTGTGATAAAGACATCACCAGCTTTCTATACTGGAAGAATTCACAGCAAGATATCATAGCAAACAATAATCAACCATTGAAAACAATATTCACACATCTAATGAGAATGAATCAGCTAGAATCAAAAGATTGCTGACAATATATGGAACTGAACTAACATAATCCCTCCAGAATACCACTAAAATCATACAGGAACTTTTTGCGAACAACCCAAGTAACATTCTAAAAGTCTATCATTGATGAATGCATGCGTTTTCATGCATTCTAGGAATGCCTTTGGTACGTGAGACAACACAATACATAACAACAACTTGTTGTTTCACGTTTGGTGCAACATTTAGACCGGACAGGACTCAATGAGACAAAAAAGTATTTTTTTTTTTTCTCATGAGAGATACACAAACATTAGTAAATTACTAAACTACCCTTGTCAAGTTAAAACCGTAAAACTATGCACAATTCACATGGCTACCTCATTCTCACAGTCAAGCCCGGTCTATGTACCAAATGCACCCATGTACAGCCTTATTTTATGGCCCCTTTTCAAGATAAACAGCATGACAAATGGAGTGTCTTGAACGTACCTTCTGATGTCTCCCAAGCAATGCCTCCAACAAAGAGTTTGCTATCACACAAGAAAAACAACAGTTACTTTCAAGCTCGTTCCACAATGCCCAACTTTTTTTTTCTTTTTCTTTTTCTTATCCTGGATGAACACAGGAAGGATAGTGTAATTGAAACATACGACTACCTCTCTCCCCAACTTCACACATCAAATTAATTTCATGAATAACTACACACTGAAACTAGAAGACTAAAAAGTAACACAATTTTCTAAACCCTAAGGGACCCAAATGTACACAAGCTATACAACAAACTAACCCTGCTGAAGAATCACGATTACTGTCATTGATTGAATGCTTTATCTCATTGCCTCCACTATCATCTACGTTATCAACATCTTCGTGATTTCGATCGTTGTTGTCAAACTCTAGATGTTCATCACCTCCATTAACGAAAGGGATGACTCCAACATCATCACCATGATCCATTTCTCGCTAAAATTTGACACCCCCTCTTAATCTCTTTCTTATGTCCTACCTATCAAAAAAAATACCTGCAAACGATAAGTATTGTTTAATCTAAGCTCTAAACCTTATTCATTAGGCTGTCGAGACCTTGATTAACTCTAATAACAGAAGGAGATAGCACGAAGAACCCCTTAACAGAGGGAATCAAAGGCAACTTCGATAACAACCTGAATAAGAATCCGTATGATTGGAAAAAAGAGAAAATGGATAGAGAAATCGTTGATTTTGATTCGTAATTTTTTGGGTTTTGATAGTGAGGGTTGGATAGAGCTCTGAAAAAAAAACCCTAGCTCGTCGTGGTTGAGGAAGATAGACGCCGCCTTGTATGGTTTTTGTTCTTCCCGTTTATCTATATTTGCTTAAATTACATAAATGGACCCTCAAGTATTATAAAACTTACACTTTTAACCCAAAACTACTTTTTTCTTCATTTTTTATCCAAGTAACCGGATTTTATATCACTTTAGTCCAAACCCTACTGTAGTTACAAGATCGGGGGACCGTGGTCCATTGGTGTTGTTTATGCAATTAACCATAATATGTGTCATGAACGCAACAAGGATAATTCAACCATATATTTTGCCAAAAAAAATGTTAGCTTTACCGATGCACTACAAGACCTGGGTCCGGAATAGGGTGTTGGGAAAAGAGTGACTTGAAAGTACCTGACTTACATCCAAGGTCTTAAAGAACATGAGGCAAGACATTACATTATGGCAAGATCAGACCTAAAGCATTACGAGCTACGTTGAGGTCATTGGGTTTTTCAAGACGTGTCCTAGGGTGATATATGTATACATATATACATGTATGTATACATGAAGGATTGTGTGATAATAAGAGTTAAGTTGATAAACATAAAAGATGTTTGTGATTGCTTATTTAAAACAACTTATGTTTTTCTATAAAAACATTTATCAACTTATTATAAGTCATAAGAGTTTAAATTCTTCAAAAACTTCTTATTACCGATTTGGCATCAGTATAAGTTGTATATCCAAGCACTCGAAAGTGTTTATTACCGGTATTACACCGGAATAAGTCAGTAAGTTGTTTTTATAAACAATCTCATACACCCAAATAATAAGGGGTCTGGACCCTTTATCACTTTCAATCTCACTCTCATCTCATAAACTATGCTTCTTACAACAATTGATCTGGTCTCGTTAGGGTTGATCTCCAATTATGATTGATTTAAGAATGTAGATCTCTTCTTACTCTTTTCACATGACTTTTCATTCTCACTTGAACTCAACTAAACTCTCTCTCTCTCTTTATATATATATAGGGCCCGTAAGACTAATTTATGTTCGTTGATCAACTTTATAAGCTAATGATCTAATGGTCTAAAGTTGCACGGTGACAATTTTGGGATTATTGAGAAGTCTCGTGACAATTTTGTGATTATAAATGTTCAGATTGTAAATTTAATAAAATAGTTGAAAATTGGTCTTACGGGTCTCACATGATCCCAAGTCTCTCTCTCTCTCTATATATATATATATATAACATACATATACTTGTGTGTGTTAGCGTTCTAGATAATATCATGGAACAATTTTAATTCATATAAAGCAATAGAATTAAAAAGGAACAATAAACCACTTATATCGAACTTATACACAATTATATCAATAGTTAAAAAATGGGATTAAATCTCGAGTCTACTCACTGCTTTCTTCAATCTTCAAGTAATTACCGTTTAACTCTTCATGTGCGGGAATGAGAATAAAGATTTCCATACTAAGGGTTTTTAGCTTTTGTGTTTCAATTTAATGTTTATATAAGCATTATGTGTCATGCATAATTACCACTTACCCCCATGTTATATGTTAAAAAAAAGGTAAAAAAAAATGCCCTACAAAAATAATGTGTCATAACATGCAATAACACGCATTAACACGTTACAAACGGAAGCAGACTTTAGAGTGGATCCACAAGGATTGATTGACGCCATAACGAGTTATTTAAAACCATGCTTAAATCCTATCACTGAAATAAACTTTCTCATCCACTGTCCTCTGACTACAAGGTAATTTTTCAGTTGGAGTAGAAGTGGATCCTGATCAATGAATCATTCCGATTCATTTTCACGAAGGAATTGGAATGAAATAATATCGATTCGGACAGAAAAATAACCGACTTTCTTTGAATTTGAAGTAATAAGACTATCCCAAGTGTATGTTCATGACTCTATTAGGTGCACCATGTTGATAGGAAACAACATATACATTGTACACGTTCCAATCTAATAGATAAAACTACTGTTTTCAATTAAAATTTTATTTTATTTCAAAATGTGAAACTAAATTACAATTTACAATACATTTGATACAGTATCATAGGTCATAGAACTAACGAATATTACAATTGTTTTATGCATAATATAGATTTTTAACGTGTAGGTGGTTAAAAAAACACCCATTTTATAGTTTAGGGTTTATTTGTTTATCTCTCAATAGTTTCATTAAGAGACAACATCTGAATTGTTTAAAGGTAAATCTTGTTTGACAATTTTTTTAATCTACTAATGGTTATAAAACCATCAGAATGATTTTGTATCATGAGTCTCCCTTAACCATCAAACGCCCTAATTTCATTGTAAACAATTACCAAACAATTATATATCATAAGAGTTCCTTAATCATTGTGTACCAAACCATTTAATAACTACCAAACAACCCCTTAATATATATGACAAGTCTTTACTGCATTCTAGTTAAATATGTTGGTTTTCATATGATATCGTATGGTTTTATGTAATATGTCAAATTATATAATAAACAAAAAAGTACAATATTTAATTTCAATTCAAGGGTTTTTATGAACCTTTTAAATTAACAAAGCATAAATTTTAAAATTTATCAATAATAAAAAATAAAAAATAAAAAATAAAAAATAAAAAATAAAAAATAAAAATAAAAATTTTATTGCATGACCGAACAATTGAGTAAATTAACTTTTTAGTCCTTGTAGTTCGTTGAAATTCTTATTTTTGTTATTATAGTTTTCAAATTACAATTTTCATCCTTGTGGTTTGTAATTTACTGTATTTTCGTCTATGAGTATAACTCTTACTTTTAAAAATAAATTATCAAAACAGTAAAGAATTGTAAATCAATGAAATAAAAATAACAATAAATTATAAATCATAGACGAAAACAACAATAAATTGTAAACTATATAGATGAAAATCATAAATTTTAAAATAAAGGGACGAAAATGGCATTTTTAACAAACCACAGGGACTAACAACGTAATTCACTCAAAACAATTATATGTGTGTGTATATATGGTCACTTCACGTCACAAGGCTATAACCCCTTTCGCTTCCTCAACGAAGTTTACACTTCGCATCCCTCCCTTCAACTTCGCTTCTCTTTTCTAGGGTTTTCACTAGGGTTTCTGTCATACCATCTCACCTCATGGGCAACAACAAGAAAGAACAGCTAAATATGTCCGATCTCGGCGCCTCCCTACCGGCTGCCGCCGCCGGTATGTTCTCTTTTTGTCATAAAACCGTTTGCTCCATCTGTTGCTAACTTGTAAGGTTAACTAGGAATTCACTGATATGTTTGGCTAATCACGCAGCTCTTAGCGCGGAGGATCGTGCTGGGCTTGTGAACGCTCTGAAGGTTTGAAAAACTGATATTAGTTTTCATGTTTTATTCATCTGTCAGATACCGTTCTTCGTTATGATTAGATGGATCGGTGATAAATCGATTTATTGTGGATGTTTTTACAGAATAAGCTTCAAAATCTGGCGGGACAACACTCGGATATTCTCGAGAGTTTGACTCCACCAGTTCGAAAGAGAGTTGAAGTTTTGAGAGAGATCCAGGTAACGGAGATTAAGCAGATTGTTAATTGCAGCTGTTGATTATTGTTATTATCGCACAATGTGCTTAATTAAATGTGATTTATTGATCTATTAGTTCTCAGATTACTGTAATATTTCATTAGCTAGTTTTTTTTTGTTTCCAGTGGTTGTTAATGGAAGTAAATGCTATTTTAAACAACCTATTCTTATGATGCCGTAGTGTATTTTATGCCTACATCTTACATTGGGTATAGTATAATTAATAGTTCAGACTCCGAAATCCAGGGAGGGGAACTGTTGATTGGCAGTGCAAGATCGGTGGAAATTTGTTATGAAGTTTCTGGCTAGCAGGCCCTACGCAGAATACACTACGTTTATGAGATTTATCGACATGAAAGTAGGAAGATGCTGTAATTTAATGTTTGGTTTATAGGTGAACCGAGCAGGATGACTTACATATGGCAGTTTTTGCATCTCACTTTTTTGAAGTATATAGTATTTATATACTGCAAATTGAACTTACACACTCATTTTTGGTGAGGTTGGAACCCTTGGCCTCTAGGAAGGTCTGTTTACTGCCTACTGCTGGGCCAATGGGAACCGGATTGTTCTCTTGATTGATGAATCAACTTGCCCTTGAATGCTACTTCGTCTTGCATGCTATTCGGATGACCTCGACTAACGAATCACGTCTGTCAGTGCATGTAATAGGTCTCCTAGAAACAACAGTCATTTAATTCATAGACAATGTTCTCATTGACTGTTCCATTGTGGGAAACAGCACAGTTTTTTATCTATAATCTTATAATTGCTACAAATTTTTTCCATTTATTATAGTTTAAATTAGAGAATTTTTATTTTTGAAGTTTCTCATAATTAAAACACAATTATTTCTTAATTTATTTTATATCACTGTCAAAGCATATACCGAGGTAATATGAGTCAAGATTCAAGCTGACAAAGTTGATGAGTTTTCAGTTTTTTTTTGTTACAGGTTGCAATTCATTTGCACAAACATCTGACTGTTGTTACAAAGTGCTTATTTCTGTGCATATACATTTATCATAGTGGATACTTTTTAATTCTTTTGCTCAATGCTAACTGCTTCTGATGTTTTATTATTTGCAGAGCGAGCATGATGAACTGGAGGCGAAGTTTTTTGAAGAGAGAGCAGCATTGGAATTGAAATACCAGAAGCTGTACGAGCCACTGTATTCAAAGGTATACGAGTTTTCTCATGTCTGGTCATTGTCGGATTGACATATGGCCATTGTCGGATTGACATATGGCCATCGTCCTGTTACTGTGCTTACATTGCATGTTGCATTTATAGGCTGTTCTTTTTTAGAATTAATGGTATGGGGAGGGATATAGGTCAGCAAAATCATTTATTCGTGGGATCTTTAGTTTGTTTGACTATGCGGGCTACTTGCTTGCCTAATGAAATTTTCAGAAAATTTACCTTTCTAGCATCCCATTTCTCATGATGTCACTTCCAAGTGCCAGATCTTACAATAGGATGGGAAGAAGATTGGTGAACTGTGACAATGAATAAGAGAACCGAAGAAGTAATAGGCAGTTTTGAAAAGTAGAAACAGATCTAAGTTAATTGACACTTGAATAATATTGTCATAAAGAAAACAAACAGTTAGGAATAAATGCTTTTCAAACCTTAAATGTTTTGTCACAAAACACTTTTTCATTTTTAACCGGCTAAACAAGGCATAAAAAACTAAGTTTGTATGTGTTTTTGAATGCTTGCCTACCTTGCCCTTCCCATCCATCTGGAGTAAGATGCATGTGGGTAATACCAGAACTCCAAGATCTAACACGTATACATCAGTAGGTTTATTTTTATAACTCAATCTCACAAGACATAGTTTGTAAGACGTATCAGTGCTTATGAGTTCAAGAAGTTTTCGGTAGATTGAAAATTATATAGAGAGGATATCCATGTTTTACCCAAGCTGCCTATTGGAATTTGGAATAAAAGATGTTGAGAACAAGGGAGATAGAAATACTTGTCTACAAAGAGATAGAACTATTGCCATATATAAGAATGGTTTCCTAATTAATTGCTGACAAAGACTTTGGACATGATCTTTGCTCATTCTTTCTTTTATTCTTAACAGTATAACCGATGTAGGTATGATGCAACAGCCTTGAATATGGGCAGAACATGATAAAGTGAATGATGTTGTTGAATTTGCTCTAAATACTATTGTGTATACTGAACCATTATGTTTTGGAACTACAGAGATATGACATAGTGAATGGTGTTGTTGAAGTTGGAGAGAAGGATGAAGCTGCAACAGACCAGACAGATGGTGATGCTAAAGAAGGTAACATAATTTCTATATAATTTAACCCTGCTTTTCATATATGCTTCCCATCTCTTTTCTGTGTTTAAGATCCAAATTTATTATTTTCAATTTTTTTCAGAAAAGGGTGTCCCTGATTTTTGGCTAACTGCAATGAAGACCCATGAAATATTGGCAGAGGAGGTAGGAATCCTGTTAATGATCTGTATGTTTGTTGTATGCTTTGTCATGATTATGGTTTTTAGTTCTGATTTTGATTTTGGTTCTATCATCAGATCTCTGAACGAGATGAAGATGCTCTCAAATATTTGAAGGATATCAAGTGGTGTCGGATTGATGACCCTAAGGGTTTTAAGCTCGAGTTCTTTTTTGATACCAATCCATATTTTAAAAACACAGTTTTGACCAAAGTATATCATATGATCGATGATGATGAGCCTATTTTAGAGAAGGCAATAGGGTAAACATCCATATTCAGTTTCCCACGTTTTAGGCTTTTAGCATATCCTTCTTAATCCCGTGTTATGCTTGGGACTTCGCAGCACAACCATTGAATGGTTACCAGGGAAATGCTTGACACAAAAGATCTTAAAGAAGAAGCCAAAGAAGGGATCGAAGAATGCTAAACCTATCACAAAGACCGAGAATTGTGAAAGTTTCTTCAACTTCTTTAACCCTCCACAGGTTCCTGAGGATGAGGATGATATCGACGAAGAGGAGGTAGGATCTTATTTTAACACACATATTTCGGGAGTTGATCGACACATTTAAGCTCAAATGAATTGTAACCAGTATGAGGCTATAATTGGCAGGCTGAAGAACTTCAGAATCAAATGGAGCAAGACTATGACGTTGGGTGAGTGATATAATATTATTTTACTGGTATAAATTTAAAATTTTGTATCTGAAGTCACGACTGATGTGTTCTTTTACTTGCTATGTAGGTCAACCATACGCGACAAGATTATCCCACATGCTGTTTCATGGTTTACAGGTGAGGCTGTTCAGGAGGATGAGTTTGATGGTATAGAAGAAGATGATGATGATGAGGATGATGATGATGATGAAGAAATTGATGATGATGAAGACGAAGAAGATGATGAGGATGACGATGAGGATGATGAAGATGAAGAGGAGGAGGAGAGCAAGAGCAAGAAGAAAACAAAGGTGACATATCCTTCCTTTCACTTTTGAGTGTCGACTTTACTTTTTGGCTCTTGTGGTTTGCCCAAGAATCAAAAAATCGTCCCTCTGCTTAAATAAGTCCCGCAAGAGTCAACTAATGCATTTTGCTGTTAAAAAGACCAAAATGCCCTTTTATCTGAAAATCTTCTCTATGCTTCAATAAGTCCCGAAAGAGTCAACAAATGCATTTGGATGTTAAAAAGACCAAAATGTTCTTTTATTTCAAAATCGTCTCTTGCTTCAGTAAGTCTCGAAAGAGTCATCGTATGCATATTGCTGTTAAAAAGACCAAAATGCTTATTTCTGGACTTACTAAAGCGCACAAGGATGATTTTCATGTTTTTGGTTAAACCATAGGAACCAATAGTGGACTTCTCTCTACTTTTTTTATGAATATACTCTGATTCATGTAATCTATATATACTACTTACTTCCTCCAATATATACTAATATATTTGTTCTTATATTTTGTTTCATGTAATCTTGCAGCCTTCTGCACGGAAGGTAAGAACACGACACTTGGATGAGCATTTTATGTTTTTTTTTTATAATTCTATCTGTCTCAAAATAAGTGTCCACATTTCTATTTTAAAAACTTAGGACTTGTTTGTTAGCAGCTTAACAGTCTTAATAAGGCTCGCAACTTATTTCGTCAGCTATACATGACAATTTGGTAGTGGCTTAATGATATAGAAGGTGGCTTATTCAGTATGCTTCTAGGGCAGAGCTTTATGCAGAAAGCGATTTTTTTTCCAAACCTGCTCCCGATTAAAAAACACGCTTCTTTCATCTATGAAAAATCCTCCCAATTAAAGAACACCCCTTCCCGTATACGTAAAAACCTTTCCAATATATACATACACATTAATTCACACAAATAGCTTTATCCATACAGGACTTAATGAAAAACCAACCAAACACAGCCCCTTTACAATTCTATCATTAATTATGAGATTGAGAAATTTGTTGTTCCATCTGTTATGAAGGGTAAAATTGTCTATTAGTGGATTAAAAGTGAACAATTTTAAAAGCTGTCATAGTAATTGTGGACATTTATTTGGGACGGAGGGAGTATCTATATATTGAATTGATTCAAAGGTGATCAATTATTTAACATTTGGCATTTTTTGAACTGCAGAAGGGTAGCATCCTACATGCAGCAGGTGGTGCTGGAGAACAGGGTGAGAGACCTCCTGAATGCAAGCAACAATAGCTTTTTAAGGCTGCAAGAGGTGTGATTTGGTGTTCGTTGTCGAGGGTTTTGAAGTCTTGGTTTTTTTTCCTTGAGAAATTTGGCCCGTTTTTGTGTTGGATTCTTTGTGTATCGGAGTTCTATTTATCTGTCAAAATGTCCAGTTTTTGTTTATTTATATATGTTAGGTTACAATCTTGATTTGTGAAAAGGTACAATTGAAATATGTACGTTTTCTCCCATTTTCCCGGGTATGTTTTTGAAGTGGTAAACGTTATATGTTCGATGTCTTGCATGAATTCGTGCTTTTATTCGAAGGTAGTGATTGTTGTTTGTATTCGAGATGTTTGATGGTCTTCGAGTTTTTTTTGTTAATCGTTGGTGTTCCGGTGAGCAGCCTTGTAGGTTCTTTTTCTTCTGTAAAATTGTATTATGCATATACAGGTGAAGGATTGTGTGAGGAGGAATATTTATGATGAGAAGCATAAAAAGAAATCCAAACTCTTGAATTGTGTTTTACAAGGGAAGTGATCCGGTGCATCTTGTTAGTGTTGATATTCAATTAGGATTGATTTAAGGGTGTAGATATCTTTTTATGTTTCTCATCATAACTTTCCTTTTCACCGGAACTTAACCGTGTATATACACCTTCGGTGAAAAACATGAGAAATGGTGAATGTTACGGGACGTTTTTTTTGTGAAGGCAGTTAATCGTATTTTGATAGAAAATATGAGTTAACATTTATCGTACTTAAATAATATTTTAAGTGTGCATTTAGCCAACAACTCATATTTTCTATCAAAATACGATGAATATTATATATAGGAGGTTTAATGTGTAAATTATGTTATCTGTACAAATGTATAAAACTCATCCAATAAATTATAAATTTTCATTTTTTTGTAATTATGAGAGATTGATTAATCATTTTTATTGTGTAGGATATTAATAATGGATATTATCATCTTTATTTATTAATTTTAGAGAAATACATGAAACCGTTTTTTTAAAATTTCATAAGTATTATATGAAACAATTTCATTAGCATATATGAAACAATTTCATTAAAAAAGTATTATATAAAACAATTTCATAAGATTAAACAATGAAATCGATGGATGGAGGTAATTTGCACGGTTTGTACAAATATGAGTTATTTGCATTTGATCGTTCTCTCTCTCTCTCTCTCTCTATATATATATATATATATATATATATAGGGTTGGGTTCACGTGAGACCAACGGTTTTTTGTGAGACCCGTAAGACCAATTTATGTTCATTGATCAACTTTATAAGCTAATGATCTAATGGTCTAAAGTTGCACGGTGACAATTTTGTAATTATTGAGAAGTCTCGTGACGTTTATGCATGTTCAAATCTGACGATTATAAATCTAATCCAAGGGTTGAGAATTGGTCTTACAGGTCTCATGAAAAACCATTGGTCTCACATGATCCCAAGACTATATATATATATATATATATATATGATCTTAACCGTAGATCATTTTTAATCTCATTTTCACTCATGAATTGCGTTTTAGAAGAGAATTGATCTGATGCATCTCGGTTTCTGGTAAGAATTGAAGTTATGGTAAGAAATATAAGAAGATATTTCCATATTTGGATCAATCCTAATTGAATGTCAACACTAATAAGGTACAACGAAATACACCGTATCAATTCTCTTCTAAAGCACAATTCATGAGTCGAAATGATATTAAAAATGATAAAAGGGTTAAGATCATTTATTACGCTTCTAACCATAACTTTTCTTCTCATACGATTCTTTACATATACATATGTGTGTATTAAAATACTATTTTTATTTTTTTGATAGGAAAAAGATAAAACAATAGACACAAAGATAAAACGATTCTTAATTTAACAGAGTTAAATGAGAGTTTAATCAAAGAGACCACCAAAATAAATTGAATACCATAAAAACCAAATCCATATACATGTTATAGGGGGTGTTTGGGATTGCTTATAAAAACAATTTATTGACTTATTCCGGTGTGACACCGGTAATAAACACTTTTGAGTGTTTGGATAAACAACTTATACCGGTGCCAAACCGGTAATAAGTAGTTTTTGAATAAGTTGAACCCTTCTTATTTATAATAAGTTACCGGTGCCAAACCGGTAATAAGTAGTTTTTGAATAAGTTGAACCCTTCTTACTTATAATAAGTTGATAAGTGCTTTTATAAAAAAATATAAATTATTTCAAATAAGCAATCTCAAACACCCCATAAAGATCCTCGTCAAGTCAAAGACCTTCCAACCTAGTGGTAAAGGCTTGGGCATGGCATAGTCATGAACCCGAGTTCGAGCCTTGAGAAAGGAGTGTTGGCGACATTTAAGTGGGGCCATGTTTAGCCTCCAAATTTGCCGAGGATTAGTCGGGCTTTGACCCGGACACCCTTAAAAAAAAGATCCTCGTCAAAAAATATAAAAACATATGCGCCAAATCGACATTTCACTCGTTATATTATTAAACCACTAAATGTTAAAACGGAAATTAGTGAAGCTTTAAAATTCGATGGAGGTCGGCTGTGGGCATAAAAGGTCACACGACTGCTTTCTTCTATTTCAAGAGGGAGCAGAGCGTTTTGTTGAGCGAAAGAGGGAAGAACGATGTCGTACTTGCTACCGCACTTGCACTCAGGCTGGGCCGTCGATCAAGCCATCCTCGCCGAGGAGGAACGTCTCGTTGTCATCCGCTTCGGCCATGATTGGGATGAAACTTGTATGCAGGTGCGTAAAACCCTAGTTTTTCTCTTTCTCTCTTGCTCACTTTACTTTATTCTAATTAATCTTCTTGTTAATCGATGATTATTATTGGTTTACTTAATACGTCACCATATCTGCTTCGATCCGACTCCCAATTCAGTTGGATGTTGAAGTCGAGTTCGAACATTAGGGTTAGGGTATCATCTATAGCTGTAAGTAATTTTTGATCTTCTTTCTTAAATGGAATGGATGATTGAATTATTGGAGTGTTTATTGGTTATTGTTTCTATTTGTTGATGATGGTATGCAACTTACATAAAACTAGTATTACGACCATTGCTACTGATCTGTTTTAGATATTAATGGTTCATCATAGCTATGTTACGATTAAATTATGGGTTAGTACTTGCATCGGGTTGAAAATGAAAAATCTATCTGGTATCTAATATTGTGTATGCGTTATTGGAACAAATATCTTGCTACCATGAAGTATGCTCTAGAACTCTGGTAATTGAAGTTGCATAAGCGGGGAAACATCTTCCAACTTGGTTTCAACTATAACTATAACACCACCCAAACCAAAACTTAATTTAATGGCTGCTTGGTTGGTTTTCCAGTTAGATTCAGGCATGCTACACTTTTTAGTTATTGGGAGAGCCCAAGTACTCTCTTTCCGATTCAGGAAAGAACTCTCATTCCACGTGCCCCATGCGACTTGGATCAGAGCGTAAGCTAGTGATGCTTTCGGCTACTGGACTTGCGTTAAGTCATGATTGATAAATCTATCTCATGTGGATTAATCTGTCTGCATAGATTCGGAATTTTTTTGTTTGGAAGGTTTTTTTTTTCATAGATGGAAGGAACATGTTTTTTAATTGAGAGTGTCACTTTTAGAAAAAACTTGGCTTTCTGCGTGCAACTCCTCCCTGAAAGCTTACTGAATAAGCCACTTTCTATATCACTAATCCATTACCAAGCAATCTTGTATTGCTGACCAAATAAGCTGTGAGTCTCATTAAAGCCCAGCTGCTAACAAATAGACCCTTAGTGGTTTTTCCAGAGTAAATAAAAAGTTCCCTGAGAGAAGCCTCGTGTGCAGGTGGTCTCTGTAATGGAAGATTCATTAGGTGATGAGCTTGTGCTTGTATTGGTTATCCATTAAAGTCTTTAGAGAATTCTTAAATCTAATGCCATGGGCTTATGCAATGAATACAAATGTCAAGTCACAAATTGGTATGGCTTGAAATTTTGAAAACACTTAGAATTGAGTAAGACATGGTATTAGACATTGTGAAGTATTGATGTGTGATAAAACCCCTAAAATGCAACGAAATTTAGCATCCAACGTTTCTTGGTTTTAGTAACTTAGATGCTTAAAAAGTCCAAAAGTTTTCTATCTCCCTTTTAGCGATCCGTTATCTCTCTGCTCTTGCCCATCTTTGGCGAAAATCGGTCGGTGGATTCCACTGCCCCTCCCGTGGTTTTCTTCGTATGCAGGCACTATCCACCATCCCTGCCCCTTCCCTTCTACCTTCTCAACCCGATGATCGTGACCCCTCTCCCTTTGCCCCCTTTACCTTCTCCCTACGCTCCTCCTTGCATATCTCCATCCTCCGCACTGATGACCTAAACCCCCTCCCTCCCTCCCTCCCTTTTACCATAATTGCTCCCTTTTTTGTTTGAGCCTCACAGAAAATCTCAAACACTCCACTCAACTGACCTACTACCTCCTCCACCTTACCCTTTTCCTCTCTTGTTGATAATCTTGAATGAAATGGGGTTAAAGGCAGTAAGAAAGTTAAAAAAAGATACAATACTTCCATATTAACTTTACATGCTTCAATTTTAACAAATAGTTTATCTAATTTTAATGTTAAAAGCAGTTTATTTTGCAAAAATATATCTATATTATAATTAGTACTTTGAAAACTTTAATTTAAATATAAAATTATATACATCCCCCTTGCTCATCATTGACCACAAACCTTGCCCTCCCGACATCACTCTGCTTTGGACACAAACTCATATCACCTCTCATCACCGCTTTCAAGCACTTATTAAATGTGCCTTTTATATTTATTTGAGAATATATTAGTTGTTGCATCTTTAGCACATCTCAACCTGTTGTGGCATGTAGTATCTTCTTATATATTAACTGTATTAATCGTGCTTGGGGGACGTCAAATGTCATGAAGTCAATGTTTTTGTCGAATATTTAGCAAAGGGGAAAGTGAAAGGGGAACTGAGGAAAATGGTGGGAGGGATAAGGCTGTAGCCTGTAGGCATTAACTAGATCCCTATTGAGGTTGTACCTGGGGGAGCCGGTTGTGGTGGTACCTGGCTACCTGCTATATACTCCCTCCATTCCAAAATAAATATTCATGATGAAAAAAAGCACAATTTTAGGAATATGTAAATATTAAACTTTTTAATTAACAAAATGACAATATTACCCTTGATTATAGAGAGTAATTTCTTCCATCACATAATTAAGTGTAGAATGTGAAAATAGACATTTACTTTTGGGACAAACTAAAATAGTAACGTAGACACCTATTTTGGAATGGGGGGGAGTAATAAGCAAAAGGATGCACAAATTTACGGCAACTTTCACCAAATAAAGCTACTTAGTCAGACCATGAAACTTGGGATAGAGTGATTGAGGCCGGGAAAAACCAATTCGGGTTTATGCTATGTAAGTTGACAACTGACGCAATCCACATCCTCGAATGCCTCATCGATAACCATAGATAGCATAGTAAGGACCTACACTTGATGATCATATACCTATGATATGTACCCCAGGACGTGGTTTGGAGGAGTATGGAGGAGAGATGGGTAGCAATCTTTCATATCTCAATATCGTTTTTGCAGAACTAGTCTTTACAGAAACAATCTCTCTACCCTTTATGATAGAGAAACTGTCTAGGAAAAAATCCTACCTTCAAGCAGAATTTTTCTACTACTAATGTGATGGATCAAATTGCTTAACCAACAAGGATCACACCTACAATTTGCCTTTGCATTGTTTTAATTTTTACCTACAATATATTTGATTTATTTTATTATTATAATTATTTGTGTTTGATCTTTAGTCTTTACCTCTTTGATAACTCAACCTAAAGGAAACAAGTTCTACTGTCCAAACTGTTTATATGTGATTCTAACCTCTAAAGAGTTGACCTTAAATTCTATCTCAACTTACCTTCAGTATCTAGAAGTTGGTTAATCTGACCAAAGGGTCATTGGCCCAGCGGTACCATGGTTACCGGTAGACATCAACCTTTTCTTGGAAGGGTATCCTAGGCTATGCCCGAAGAAATGCCGGCAAATTGCGACTATAAAACATCAACCTTGATAAGCTCAGTTTCCAAAATTAGTTTGGACGTCTACAATTGAACCCGGGGCAGATGGGATATTCCACCACATCACCCTTGGGACTCAACCTCTATGTTACAACCCTTGTGGTTAAACATCACCAAAGCCAAGGATTGTATACGAGTATTTGCCTTGTATATAAATATTATATATTTAAAAAACAGTTGGTTAATCCCTCCATTTTTTATCGTTACTAGATGGATGAAGTACTTGCTTCCGTTGCTGAGACGTTAAAGAACTTTGCAGTGATATACTTGGTTGATATCACGGAAGTGCCGGACTTCAACACGATGTATGAGCTTTACGACCCATCAACGATAATGTTCTTCTTCAGGAACAAACACATCATGATTGATCTCGGTACGGGTAACAACAATAAGATCAACTGGGCTATGAAGGACAAACAGGAATTCATAGACATCGTTGAGACCGTGTACCGTGGGGCCCGGAAGGGTCGTGGTTTGGTCATTGCACCTAAAGACTATTCCACCAAGTACCGTTACTAAAACCCCGAACCGTGTCGTAAAATCAAAACCGATAAAACTGGTTGTGACCTCATTGAAATCAGTGGTCTTTATGTATTCATTGAATTGGGTTCACTTTTGCACCTTTGAATATGTTGCTTGTGTTTTCATGTTGAATGCTACTGCTACTGCTACTGTTTGTGTGTATTGAGCTGCTGTTAATGTTATGTTTTAAGCAGGGTTCTAAAGTAACAGTCAATACAGTTTTATAAGTAAATGCAATCATCACATTTTTAATTATTTAAACGACAATTTTACCCTTGATAATAGAGGAAGTAATGAAGTTTATACTGTTTTATAAGTCAATTAGGTTCGATCCCGTGTATTACACGGAATAATTTTAAAAAATTAAATCATGTCAGGAAGTTTATATTGTTATATAAGTCAATATTGTTTCAAAACCATTTTAAGTTATTCAAACCCTTTGCAGCTGATGTCATAATTGTCCAACCAATATGTGAACGACTTCTCGCTCGGATTCTGACTGACGCTTGAAATTAGCTAAGCATTTATTCGAATAAATATAGAACCTTATCACAAGCACCCCACCCCACCCCACCCCATACGACTTACTGCCTGGGAGAGTAAGTTTGTATGCCTGTTGGGTCTTCTATGGTATTTGGATCTTGCCATCGATCTCCTCTTTTTTGATCTATGTATACATACTCCATTAAATTGTTGTAAAAGGAGGGTTGAAAGACGAAAAAATGAATCAAAAAGAGAGAGATCGATGGTAGAGGTCAATAGCAACGACATGTGGTATGGAGGGCAGACAACGATGCGGCAAGAGGTGGGTGAGTAGAAATGATGCCGTTGGTGCAATGGTTTAAATTTCGTAGGATTTGGGAACAATAAAACTGATTTTAAATTTTTTCTTTTAATTTTTAAATATTCTTAGACAGTTATATATAATTGTTTGAGTTAAAAGAATATGTACATAACCAATTTTTAAAAGCTTGATATTATATATAAAAAACTATTTAAAAAAATAATTTATGAATTAACCATTGAAAATAAAAAGTTCCTTAATTTTTATTTAATAATTTATTTATGAATTTGTGAGTATAACTAATTTCCGGTTAACCATTTGTTTCACACACGTAATTTTCCATAAAAAGAGATTTATGCCACGTGTACAACCGCCATCTACAACCTCACTCCCACTCTCACTCCCCTCACCGCTTTACAAAACTCCAACCGCCACCGCCATCGCCACCGTCCATTAATTCTCCTCCCACCACCACAAAACAACCACCACCAATCCCCTCCCTCCCGCCACGCCGGAGCCGCATCCGACTTTCTTCTCATTTCCACCATTTTTATTCCAGTTCCATTCCCATTATGACCAACCATAACCACCACCACCACAGACTCATCCACCACCACAACCACCACCTCCTGCCACCGCATACCACCCGTTCCACCTCCACCATCCAAGCCTGCGCCGCCTGCCGCTACCAACGCCGGAAATGTGCCCCAGATTGCATTCTCGCACCTTATTTCCCTCACGATCGCCAACGTCAATTCCAAAACGCCCATAAACTCTTTGGCGTCAGTAACATCACCAAAATCATCCGCCACCTCGATCAACCACAAAAAGACGAAGCCATGCGCACCATCATCTACCAAGCGGACGTCCGTGCTCAAGATCCCGTCGGCGGATGCTACCGAATCATCCGCGAACTCCAGCGTCAAATCGACGTATCTTGTTCCGATCTCGAAATCGTTCTCCAACAGCTGGCATTTTGTCGAACACTTTCTGTGCAAAACCACACACATCTTAATCACGATCAAATCGTTATCGATGAGGTGAATTGTGATATCCATGTCGTTAACAATTCCGATGATCCGGTCGCCGGAGATGAACGTCGTCGTCATAGTCTTGATTTTGATTTACGAAATTATCTTTGCACCAAGAAGAATGTGAAGATCATGAGCGATATATTATTGTAAAGAAGGATTTGAAGGAAGAAGATGGTGGGTGGGAAGAGAATCAGGCGGCGGTGCCGGTTCAATCGTGGGTCGCCGTGAATGATTCATCACCGCCGTCCGCCGATGGTTTTGAGGTGAAACCTCAACCAATACAGACATTACATGCTTCAGTATGTGATGAATTCAAATCGCTTCTGCTTGATGATATTCCACCGGGAGATAGAAACGAACTCAAATTCGAATTCAGAACCAGGTTTGAATTCAATCCTTTTTCCAATAACTTGTTTGTCAAAATCATCAAGAAATTCTTTCGGACCAATTTGGTGGGAAAATCACATTTCGATTTGATCCAGTTCTACATCTGATGATGGTTAATAAATTCCGTTAATTGTTCTTTTATCCATTTTTTTTTATCTTTTATCCGATTAAAAAAATTAATTTTATGATTTTAGTCCAAGTGATTTTTGATTGTTCAAAAAACAAAAAATTCAAAAATGACGAATATGCCCCTTATTTACGGAATTATTTAACGGCCTTCAGAGGTAGGGATCAAATCCGAACGTTTTGTTAAACTACGATAGTCATCTTGTAATTTCAAAATTATAATGATGAAAATTATTCAACTTCATTTCAAACGCTATAAACCAAACATATCAAATATTTTAAATCCATTCAATTCCAAATCTTTTCACGAGATCCAGATCCCTTGAAAAGATTCCGTCGAACCAAACAGTTGGTCGTTTTTCAGCTTCCCTTCTATCTTGTTACTATAAAATCGACTTTAAAAGACGTCAAATAAATGTATTAAGTTTATAGTATCATACAATTGTGTAATATATACACATCTTTTATATGACATTTTTATTCATTTAAAAAGTTTGTTACAATGTTAAAAGTTATATTAAACAATGTATTATGATATTCAAACGATTTATAAAGCCGATTTTATTGTAGTGGTTCTTAATCTTATAGACTATTTGTCAGTTGCTGAATGGTTTAATGCATAATGATTAATTGGTCAGATTGATTAAGAGACTCTTATGATGTAGTTCAAAATGTAATATAATTGTTTGGTAATTGTTCAATATGAAATTATGATGTTGAATGGTTGGGGAAGACCCAAAATACAAAATCATTCAAAAGGTTTTAGAACCATTAAAATATTTTTTTTTTCAAATAAAATTTATATTTTAACAATTCAGATGTTGTCTCTTAATAGATTTTTTAATGAGATAATTATCGTTTTGATTTTAATTTTGATTTTTAGTGAGGAGAATTTATTTAGTGAAGAAAAGCACAAAGTTATAGTAAAAGAAGAGAAGGATGCTACTTTATCCACCATCAAACATCATAAAGCAACTCATCTGGAGGGAGAATAAAGCTGCCACCCCATTTCAGCACCAGGTTCTGCATTTCTTTTCTTCCATCTACCAGATTTCGTTAGCTTTTATATACATGATTAATCATTAATTTGTAGTAATTGTAAGGTCTAATATAAATTAATTATTTTATTATATTAATTAAGAAAAAAGATGTATTAATTTTATTAATATTTTTTAAAGGTTATCAATCAAAGAAATTGATATTATTTCCTTATTAATCAAAAAAATTATGGAAGTTTTTTTCTATGAAGTTACAATTAAGAAAATAAATATATAATTTCTTACTGTTAAAAGTTATTGGGTATCGCACTGGTAACATAGTGGTATCACAGTTGTATTCATCAACCAGATATGGTATCATTGTGTGTATCACAGTGTATTTTTTTCGTTATACGAAGTGTAACACAATATATCAGGTAATGTTTTCTTTACCAAGTGTATCACACTATGTTTTTTCGTTATTTTATAACGCGTATCACAATGTGCATCATATGTCGATATGGTATTCGTTAGAGAGGGTTGAGAGGAGAGAGAAGAAATTTAGAATGACTACAATGCCCTTAATTAATATTTTTGTTAAAATTATCAAAATTATTAATTTCCTAAATTAAACTTTGATTTGTGGTTAAAATTGGATCTCACGTTTACCACAAACTAATTAGTTCTTCGTTAAATGGACTCTCTCTCTCTCTCACACGCGCACACACACACACACACACACACATATATATATATATATATCACGTAAGACGAGTCTGTTTTCGTGAGACTCATAAGATTATTTTTATGAACTTAAAACTTCACAACAAAACGTTGTGAAGGTAAAGAAAAGCCGAACCTTTATAGCAAAAACACTATGAAGGTTACCTTTACAGCTTTTTGCTATGAAGTTTAAAGTGTAAAAAAGTGGTCTAACGTATCTCATGAAAACAAGATGGTTTCACGTGTCCAACTCATACATATATATATATAGAGAGAGAGAGAACATATAATCTACAAATTGTTAACATTTCCATATTCCGACAAAGTTTAAATGTATATTATGACCAAAATACCCCTAGTCGTTTCTTTAAGATGATTAGATAATGATTAAAAACACCTCATTTGGCATCATCATCATAATCTTTTTTAGGAACGGTGAAAATCCCATCAAAGAATGAAATACTGAAAACACGGTTGAAGTGTACGACTTTTAAGATGGAACGCAATGACAACAAGGTTTTTTAAGAAAAAGCGAACGGGAAATGAGATTAAAGTGTATGACTTTTAAGATGTAAAATCAAGAAGCATTAAGTACATGTTTTCCTCAAATTAAAAGGTATATGTCTCGTCATTAAATAATTAATCTTCATAGAAACAGAGAATCTTGACTGTGCTACCAGAGTTATAGGTTGTTTACCAAAAGCTTATTTGGATCAGAGCTTACCAAGTCACGTTACCTTACCTGAATGAATATGGTAATAATCAAGAATCTTACTTGGTAAGAGCAAGACAAGGACAATAGGTTTTCTCGGTAAGTGAGGACAATGACTTTTATCACGGTAAGTGTTTACCAGGTAAATTATTGCATACAATGTCGTTTTTGTAAATTAAAATATTATCTGTTAAGTAAGTAATAATGTTTAATTTTATCAGTAAACACTCACCGGTTAACTGATCGAATAAGTTGTAAGTTTTCGTTTATACCGATACTTAAAAGTAACGTAAATCAAGACTTGTTGGTTTCCATAAATGAAAATATATTCAAAGCCTCGTATTGTTGTAAAGCTACAATATAAAATACACATATAATAATCCTGTCCACTAAATAAAATCGGAATTATAATAATAATAAAATCAAAATGATCACACCTTTTTCTTCAACTCAAATTGTCCACTTCCAGATCTTGATTCGAAGATCCACCTTACATTTCACATCGGAAGTGGTCGCCGTCGTTGCCGATTTTCCGGCGGGTGCCGCCGCCTTAATTCCTGTACAAACAACTCGAATCGGAACCTTTTTAGTCTTAATACTTCCGATCTTCACCTTCACTTTCGTATCAAGCTGGATCGTCAATGGAAATCTCCTTTTGTTCTTCAGATCTGATTTCAAACCGCCATTATCATCCACACTCTGTCCACTCGTCGACACAATCGACCTCAATTTCGTCGTGTTCTTCTTTTCCATCACGAACGCCGGTATAGTTCCGTCACCGACGTGGATTCCTTTCGAATTGATATTAACAGAAACCGGATCGTAGTAAAACACGATCTTCTTGTTAGGATTACGAGCCGTGACGGTGAAATTGAATTTAGTATTGAGTTGATTCGATGAGGTGAGGTTGAATTGAGAGATTTGGAGCGATGAAACGGAGAATGAAGGGCGGTGAGGACGGTAAAGGACGTAGAACACACCGCCGGCGATGGCAGCGATGATGATGAGAAGGAGGATAGTGAAAGTGATCCAGAGGCAACAAGAGCAACAGCAGCTGCGACGAATCCGACGAGGTTGATGACGGTAGACTGGACGAGTGGAGTTGTAGAGTTGAGCTTTGTTAGGTGGAAAAGCAGCGCCGGTGGCGGTGGTGGTGGCCGGAGCGGTTGGCTTGGACGCAGGATGGATTTTGTCCGCCATTGAATTGGATTTGGAGGTCGAAAATGGAGGATGAAATATGGAGGTGGTCGATGATGGCGTAGAGAAAGAGGGATGGATGGTGCAGGCGTAAAAGTCGTATACACGGTTTCCTTTTTAGTTTATTTTCTACTCTACTTAATAAAATGCAGCACCACTGTCACCTCACACGTTTATAACAGTATTTGATGTATAGCTGTACACTCTCTTCTCAAATACCTTTTTTATTTATTCTTAAAAAATAATTGCCAAACTAATAAATTTCATGAAAAAGTAACCTACTTTAACTTGATTTATATTTTGAGTAATTTATTTTCAAAACTTTCATTTTAGTACCTAAGATGTAACGTTTTATACATTTAAGTATTCGGGTAAACGGTTGAAGCGTTAACCGGTTATCATGCTGATGTGACGAGTGATATTGTATCCAACTCACTATTATTTGCTATTCAACTCAATTTCATCTCATCACTCGCCATATCAGTATAATAACCGGTTAATGCTTCAACCGGTTACCCGGGTATTTAAACGTTTAAAACTTTACATCTAAGGTATCAAAATTGAAGTTTTGAAAGTGTGTTACCTAAAATATGAATTAAATTAAAATACATTACTTTTTCATTCAATTTGCTCCATCTAAATATATTGTTGAAATTTGCTTTTGAAATTACATGAAAACCCCAGTTGGGACACAAAGTTGACTTTGTTGATTTGGACTCCTATAATCCCACATGACTTGTATTATTAAGACATCGTAACACCTCATGGAATATATAGGTGGGATGCCACTTATATTCCTGACAAAAATATATATTCCTATTAATTGGTTGGTTTTCTATTAAGTTATTTATATAAATTAAAAAAATTCTTACTTGACAGATATATTTGAAGAAAAAACTTAGTTTTCTGCATTAAGCTCTTCCCTAAAAGCTTGACAAACCACTTTCTGTATTATTGACACACTACCAAATAATCATGTATAGTTGACCAAATAAGTTATGAGTCTTATTAAGCTCATTAAATTTATACTAAACAGGCCCTTAGAGCATCATCAACAACTATGCTATTTTAGAAATTTTGGAAAAGTTTGCTTCAACGGCTATGCTAAACTTTTCTCTAAAACAGAGAAAAAAACAAAGAGAATGGAGAAATCTACAAGTTTGGAAAAATATAGCATGTCTGTTAGGGTGCGTTTGGTGCGCGGACAGGACAGGACAGGACAGGACAGGACAGGACAGAACAGGACAGGACAGGACAGCTGTTCAGCGTTTGGTAAGACATAACAGGACAGGACAAGACAGGTTAAAATGACCAATTTACCCCCAGTAAACCACCATATGCCATTGCCATCAAAGATAATTGAAAATCAAAATTCTGACTATGAGAGCTTGAGATTAAAACAAGATATTTGAGCACACACTCCCCTTTTTCTGATTATTCTTTCTGTTTGTTCATGTT